AGTGATTTTTATTTTATATAAAAATAACAAGACTGTTATTTGACCTTTTTATTTTCAGCTATCGAAAGCTTGGGCTTTTATACAGGAATAGGTTTTGTTCAGCAAATTCAACAACAAAAAATCATGCATAAATTTTCCAAAAAAAAATCAAGTGCATGTCACTCAAGAAGGTTTTACACTCAAATAAATAAAGTAATGTTGCGTTTATTATTATCCATGCATAAATTGTAACCCTTCCTGAGAGAATTTAAACGTCCGCAGTGGGAGGAACGACCAGTAGGATCTTACAGGGGTCTGGGGGGGAATAATAAGGACATTGTGTGACGTGTGTTTGTGGCCTTTTGCACCTTGAATTAATTTGCGTACTTGAAAACGCATCAATTAACATCAAGTTGTCAGGATGGCCAAGCGGTCTAAGGTGCTGCATTCAGGTCACAGTGTGGTTCTGCAGGCGTGGGTTTGAATCCCACTTCTGCAATCGTTTTTTTGTCCACACTGCGGACGCTCTACTACTTGATAGGAAACAAGCATGATATTTTCTTGGGAAAATATGGAAAACATGCATGTGGGTACTACATGTATTCATCATTTGGATAATTCTTGTAAAAGAATGCCCCTCATCAAGTTGATTAACAGTTCAGAAAAACCTCTGAAAGTCTCAACACTTCTGTCCTCTTGGATTCGTTGAAGAATGTTTGAGGCGGAATATTTTTTCAAACCATCGAACATCTCTAAACCCAGTAAGCATTCCTCCATTTCCTCCTATACCTTCAATAAATCTTACTTTCACGATAATAAGCACCTACACCTGAGCGTGATCCCTTTTATTTTTCGCTCTGCTGCCTGCGTTCGTTTGCGGTAACGAAAAACGTGATGCAGAAATCCGTCGGCGATCCCAACATCAATGACGAACCCGATTCTGGTTTCGGTGGAGCAGAAGTGGCCAGTAGCGATGAGAATTTCCTGCCGACGCTGTTGGAGGAGTGCGTGGATAGATGTCGCCGCCTTGAGCTGGAGAAACGCCGGTTGCGCGATCAGGTGGCGGCGGTCGAGTCCGAAAAGGACGCCTTGGCGAGGCGCCTGGAAAGTGCTGAAGCCCGGGTCTCGGCCATCACCGCCACTGAGTCTTCGGGTACACAGGTCGACTGTGCAGCAGATAACAATGGAGTTTTTGAGTGCCTGAGGCGGTTTCTGGATGCAATGCAGAGAGATCCTGAGGCCTGTGTGGAGTTCTTGGATTCCCTGACAGTAATAATTGAACTTTTCCCCATCTTCGTGAAAAAACCAACAAATGGAAAGTTCAGTGCTGAGTGGAATCAGCTCACAGGAAACTTAGAGAATGCCAAGAAATTATTTGCAATGCAGTTCACTTTTTTTCATTTTCATGCATTACGGCTCTGTAGGATTGAGGTGTATTCATCAATTTACATAACTGTGTAGACTATGTAGAGGAACTTGGTTCAAATTTCTCTCACTAATTTTTATTTACTACAAGATGATTAAATTTTTATTTTACTCGAATTTTATACACTTCAAGCTTTATATATTTACTGTGTATGCATATATATATACATTACTGTATATATAAATATTACTGACCAACCAAACACTGTTATATGCATGAAAATACTGTATAGGGTTTTAGGCCAAATATCAACCATAAATTACCAATGGCAGAAGTTGATTGGGTTTAATTGATGTTCAAGTTTATGCTGATGACATCTTAGTCATATATTCCAAGGTTCCATCAAAGCCGGTCGTCTGCAAGAACTATAATCCGTGGAGTAATGCATGGTAAATGCAATACTGCTGCTCAATATGCTGTATAGAATTATTGAGAAAATTCATTGTTTCACCTCAAGCTGAAATCTATTAATGTGTTATACATCTTTGCATATGTGAAGGTTAAACCCATCAAAACAAACTGGAAGAATGTGAGCAACATTGTCAGCATGTGTCAAGCATCAGCTGCAAGAACCAATTCTCACATTGCCATAGCAAGTGGACCAGAAGTCAGAGACCTCGAGTACTGGTCCGCGTCCTGTTCCCGCTCGCATTCTTCAGCTCTGGAGGAAGATGTCGCTTGTTGGCGCACGGAATCTGGCAACAGCTTTTGCGGCACAGCAGACCTACATTCTCCGAATGTCCTCATCAGAGAGATTTCTGGTGAATATAAGGCCTTAGAAATTATTTATTCCAGAAATGAGATTTTTTGTATTTCATTGTACCATACCCCTCGTAAGTGCTGGCAAATTTGTGTCATTAAATGCTTAATACTGTGCTGTATATGAGGGCTGTTGGCCGCACTTGATGGAAAGAATAATAAGTATAGAAGCTGTTATGGTTCAATTAAGATAAGAATGCTGTATCACCATCACTGTCCCTTCAGCTTAGACGCAATGTTAAAAATCTGCCATCTACACTTCTTAAAGTGAAATTGAGTCAATAATAAACTGTGGACAACTTTTTCAGCAGGCTTGTGTACAGTATTGAAGCTGCACTCGTCCCCTCTTTCTGATGTAAAATTGAGATGAAAAATCCGGATTCCGTTTTTTTTCATCTCAAAAATCAAGGTTTAGTCATTGTTGTTTGCACCAATTTCTCCATTCGTGTGGTTTTTGTGGGAAAGTGGGAAAGACTTTTCTCTGTCATGTACTTTTCCATTTCGGTGCCTAATTTTCAGAGGAAAAAAGAGTATTTCAGAATTCAGATTTTTGTAATTTTTACAAACATGCTGAGCATTTTCCCAATTACATTCATAAAGACAAGTTTGCTGTGATATAATTATACACGTACATTACCTTATTATAAAAAGGGAGTACTTTATGAAAAATAATTCACAGATGTTGAGGAGAAGCAGATTCTCCAGCATCAGCCAGCCGAAGGCCCGGCGGAGATGAATCGCCCAACCCTAATAAGTCGCTTAGCCCGGGGTGACAGTCGATCAACTGCTATTGTCCATGCAACTATAAGTGGAAGACACCCTGCACTAAAACCACGAATTCCCAGCAAAAGTCGCATCAGGAGGACAAGGAGGATTGCTGAAGCAAGCAATAAATTTGAGGCATGCTAGTCTACATCATATTTTTACAGGATATAGTAGATATATTTAGTTATACCATGATTTGTTAAGAAGCAATTTTATTCAAAGTCTTGGCAGAAATTTAATAATGTTGTACAGTATATCAATTTATATGTTCTTGATAATCTTGAAAACAAATTTTCAAGATCCATTACAACGAATTGATTCTCTCAGTGGTTTATCCGTTGCAGTAATCCCTTCACAATAATAATTTCTCAATTGGTCGCATGAAAATCGCTGTCCTGCTTGATTTATTGCCAAAATATTCCACTGCTTTCAGTTTTTAAAGATTATATTTTTTAAGGTTTGTATGTAATACAGTTGCACCTCTCAAATTTAATTTGAAGAGACTTATTGAAAAGGTTTTTTAATATCTTCAGTTAAAGAATATGACCTGAGTATTACAGTACATGTTAATCTGTAGGGAAATGTTTTTCTGGCCTATGTTATTGTAGTTGAAGCATTAAGGTTGAAAATGCATAAATGCCTTAGGAAAATTGACTAAGGGAGGCACGATTGAAAAATTTTGAGCAACAAATATTTAAAATGCATTGACATTTCAAATGCATTGGCATTTTAAATAGCTAGAATTTCCTAGACATTTTATTTTGAGAGGTTCTTCAACTATTGTAGATGTAACTAAAAATAATGTTCAATCCATGCCCTTTGAAGTGAATTCCAAATAACCATGCATGCACTTAAGGTATGTATTGGATTCGTCCAGTCTTAAGAAAACAGTGGGAGTACCTCCTCTCAATTTTTGCTCTGATATTGTGTGCTCTAGATGAAATTTATCTCAAATTTAAACATTTTTTTTTACTCCCAGAATGATTATGCACCACGATTTGCTGCCCCTGAGCCAATTGAACCACCTGTGCTGGAAACTGAATCTGGAGCAGATTCTGAATTGGAATCAGCTTTGCATCTACGTTCCAATCCTGCTGCTGATGCTATTAAATCAGGGCAGCAAGCAACTCAATCCTTCAAATCTGCAGAAATCAGGAAGAAGCCAGTTTCTAGCTATAAGCAACCCAAAGCTCAAAAGCCCATGAAAACATGACTCATATCATGTGTGCTTATGTAAAGTGCCATCAATTCTTTGATGAGTTATTTTTCTGCATTTTCAGATGGCTTTCTCATGCAATAAAAGTTACTGTCAACTCTAATCCTTGCTTTCTTTGATTCAATTAAACCCGGAAAAATTTAAAAAGACATTTAGTACAGTCAACCCCCACTGTTAAAAGTTACCTCCCACCTAAGGAATTTTTGCTCAACAGACTGCCTCTGGAGGCAGTTTTTCCTCCTGCCCAATGGAAAAATTCCACCTACTTAAAATAAATGGTAAGAAGCAAAAATTATATTTTAGTAATTCGCATAACAGACTAGTCTCTTGAACAAATTTAAGTTTTGGGCGGTTTGACTGTATATGGGCTGTGACCAAATTTTCAAGTGATGATGAGAAGTATTAGGAAAAGTGGGGCTATTCAGTATTTACTGTAAGTTTTTCAGGTCATACCAGAGAAGACAATTATTGAATTGGAAATATGGAAATGACTCATGATCTAGCATTCTCTATACTGTACTGTATATCCCTCAGTTGTTGCATGGTGACTGATGGTCAGTCCGTGCATGGTCATGCTGGTCAATAATTCTCTCTGCTGGGACCTATTGAATAGAATAATAAAAATTTAACTTGATGCTTTTCAAATGAAGTTATTTAGTGACTATAATTGCTGAAATGCACCCTTTTCTCCAAGTTCAGCATCTTGTCAACTGATTCATCCAGCAGTTAGTCTTATACAGGTGGTACCTCGCAATTTGACCCTAATCCGTTGCTGGACTATAGGGTCAAATTACAAAGCAGTTGAGTTGCAAGAAGAAACTTTTGTAAAATTGAGAAATAATTCATATACACACACACGTAACACACACATTTTATTTTCTTCATTGTCGCGAGGTACTTTGAGATACTTCTGTTATCATTACAGAGTTCCTGTGTGTATTTGAATCCAGGTAACATATGCTGACACTCGAACTGCTCCCCAAGCGGAATCCAGGGGACAGTCGGTTGTGCCATACGAAACTGTGCCCACAACATAACCATCATACATTACGGGCCCTCCACTGTCACCCTGCAAAAAAATCCATTCAAAATATTTTTTTTATTAGAGCTGTCCGCAGTCCATTTTTTGAAATTAAAAAAAGATTTACCGTACATCGATCGTGGAAATTCCGTTTTCTATTCCTCTACCTTATTTTGCTTCATTATTTCTGACGCATCAGAAGCGATATTGCCAATTAAATTATACCGTGTAGAGGAAGAAAACTGAATTTCCACGATCGATGTACGGTAAATCTATTCTTGATTTCAAAAAATGGACTGCTTACAGCTCTAAGAAATAAATTTTTTATTTATTAGAGCTGTAAGCAGTCCACGGTAAATCTATTTTTGATTTCAAAAAATGGACTGCTTACAGCTCTACTAAATAATTTTTTTTATTTATTAGAGCTGTAAGCAGTCCATTTTTTGAAATTAAAAATAGATTTACCGTACATCGAGCGTAGAAATTCAGTTTTCTTCCTTTACCTTATTTCGCTTCATTATTTCTGACGCACCAGAAGCGATATTGCCAATTAAATTATACCACCGGCATATTTTAAAAATACATAGTGCTCTGATTCGGAACAATGAGAAGCTGTGAAATTAATCTTTTTATTTACTATTCAGTTTTATTCCATAGGATCAAAATGTAGTCGATTCGAAATTTGTTTTTAGATGATCATTACAACAAATAATACAGTACTGTAAAAGTATTATTGAGTCACTTTGCATATGAGCATTCGGCACGAGTGCAAAAAAAAAAAAAACTTTCATTTTAAATTGCGCTCTTGTATATCGCAGTAAAACCGCTGCAGAAACCGTAATTTTCACTTACGTTGCAAGATGATTGCAATCTGGCTTGATCAAAAAGACAAATTTGCTTCGTACTCAATTTCGCGCTGCAGGCTTCACTGTCATCAACTTGCGCTGAACCCCACCGCAGAAGATCGGAAGCATCTGGAAGTAAGAAATCAGATACAGTACTTATAAGAAATCAGATCGCATTATATTATACTTGCATCAAAGAACTAAAATATAAAAAATCAGTGACGTTAAATCTCAAAATACAGGAACTGTACTTCAATAAAAACAATAATGCATCCTACGGAGCTTTGATTATAATTGTTTTTCATTCATTCGCTGTTATAGTGAGACAATTTTTCACGAAATGCTGCGTTTTTAATTTAAGAAAAATTGTCCGTTACAAACATTAATTTCTTTTAGAATATAGATAATGTTCTAATAATGCCAGAAAAATCTGATTTAATTAAAAATACTGTATCATATCTGTTTTCATAAGATGCTCTCTTTTAAAACGTCAATTGTAACAAATTTGTCCGTGCATGTCAGGAATTTTTGTCTGGATTTTACTGGAAATTTATTTAGTTCGTCTGGAAAATGTCTGGGGTCGCCTGGAACTTCGTCACGCTATTTATTATTACGATATGATAACGTATATTTAAATTGATTTTAAAATTTCACGTTGTTTCTGAAACATTAATGCCAGAAAAAATTGAATTCACGTAAAAAAAAAATGCTCTGCTTGATTACCTCTTTTCATAGAATACCTGACGGATTTAAAACTTCAATTGTAAAATATGTGTCTGTGTATGCCTGGAAAATTTTTCTGGATTTGCCTGGAATTATTTTTGGTTTTCCTGGGTTCGCCGGGAACTTCGTTAGGCTTTTTTTATTATCACGATAAGTAACATTTTTAAAATTCATTTCAGAATTTCATATCGTTCTGATAATTCCAGAAAAAATGAATTTACGTAGAAAAATCCTCTTCTTGATCATCTGTTTTCATAGGATGCCTGATTTTAAAACTTCAATCAATTTTAACAAATTTGTCTGTGTATGTCTGGAGAATTTTTTGGATTTGCCTGTAAATTTATTTAGTTTGCCTGGGTTTGCCTAGAACTTCCTTAGGTAATTTATTACTGTATTACGAGAAGATTTTCACGTGAAATCAATACATTATGTACAGGGTGGGCCAAAAAAGTGAACCAATTTCTGATTTGGAATCAGCTTGGTAGGATGTTGATTTGTGACAATGAAAAAAGCACCAAATCAAAGCTTGTTCAATTATATTTCAAATGGTGTGCAGTTTTATGGTTCCAAATGCATTGGAATGTTCACAAGAATCATTTGAGTGAAAACTGTTTCCACTAAGCTGCTGGTCAGGAGAGCTATTTGCATGAATAAGGAAATGCAGGATGCAATAATTTAAGCAGAAACTTCATGGTCTCCTTTAAAGCCTGCACATGTTCCAAAAATTCAGAAAGAGGGGTTGAAATGGGGGAAGGAAATTGGCAAGATAGGAGATCATAACCACTCTGTGACACTTGGAACCATAAAACTATACTTACCAGTTGAAAGAGAATTGAGCAAGCTTTGATTTGGTGCTTTTTTCATTGTCACAGCTCAATTTGCAAAAGGGGAAGGAAATTGGCAAGATAGGAGATCATAACCATTCTGTGACACTTGGAACCATAAAACTACATACCAGTTGAAAGAGAATTGAACAAGCTTTGATTCGGTACTTTTTTCATTGTCATAGCTCAATTTCCTACCAAGCTGTTTCCAAGTCAAAAATCGGTTCACTTTTTTGTTGGCCCACCCGGTATATGTTCTACCTTCTACTCAACTGACCTCCGCCTGTTTCGCTGACTCCCCAGCCAGCAACTGTGACCGTGGCGTTCAAAGGCAACTCAAACGAACTCGGCGGCAATGCGATTGGCTTTGTGTAATCCGTTATGTTTGCCTGAGGAGAAATTTTCAATAGGCCGATATCCGTGGGGTCTATCGCCGTTTTGAATTTCGGGTAAAACGGAAAAGGCAGCGGAATTCCTGAGCGAGTATGTTCGTGGGTTTCTCCTGTCTCAGAAGTCGATAGATCACCCAGAGTGACGTTGAAGTTTTTGTATTTCCAGCGGAAAATTTTAAACCTTGAATAGAAGGAAAAAGATAAGTCAAACAATTTCCCTTTCGTGTGTAGTTATCCGGATTCTTATGCGTATATATGACCACCTTTATTTATCGCTATACATGCTCGGGGCGAATGTATGATTCCAAGAAAAATCAATGTTTCTGCGTGGGATTTTTAAAACTTGTTGTGCCATTGATTTTATGTTTCTTCCAAATGACCATAATATGTTGACGTGATATGAAAATTGTCGAATGACACGTTACATACTATTGAAGTGTTTCGACGAACGAAATAACGAGAGGATTTTCTCGAGCACCGATTTTGCGCTTCGGCATTTGTGGTATACAGTATTCTAGAAATATTTCCTTATTATGGCAAATATACAAAAGTTTTGGCGTATTTTTGCATGCGACAGCAACCGTGAAATGAAAAATCCAAGTACTGTATAGTACTGTATTGAATTATTTGTATTGAATGTAAATCAACGGAATCCAACTGCCATTGAGCTCAAATTTTTCTTTCCGAAAAATGACAGCGACATCGTTGCCTTAAGAAGAATTCAGCATAAGTGCGGAATTGCAGTTGAGTATGAAAAAATAAACCGAAATGAAGTTCAAAATGTTCTTCAAACATATTCATTGGATTGCGTTTCCAAACTTTTTAGTTGGGGGCTCTGAGTTATTATCTAATATATTTTATATTGTGATTATAAAAATTCAATTTTCAATCTGAATTTTTCAATTGAGAATATGAGTTAATTTAGGCATCCAGAATAGTATCCAGAAAAAATCCCAGAATAATCCAGGAGAAATTCGGAACACCAGAATCAACTATGTTTCCTCAACAACAAAAATCTGCCATAGAGGTTTTTATTGAATTAATTTTTTTTTCTTTTGAGCAATATTTCTTTCCACTTCTCTGATTAATACTCGTTGTTTAATTTCAGAATCGATCCCCGCCGCCTCAGAGACAAAAGGAAAAATAAATACAAGTGGAAAATTCTTGAGAATTAGAAAGGGAAGTAAGTAAATTAAAAGCAGCCCAAGAAAAAAAACTGAATTCGTATAACTGTATAAGTCATAAGTAAAATGAATCTTAGGAAAGTTCTACATAAAATATTTCAGTATCATGTCCATATTGTTTTTCTGACACACGCAGGACATAATTTTTGTATTACCTGATTAAGAATAGTCCCGTTAAAAAAATTCTTCACGGTAAATGGGATTCCTTCAGCAGTTTAATAAAAGATGGCACAGTATGCATACTTACACTCCTTTCACCAAGCAATGACCCGCAGTCAAAACAAAGCTAGGTGATATTAGTGACCCGGTGCACTGGCTTTGAAGAGAAGGAAAGGGCTCAAAAACGATCCTGGCCAAGTGTGCGAATCCCAGTCTTCGGTCAGTGACAACGTATCCATTGATCACGACGGGATCGATATCATTCTGAGAGCTTTGATTCCTGCTGTTCGAATTTTGAAGTTTTCCTGCAAACGTGGTTGAAAAAAACTTGCATTCAAACCAACTTTCGTGCGGTCTTTCATTCGACTCCTTTTCCTTTGCTCTTCTCCCCAAAAATACGGTATTATCCTATCATCGTCTCATCAGCCAGATCGGCATTAATTTCCGTCGCATATACTGTATATACACCTTGTATATATGCACACAACTTGAAATAAAGCTCGTTGTCCGCAAAATCAATTCTTTATATTACAGCACATTAACTATATACGACGAAGAGAGAACATATGCTGAATTTATCATGAAAAGCAAAACATACTACCGCATATCCCACCAAAATGCATCTCACAGTACAATATTATCATCATCAACAAATCACGGAATTGTAAGACTAGAAATATTCATACCGCGACCGGGGATTATTATTTTTCAACAAGCGCGGGTTTATGCGTCGAAAACAAAAAGTTGAAAATCTATATTTATATATAATATATATCAGCACGAATTGCAATAAATTGAATTGATCTTGTTTTATTGAATAATAATCAATTTGATATGCTTAAATAATATTCAATTTGTATAGGCAAGGGAGTCGTGGAACGGTGATGATGAGGGGCATTATTAACACAATAAGATCGTAGCCGTGGTATTACTGTACCAGCATTATTGTTGCCGGTTGTGATGTTCGCCGCTTGCACACATGCTATTAGTAACAGCAGGAACTGAGGGGAAAGCAATCCTCTCATCTTTTAGATTCCAAGAACTTTCACGTGAGAATATAAACTGTTCTCAGTATTTTTTTTTTTAAACAAATGACAGCCGCAGTTGCACGTATAGCGCTGTCAATGTCAAAGTTGAAGTACTGCGATCCTGCTCACATTTGCCGTTGAATTCTAACTTTATGTTCGGGAGGATGAACAAAGCGTTGAAAAACACGAAGCCACCTTTGTCAATGTTTTTCTCGCGCGATGTTATTGTCACGTCACAGACTGTTGGGTTTGCTGTCGTATATTGGCCTCACTGCTCGAAGTGCGGTGACGCACAGGGTTGTTTATGTTTTCGCTCGCTGCGTTGTCAGGTGCAGGGATGCGGAGAGTTTTTTTGAAATCCGTACATAGCGAATGGGTACACTAATATTTTTTCGTTATATTTTCTGGCTATTCAAAGGAAAGTCCGACGTTCATTTCGCGTTCTAAAAAAACTGTCTTCATTTGATAAGCTGTATATTGTGCCAGGGGCCAGGGTAAAACCCTGATGCAGTACAGTAATGTACAGTATTTATGAGGCTGGCGTTCAACTGAACAGTGGCGTGTTGATGGGCCTGGTGGAAGATCCCTTTGTTGGGTGAGGAAGGAGTGGTAAAGCTCGGTGGACCTTTTTGCGTCGTATCTGCGAGGGTATAATTTTCAACGATGCAGTACAGTACTGTAATAGTTCTTCGTGTGAGCTTCAATTGTGGGCACTCGTACACGAGAGGTGACCCCCTGAAAAATCTACCATTTCCTCGTGAATTAAGGTATTCAGCCTGTCATACCGAAGTCCTCGATTAATTCAAACCATGGCTGTAATTCAGGACTGCGCTTGAAGCGTAAATTAGTTGGGAGTTTAGGAAAATGAGTGAACAAATTTTCTTTCGGGAATTGAAGTACCTTGTGACTATTTCGTGCTATCGGAATAGTTTTCTGGAGCTCAGGAAATGTACGTAACAAATGTTAAGTGGAAGGTCCAGAGTTATTTTGCTGCTGTTAAAAAAAAAAGAATGCGGAATGCATGGTTCCATTTTTGCACATGATTATATCTGTGCCTATTTTGAATCGCGGAAATCCGTGTTCAGCACTTATCAAACGTCGCTCATTTATTCCGGAAGTTGATATCATTATTGTTTTCCAGGTTGAATCTCCCTGCTATGCAGAATTCATCATAGTTCTTTCAATATTGATGCGGTGCTGAAGGTGTTTCAAATCTTCCGAATGAGCTGGATAGCTATTAATAAAACGTGAGTAGCCTCTTCCCGAATCAGCGATTTCGGATGACGTTAAACTTACTTAGTTCTTGGAAAATTTATTCATGCGTTTTACATCGTTTTGCAGGGTCATGGGAAAATGAATTCGTACGACGAGGACTTGAACGAAAATCGATTTCTAATATCTCTGCGTTGCAATCATTACCCTATTTTGAAGCAAGCAATAACTGAAGGATGGGTGATTTGCGTCCCTTGCCAAAGATCACTGAAAGCGGATGAATTTACCGAAGATGAGATATTTAGCAACGTACTTGCCCCTTCGAATGACATTAGCAAACGTGAATACCGAACGCTTGCTGGACAAATGGTTTTAAAGGACGGCTTTAATCTCCATCTCACCACCTCTGGAAGCGTTAGCAAAATACTGGCGGGAATTCTTTTCCACGAAGAGTTTCATTGCGATGGTGGATCGAAGTACAATGTGTGGTGCATTTCGCGATCGTTGGGAAGCATCGACTCCGACGACGTTACATTGGAAAGTGAGGACGATAACGCGAATCTGTCTTCCGTTCAAGATTGTTTTGCCTATCTGAAGAGACGAGTGGCCGAAAAGGGTTTAGGGAAAATCGATGTTGCTATCACAAAAGTGACGAAGATACTGTGTGAAGCGCCTTCTGTGATGGCGATCAGCTTCAAAGTGGAGTCCGTTTACCAAGAAGCTCTAAGCTGCTTGGAGAACCCCGACAACTGCGACTTCATCATGTCATCTGCCATCGAATCCTATGTACTTCACGAAATTTACAAACCCGTCATGGAAGCTATACGCCGTGCAACAGCCAAAGATGATGCGGAATTGAATAAACGTCGCAGAGAGATAATTCGACATTTGAATTATCCGGAAGACTTCCATGTTCGCGATGAGCTGATACCAGTGTTGTCAAGGGTTAGACGGGAACTCGAGAAGCTTCCAATGTATCGATCGACTTTGGAGAAATTAGAGTGCCTTAGTCGAACGATGAGAATTGCCACGGACCACGCGGCCACGTTCGGAATCATGACGACAACTGACGATTTCCTGCCCATTCTGATTTGTGGGATCATATCTGATCAAAGAAACGCTTCGTGGTACGCCGAACTGTGCTTTTTGAAGAATTTCCGACTCTCAGTCAATGACCGGGACGAAAGGGCTTATTACATTGCTTCCTTGGAGGCGGCATTGGAACATTTAAAGACTGCCAAATTCTCTCTGATATGGTTCCGGCCTTCGTTCCATGAGTCCTTCCACGAACCTTATCTTGTGTACGCCGAACAGCTTTGGTCCGCTGTGGAATCCAACGACTGCAGTAAAATTGACCTGATCGCTGCCGAAGTTCGTAGAAGTGGAGCCAGGCTCGGGAACCGACTTTGCCATCCCCTGTGTTCCTGCTTGGAATGCGCTGACATCAAACGCATGGAAGCAGATTCTGCTGGAGGATTAATCAATTGCGGGGATGACCGAGGAATAACGCCTTTACATGTTGCTGCAGCTTCGGGACATCCACGGGTCATAGAGCATTTATTGTCGCGTGGAGCAAGAGTTAATATCTCGGATTGTGTGGAATATCGCACCCCACTTCACATCGCTGCTTATGGTGGTCACACGGATGCCGTGCTTCTGTTATTGTATGCTGGAGCTGATGTGAATTCGCGTGACGTGTCTGGTCGTGTATGTCTGCATTTGGCTGCCTTGGCAGGGCACAAAAATTGCGTTAATGCATTGCTGTATTTCGCGGCGCATTCGGGATTGGATGTGGACTCGTGCGACAGCAACGGAGACTCCGCATTGCACATGGCTGCTCTCTGGGGATTTAACGATGTAGCAGCTGCCCTCTTAGATCACAAAGCTAATCCTACGAAAAGGAATTTCCGCGGGGAAACTCCAATTGACCTGGCTGCCAATCCCGTTGTTGGGGACCTTCTGAAATCTAAACGGGACGGGGATCAAAACGGAAAGAGCTCTTTTGTCTTCTCGCCGAAGCGTAGTAAATGGTCTTCCATTTTTGTGAGGAAGAAAGACAAAGATGGGCTGGATGCTGGTTCAGACCCAAGGCTTGAAAAGTGTTTCCGAGCTATCACGTTGGGTGATGTTCGTTTGGCGTGTTTCTATATGGGAATCGATCCTTTTGAAAGCGGAGGATCCCACAAGCAGAAGTGTCATCCGTTGTGCGAGTGTAAGACGTGTTCTGCGAATGAAGACTCGGAATTCCTCTCGATTGATTGCCACAATGAAGACGGTTACACGCCCTTGCATCTGGCTGCCCTGCATAATCGCATCGAAATAGTCAAGGCATTGCTTGTCAATGACGCGGATCCGAATAAAACCACGGCGAGAGGAATGACTCCGTTGCATTTAGCTTGCCAATGTAACTTGGTGGATGTTGCGAAGATGCTGCTTGCCTTTCAAGCGGATCTGTCAGTCAGGGATCAAGCTGGGAATTCTGCATTGCACTACGCGTGTATTTTGGGAAACGTTGAACTAACCAGGATACTGTTGGCGTTTGGCGCTGCGGATTCAGGCGTTAATACTAACAAACGAACCCCTTCCATGGAGGCGAAAGAGCGCAAATTCTTTGATATTCTTAGACTTTTCGCCAGCTCCTGATGCAGTCTATAATTTTTGGATTGCGAATTATTGGTGAGTGACATCCGTGTTTCCTAAAGTCTGACGTTAATTATTTCACTGTGAACTTCAAATACAATTGTAGGAAACGTTTTTGAATGGTTTCTATTGCATACTGTCGTTGAATACGGTGTTGAAAAAGATAAGGCGTCGTCAGTAATGAACGTTGCGCCTTAATCGAGGGAGATTTTAAAAAGTGCAGTACCGTACAATACCTTTAAATAATTACCTACATGTACCCAAGCCTTATAGTCCGTATATTCCTAATCGCTGCTGTATTTAAAGCGCTGTACTGTTTAGCGAGCCGTTACTTCGTCTATCAGGGATCCTCTTCAATCTCAGTCCAGACTTTGAGAAATAACTTGCTCGTTGCAGTAATTTAACCTTCAAGGATTTGAGGTTGACTTTCACATCCAGAACTTGTATCCCAACGATTTCAGAGATTACGACATTTTATTCTTTGGCGCATGGGTATCAGATGCCTAAAATCGCGAGGAAGGAAAAATTTTATTTTTATTACTGTGCAGTATTCGAATTAATTTTTGCTTAAATTGCCTGACCAGTACCATACATTGAAGGAGTTGAAGGTAAATGTGGCCTCTACAGTTCGTACTATTACAGCAAGGTTTTGTAGTTTCAATGCTCTGAATTGTTTCCAATTCAAACTTGAATGATCAAACCTGCGAAGAAAGGTCGAGGAATTTTCCAATAGTATAGCACTGTATACAGTATTCCTTTCCTGATAATTACTTCTACCTCTATTCAACACGAAATGCTTTAAAATGTAATCATGAATCGTCCCTAGTTTTTGCGTGAATGCATTAGTTTTTATTAATTGAGCGGCGGTATTGGATTAACTTGACAAGATTGGTCGTCCTATTTAGGACCAATTCGTCCTATTGCTTTAAAATGTTGACCGATATTTTTAAGCTGTGATGCTTATTAAATCGGTCTGTATTTTGATTTTCAGGTGATAGGGGCTTGTATAACCCCCCAAAGTGACCTGGAAACCCGAGGCTACGCGAAGCGGATTCAGCACCTCGTGCAAATACAGTATATTGATACTCAGTGCGTTTAGTCACGTCTGAAGTGAACACAGGGTTTCTTATATGACGAGTTGTGACCAAGTTTTCAACCTGCCGCGGTTATTGGCGATTCTGGTTAGGCCGAATGTGATTTCGAAATGTGGCAATTTTATTTTTTGTGTTTGTTGCTGAATCTCCTCGAGGATTGTATTCCTATGTTAACTGCACACGTCTTTTCCAATGTTGCCTGATGTGCCTATGCTTTGAATGATGGACTGTTTTGCTGATGTTCTAATACGGATTCTGTCTGACATGAAAGAATAAAAAAGAAAAAGGAAAGATTGCTCGTGTGAACATTTTTTTCTGTGATCACCTTTTCAAAATGTGGACACTTTTGACTTGACAGGTTCCGAAAATATTGGTGTTCATTGATAGTGTGTGATTTGTGATGTCCTCTGGCTAAATAACCAATGACTGGTAAGATTTCTAATTCAACCATTGAAACTGTAAAGGTTTGATCAAAGTCTTTCGCCGGACAGGGACGTCAAAATGGGACAAGCAAAAAGCAATCTGGTCTCCAATGACCTGGATCTTGTGATGGTGAAGCTTGTCAACTCCGCTTCTAATTGGAAACAAATCGCCGGTTTGACCTACGCTGAATTCTTGGAGCAAATTGCGGATCTCAACAGACTGTAAGCAGATCCGAATTGCTTGTGATGAACACATATTACTTATTCTTTAATTTACTTAGGTCAAATTCTTTTCAAGACAGCAAAGGAAAGCGTTTATTGTTCGCAGTGAAACCAGGAACGGACGATTCATTTTTGTGGAAGGCTACTGTGCGCATTGCTTGTTGTAAAATCTGTGGAGGAGAGAAAGGAAAGCTTGAGTCTTACCGGCTTCTGAATATCAAACAGCTTCAAAAGGTAAAAATCTGTTTTGTAATATTTATTGTAATACAGTGGAGATAAATCTTGAATTTATTGTCGCAATTTGCATTACAATTTTTATGTTTTCTGCAATGAGTATTCTCTGTTACTGTATTTTGTTCCTGTCGGGAAGGTGTCGTGTCTCAGCTCTTTGCTCGAATACGTTAGATATTTACCACAATGCTAACTGACCTGGACTTGAATAGCATATTTAACGAAGTCATATTCGGGGAAATCCGACTTCGGTAAATACATTTCAACGCCGATAAAATTGTCAAGATCACGAAGGAGTATTCTAAAGTACATCTATTTAGTGAAAACCATGAGCTATTCAGACGGCTTGATTCTGTGGGTTTTTTCATGTTCGGAAGACGGCTTGATGGCAGAGAAACAGTTTTCCGTAAATTTTGCGCGAGTACCGTAAAATTTCCATTTTTGGAGCCTTCTTCTCAAATAAGTATAATTTAATGCATTTTCAGGTTCACCAGAATTTGCAACTGCAAGCTGAAGAAATGTTGAAATCCTACAAGAGCAATCGCCCTCATCCTGATACAGCGTCTAGCAGTTCCAGTTGTGAGACAAGTGACTCGAGTGATTATGACGAGACTGGAGCCGCCGCGAAACGCAAAACTTTTAAAACCTTGCGGCCGAAACTCACTGCGTCGTTGATTCTTGAGGAAGTTGGGGCTGAACTGGGCACCGATCTTGAGGAATGCTGCATTTGCTTCGAGCGACAGCCTGAAGTTATTCTTCCCTGCGCGCATAGTTACTGCTTGCTTTGCATTGAGCAGTGGTGAGTAAAAGTGTCTTTTCATATATATGCTATGAGGATTCCCAAAATTTTTTTGAGAAGTTAACTGAAAATGAGATAGCAGCGAAATCATTTTCGATCAAATTTATTGCTTGGGCTTTTTTTTTAAATCCACAGCTTTGCTCGAATTTTTTGCGTACTAAATTTTGCGTGCTTAGGGGCTATCTACGGGGATGTTTTAAGACAGGTACTTTGTTTTAGAAACATTTCAAATGAGTTAATTTGGTTATCGCATGAGGAAAGAAAAATCACGTACAGTACTTTATAGTGCTTCTTTTTCTGGATGATAGACTGCGGAAAAATAATCAAATTCTTTCACTTCGTTAAAATGATTTCTTTTCGATATCGCTTTCCTTTCGTCCTTGATCGGTTATTTATTTATTTTTTTCAAATCAGAAAATGTTCTGAACGTGTTGTGGAGAAAAATTGTGTCCGCGGATTTTTATACAGTATCACGCCTCATCATGTTTCCATGAGAAAACAGAGGGAGGTTCAAGAGTTATGTCTGTATACCGTGAAACACTGTTCTTTGTGTACCCATGTTTTCTAAAGTCAGAATAATCGAAACCATTTTGGTATTAGTGGTCGGACTTGAAGTGAGCCTCAGTATATTTTCCTTCAACTGAACGAAGTCATATTTTTGTTTTTCAACTGTCTCTTTTAATAGCCTTTCAATTTTGACATTTTTGCCGAAGTTTCTTCGATATGTGAAATACGTAAGTGAAATTACGAGGTAATTTCGTTGAAAGGAAATTGGAACCTGATTTGATCACAGCGATGAGGTGCTCGTTCGATTCTATGTCTTGGCCTGAATTCAACTTGTTGGGGCAAAAATTGAATTTATCACGAAACAATGACACTATGTACGACTGTACTGTGCAAATTGTCCGTCCAACTAGACACAGGATTTGTAGCAAAACGACGATAAAAGTTATGAACCGGCTCTCGTACCTGTTCTCATTCTAGGAACGTTAACAGTCAAACCTGTCCTGTCTGCCGGAAGGACCTGGAAAGTATGCAAGATACTTGGGTGATTTCTGGGATTCCTGATGCTGAAGAAATTTCCCAAGAAATCCAGAGGTGTTTGTCTGAATTAGGAAAAACTAGTGATTAAGGCTTTTATAAAAGCGCAAACATTCCGACGGGCATTTGTTTTAAGTTTGACGATTAGTCTTTCTGTGCACAGATAATAAATGTCTGAATTTTATTTATAAACCATCAAGTTTTATTGTATTTTATTGTCTCAACACTTTGATTCTGCAGGAAGTAGTTTCTATGTTTACACTTGTGAAAAGCACGCAAATTCCGTATGTTTTCGAAGGGTATGTTAATGAATCATTTTCGCCTGATCAGATGCTGCCAAGTTTATAAACGGAAGATGAAATTTTTACGTTGAATTTTTAGTGAAGGTATTTTATTCAACCTTTTTTTATGGTAATGTTCTTGTTTCGAAGGAAAACGCGGACTAAAGGTTCCATATTGTCCTATTGACATGTTTAAACACTTACAGTCTCATGTACCATTAATTTTTCCTTCAAGATATGTAAATTATTTACTCCGATAAGCTTTAAATTATTATTGCGTGCAGTCAACCTCTTCCGTCGGAAAAAAAAACAGAAGAGCAAATGCAGTAACTTCAAATGGCAACCGATCCGACGCAAGCGATACTTCTTTCCGAGGTGGGTTCAATGGAGGAATGACGAATATGTTTTAGATTTTTAAACGTTTCCTCTTTTTACTGAAAGTTCAAAGAACTGGTGCGTCCACTGTTTCATCCAAAATTTCACGACACCGGTGATTCTGCTCTGATGAAATGGATCTTGGGTAAGTTTCGTTGGAATATTTTTAATGTAGGATTATCTCTCGTTAGTTTTTGCTTTATATGGTTGCACTGAAATTACTCCGCAGTAAAAGGAGTTCTTTTTTGGCGTCCTTTTATTTCTGTAAGAAATAGATGACGGCGATCATTGAACTTTGTTCGCGATTTCGTTCGGAACGTCTTCTATGAAAGAAATGGTCAAGAGGAGCAAACATTGAGAAATTTGGTCATTGCTTTTTCAAAGCTATCTCGATCCAAATCAGTCCTCGTGTGTTTTGGTAGCACTTCTCATTTGCCTGCTGAAGGCATCAGAAGCAAAAATGGAACTAGGGATCGCTCAGTGTCAGAATTACCTGTGATCGTGGCGTATTAGAGGAATATGCCCTAGTGATGAACTGTGTAGGAAAATTCCTTTTCTTTTCTAGTTACGTTCGTAAGACTAATTTTTTCGCATTCACATTTTGCATTCGATAATTCACGTCACCAATACAAAATTTCTTTCAAATCTGTGAGAAAAGCTAGCTTTCATGAAATGATTCAGAAGATTCCTGAAGTGACTCTCTTTTTACGCATAAGAATTAGAGCATCGAGTCGATTGAATTGTGATACTGTACCTTGAACCTGATACCTTTGATTAGGTGATCCGAACTCCGCAAATAAGTAAATTGTTGACTCCACTAACACTTTTGCAGTGAACGATTTCAACGTGGAAAATGCCGTGGACGCTTTTCGTGATGTGAGTCCTAATCCGTGTTCAATTCCAACGTAATTTATTCCCGAAAAAAACTATACATCGTTTTTATTTATTTCAAATTGCTTTCAGCACTTGGTTTGGAGATCGAATTATTCCGTAGATGACATCGAAGAGAAATATATCCCTGTGGAAGTGATGAAGTTATATTCTGTAGGAGGTTACGTTGGTCCAGATCGAGAAAACCGTCCAGGTGAAACATTATTTGAAGCCTAATTTCATATTGCGACGTGTTTTCACGTGGCTGCAGTTTTGTTTCTGCCTTTTTCTTACGCCGATTTGAGGGGGTTGAGGAGGTCGACCAAAGCTGAAGACTGGATTCTTCATGCGATCAAGTTGCTTGAAGAGGGAAAACGTAGGTGCAGAATTTCTACGGATATCCACGGGACGGATATTGATAGAATCACGATTGTGTTTGATATTGCGAACACTTCTGTGGGATTGTTCTTGTGGTTGCCGTTCTTTGAAGTCATGTACTTCCTTCTGCGCATGTTTGATGACAATTACCCGGAATTCGCCCACAAAATTATCGTTCTCAACTGTGAGTTCCGGCTTTTTTCCCCCCCTTTTTTTTTAATATTCACGTCCGTAGCGTTTTTCTTTTAATTACGCCATTTAGGTCCTCGTATGTTTTCGGTTGCGTTGATGATGATTGGACAAAGTCTGCGCAAATCAACGGCAGAGAGAATTCAGTGTTACGGGAGGGACGAGGCCGAATGGACGGAGGCAATATTCGCGGAAATCGATCCTGAAAAATGGCCCAAGCATTGGGGTGGGAAATTTTCCGAGGGTATCGATGAAAGGTGCATTCAAAGCGTGAGTTTAATCGATCCATTTAATCCTTCAAATTATGGATCCCATCGACTTCAGCGTTAAATGTGATTACGGGTGGACTTCCCGAGATGATCTTGTCTCTGTAAAGCTCATCTTCTTTTGTCCCGGTCCACCTTCTGTTGATGCACGAGCAGTTCCTTCACCATGGATTTATCTGCGCAACGAAGTATTTTTATTTAAAGGAAGTTCACCTGTGTGATTTCGTAAAATGAGTCTGCGAAAATAGCGCTGTGCGAAATTTTCGTTTTGAGGGCCTTTCGTAAAGCAGGGACCAACTATATTTCCGAAATTACTGCTTGCATTTTTATGATTATGAAGATGAATGTTTTAAAAATTGCTGTTCAAAATAACCAGCTCGGAAAGGGATTCATGGTACCCGAAGAATTCTATTCGCATCCCACGGATGATCCTCCGAGCGAACTCATGGAGTATCTTTCCCGTCGCACGTTGCCCGCGATTCGAAAAAGGGTGGACTCTGTTACCGGAGCAGAAAACCGGGAACACATAGAAAATATAGCGGGGAATTTTTTGGCGGAACGTTTGACCAACGATGCCGGTTATATGCTTCGCGAATTCATCGAGCATCGGATCGGTCCTTTAATTTCGGAAACAATCAACACGTCGCGTGGACCTTTACGGAGAGACAGGTGAAATTTTCTTTTTCATTTTTTGCGAATGTATCAAGAATTTTTTTTCATTTTGACGAGATAAAAATCATCTTGTTACCTGTGTAATACTGATCAAGTGACGGTCTGAAATTAGTATAGCCTCCTCTTCAAAAAATTGGCTGTGCAATTCACATATTCGAAACTTCGAAGATTGGCTCCTGAAATAGATTCATTGTTCAGCAGTAGTTGTGAAAGGAAATAAAGGCAAGAATAAGAAAAATAGGTGATACGCGTTCTGAGATCCTGCTCAATTTTACTTGAACGGAGCCTCGGTTTTATTCTTGGGGATGGATTTGTATTGATTTTGAGAATCCTGGAAAAATATTGTGCGGCAAGCATGAAAATATCGCTCGAACAGGTTCATCATGTTTTAGCCGTCCTTGCCAAAAGGAAAAAGAAATAAAAAAGACGAGTGTATTGTAGGACGCTGTGAGGGGAATTTTTGAGAGCAACTAAATGGCGAATACAGTACCGAATTACAGTATCTACCGTGGTTCTTCTATCGATTAACGTGATCGATTTTGATTGAAAGCCCTTGACCTGAAAATTCGTTAAAAGCGGTAACGTAAAGCTACGCAGAATATCTAATTGGTTCCATCCTTCGGGAATGTTCTTCTACTGAGTGCTGTAATATGAAACTAAAATAAATGCGAATTAGTTCCAGATCCACAGCAAGTATTCCTAATTCAATCCTGGACTGTATCGCTGAATAATTTTTACGCGAAAATATAAAAATAGCCCGAAACCCCATCACAGCAACACCAAATACAGTATATTTGAAATACTGATATGAAGTCCATTATTCATAGCAAGGCGTCCGCTATTCAAGCCAAAATCAAAGGCTGCCTAGGTAAATTTCACGAAAACTATCATGCGGGATGTTACTGCCATGTTTTGAAATTGTTGCAATTCTTTCCTTAGGATATGGTTCGACTCGTTGAACCACGCCAAAATTCCCCTGGAACGATTCAATGTGATGCTTGTCTATATAGTACAATATTTCTAAAATTCTGACGGATTAATGTTCTCAGTCTATTCACTCCACTGGGAATGCTTTTGAGGGAAACGTTAACCAGTGTCAACCAACGAACAACGCGGCAGAGGATAGAGCTGGCATCAGAAAGATATGGAAGATTGATGAATGAACATATTGCCAGTATTCGACACGAGATCCCACCGACGTTCAGTGTTTTGCCCCCGAGGTATTCCCACGAAGAAACGTTCGTGATCCCGAATGAAGCGAAGCTAGTTTACCCTGTGCTGATTGATTCCGCTGGTTGGACCATCAGGTGCGACTGCTTGTGTAATTTTCGCCTTCAATATGAATATCAAATGATGCCAGTCTTCGCGACTCTCCCCTTTTTTCAGGTGGTTGTATTTACTGAAAGGATCATATATTGATTTCGTGATGAAATTTTCAACGGATGTTGAAAAAATTGTTAAAGAAGTCCGAAGAGTAGCTGTTTTTGATACCTTTGAAGGAGGAGAAAAACGATGGGCGATTGTGAAACCTCGGTCAAGACTTCTGGGATCTACGGAGCCAGGAGACGATAATGTTTTCTGTGCAGTTCCGGGCTATTGTACGTTTTGGCATCATCACAAATTCTCCATTTCATTTTTCATTTCAACCAACAGAGCACGTGGGCCAATTTAATTCAAAATTAACCTAAAAAAGTGTTAGAATTTCGGTTGTTTTGAATTTGCTGGACATTTGGTGGTGAATGTGAGAGAAACTTTCAGTTGAATTTATTTTTGTCCCAGTCCTTCTTTCATTTTAAATCAACGAAGTAGAATGAGTATTGCAATAGGTTTGGATTATTTTTAACTAAAGCATTTATTTTAAAGTAATGATTGAACCTTTTCGAATTTTTGACCACAAGCATGAATGAATATTTATGTTTTCTCTTATTCGATGAAAAGCTGTCGCTGCGCTCAATCATTGCTTACTCTAGTATCCGAACATAATCTCTCTTATTTCACCACGATTTTTCAACCCGGAAAAAGAGCAGAAGAAAAATTTGAGTGATATTTCATCCAAGAGATTCCTCTACGCAAATATGACATTCAAACGCATGGTGCATCTGGAAGTCCACTCCTAATTGAAGTTAAACTTCGTACCAGAATTACTCACGGAACTTCAGTCTCGGCCATTAAAAAATAGGAGTGTTTGAGTTTCGAATATCAACGAATGATGTTCAATATTCAGAGGTTCTTCCGCTTTTGCTCGCGTTGTGTCGATTGTCGGAGTTTTTGAGCGCCGACGATTTCTTATTGTGCTTAATATTTCCAGATGTACTGGAGTTCAGCAACGCATTAAGCAGACGGGAAACTAAAGTGCTTTACTTATCTGTGGATCTGGATCCACCTGATACGCAACCTCAGCGTCCGCACCGAGATCTTGATGCTACAGCTGTTCCCGATTCCACGTATAAGAATACCGTAACTCCGGAACCTCCTCAGCCTAAAGAATCACCGCTCGCGCTCAAAGCGAAAGCAATCTCCTCGAACATTAATTTATCCCAGCCTTCGAAATCGGAAAACCTGCCACAACAGGAGAAAATCATTGAAAACGAGAGGACTGAAATGAATGAGTCTGTTGCCGATAATGTGGCAGCTTCTGAAACGAGATCGGAAGACACGGGATCGAGTGCCACGCAGAATCAGCCAGTTGCCCAAGGCGATGATTCGCAACAAAAAACCGAATAGAATCACGAAGTTTTGTCGTGAAATTTGAAGATTTTTCATTATTTTATCGAAATAGTCGAATAGCTTTACAAGGCATTTTGCATCTCCACATAACGAAAACAGTGTAGTTGAAGAATACATTGTTACCAGTACGTTTCCAACCTGTGCCATGTGATTACTGCGATACTTCGCGCCAATCTGGTGGTGAAGAATAAATAATTTGTTGCGAATTTCGGATTACGATAAAGGTGTTCTAGTGAAGAGAATAGAATATTCATGAAGTGATTGTGCTGAATTGTGTAGTAGGCTTGAACTGCTTCGTCGTTGACTCGAGTTGAAGCCATTTTTGGAGTTTGGTATTCCGGAAGTATTATACATGGCGTTACACGTTTCCGCGCGGACTTCATTATATCTCGAGCTCCCCGCCAGTTTGGACGTTCTCCCCCTCCTTCGTACATTACTGGAGGCGTTTTCGTGACTTTCCTGCAGAATGAAAGAACGCAGGAGCCGTACGAGTGATGTCGTACCAGTTTCCCGCGGCGTTCGCGCGGCTTTGACTGTGAGAGAATTTCGAACTGTCATTTGCTACAATTTTTGTCGTGGCTTGACAACCACGGAATGCCTGAAGGAGCTGAGGGAGGTTTTCGGTGATTCTGCCCCGAAGAAAACGATGGTCTGCACGTGGTATCAGCGTTTTTCAAGCGGCCACATGACGAGAGATGACGAACACCGTGAACCCAAGCCGAGGACGTCGAGAAAGGCCAGCAACGTCGAACGAGTGAAGGAGCTGGTGGATGAAGATGGAAGTCTCTCTGTCGCCAGGATGGCCATGGAGCTGAATATCAACAGAGAAGCTGTTCGTCGCATCCTGACAGAAGATCTTGGATACAGAAAAAAGTCAGCGAGGTGGATCCCCCGCCAAATTGTTTCAACTCGTATCAACGCTGCCAAGGATTGCAAGTCTTAAAATCCTGGAGAAATTATGAAATTTTATGAATGAAAGCGTCGGGTACGAATTGATTGTGAAAAAGGTTTATGCGTATGAACGTAATGTAATTCTTCCTCTCTTACGAATGTGTTTCGCTTCAAATTGCATTTCAATTCTGAATGAGCTGACTGACGAAAAATGCTGCCACATTATCGACGACGTGAATGTCTTATATTTTACAGGAATAAGACAAAATGGAAGCCGGGCTGGAGTCCCTCGGTGCCGATGGTGCCACAAGTGTAATGCACGCTTTAAGTCAGCCCGCGAGCAATTACGGAAATTCCGCGGACGTTGAAGCATTATGGTGTTTAGCCGCGGTCAAGTTTTCTGAACTACACTTCGACATTATCGCCAGCGTTGATGCGAAGCTGCTCCGATTAACGCCCTACGACGATATCATTGCTGAGCATTTTCGCAGGTAACTGGAACCGTGGCGAATTGTATTTTTTATACTGTACAATCTTACAGTTTTTCACGATATGATGCTGCCAACAATTGTGGAGAAAACGTACGGGGAATGAAACCTTATTACTGTACATCAACTTATTTTGCTGATAACCCTTATTTTCCGCAGCAACCCATTATTTCTTCAAGGATAACTCCTTGCAGTATCCAATGAAAACAATGGCATGATGCCTGAGAAACTGCTAATCTTAATCGGGTTATGCGTTAGTGGCGCAGAAAGCTATTGTTCGAACTAAGCAAGAAATCCGAGATCATCTCCTCAATTAATTATACCATCCTGTAATCCTTTATTGTTCAAGGTTGCGTAAATTTGAACCTTCCTTTTCAGCAAAATTGTGCTTCTATTGAAATTTTTTTAGCTGGTTCCCGAAGCTGAACGTGGTGAAGTTGAGGGTTCAGGAGCTGCATGACATGGAGGAGAAGCGGAAATGGAATCGTTTCTGCGAAGCTTACAAGTTTTACGCCGACTTCAATTTTTGCACCTTGCTTCGCGTGGATGCGACGCAAGGTTACACAGAAGAGAACACGGTTCTCGTTCCCAGGATCCAGTTCTATGCCATTGAGATAGAACGGAACCGAACGGGTGCCAATGACGTCGTCCGACACCGTGAAGGCATGTGTATAAGTTGTTCTTCGTTGCAGGAAACAGAAGCTTCAGAGAAAGGCGACGGTTAAGAAGTGTCTTTTGGTGTGTTTTGCTATGATTTTTACCTTGTTTTCCCGAAAATTTCCATGCATGTTTTCATCAGAGCGTAATCAGGACTTCTTTTCAATTTTTTTTATCATGTTCGTATAAAAACAATGTATCGATCTTGAAGAGGCAGTAAGGTAATTCTGGGTGATGAATGAAGGTAGTTTTAACTCTCTTAGAGTTACAAGTGGAATACCTCTGGAAATCCTGTTTTCATCGCTATTTTTTCTTCATTAGCATAGACTTTTTATTTCTGAGAAACTTGAATTTGATACACTGTTCGTCGATGAATACATCGGCAAAAACCGAATTTCCTTTTTAAAACACAAATTGGATTGCTATTTAATTTTCTGCATTCCTGTGGGTGATGAATGTGCAGGTACAGTATAAGAATTTGAGGTACACTCGATGTCTGAATCTCGGTCATCGGGGAAAAAATTCAATTAGTGTATGTGCTAGACTATAACGGGAAGTTCATTTATTGTTCGTTGTCATAGCATGATCTAAATATTTTATTCTTCTTGGTGGTAAAATCTTAACTTGGGCTGAACCATCCGTATGAGAACATTTTAATGATTTCGAGGGGTCCTCTTTTTTTCGGGTAGGACTTGAATGGTGCACGTGATTGAATTGTTGAACGAAGCCTGCTGAGGCGTATATTTTGACAGAGTGAGATTTTCGGGGAAATTCGGTATTTTTAAGTTGAATGCGGTTTTTCGTTTTATTCATGTACGTTCGTCAACGTTACTTGGTTCATTAGTTCTTCCAGAAAACAATGGAAGTTGATACGAACGATGCAGTGCGTGTTTTGGTTCAGTTCAAATCGGAGGCTGGGGAACCCACGGGGGCACCTTTTGACCTTCCGTTGAACATAACGGTTGATAAATTGAATCTCCTTTGCTGCGCATTTTTACAGAAGGTGAGCGTTTGTGAGTGTGATTTTTCTTCGTGGCTTTGGATTGCAATATTTTGAATTTCAGGAGGAAGTTGTACCTTACAGTTTCTTTGTGGACGATGAAGAGATCGTGACGAGTTTGCACAAGGCTCTCTCGGGGAAAGACTTGGATCATGAGAAGGTTTTGGACATAATTTATCAGCCGCAAGCCATATTCAGAGTTAGAGCTGTTACACGTTGCAGCAGGTGAAAATTGCTGTTTGATTTCTTTCAAATGACTGCTTTCTCCTTTTGTGTGAGTTTTGTCTGGTTCCGACGCAAAATAATAGCTATTGATGGTAGCCGGGATAAATTAGATTTCGAGTAATCATATGAAGTCGAGGGATAATTCGGTTGATACCCCACATCGAAATAAAGAGCAATTTTTCTCACGTGTTGAAACCAACAAAAACAAAATCAAAAAAGGATATTCCATTTAACGTGGAAACCAGCCAACCCGCTTAATCTAAAATCTAATGTTCATTTGCATTCACGTTTTCTGTGCAGCAGTTCGTGGTGGCACAAATCGTAATTTTCTCCTATTTTATTTTTCAGTTCTTTACCAGGCCATGCTGAAGCTGTAGTATCGGCCTCATTTAGTCCCGAAGGACGATTCCTAGCATCAGGTTCTGGAGACACCACAGTGAGATTCTGGGATGTTGATACAGAACTCCCGTTGCACGTCGGAAGAGGTTCGTGGATTTACTCCCTTTTCGATGTGTTTTCGAGGAACAGGACGTGAAAATAAACTTCGTGTTATAGGACATCAAAATTGGGTTTTGTGTATCGCATGGTCTCCGAATGGCAAGAAGTTGGCTTCTGGAGATAAATCGGGGAAGGTGATTTTGTGGGATGCGGAAACTGGAAATGCAATCGGGAAGCCGTTGAACGCGCATGATAAATGGATCACCTGCATTGTATGGGAACCACTGCTGACGTAAGGATTCCTTTCAAAGATAAAAACTAATGGTAAACTGAGAATGAACTCAACTTTTACGTAAATAACATTTTCAACAATTTTTTGCTTGTCTATGGACAAAATATTCGACAAGGTTCTAGGATGCTTTACAACTATCCTGTTTTTCCGTGCTTTCAAAATTTTTGCTTTCCGTATTTGCTTATAGGTACCATAGCACTCGACCTAGCGTTAATTCAGATGAAACTAACCGGAAGTGCATAATTTGGAATTCAAATTTGTTTTGGTTGCTCCAGAGATGAGTATTTTCAAGTCTTGATTGTTGGGTATGTGGATTAGTCTCCCAATTTTCTTTTTTTCAGGAATGCAGAATGTCGAAGATTCGCTACCAGCAGTAAAGACACGCGAATAAAGATATGGGATGCGGTTCTGCGCCAGGTTCTTCTGACATTGACTGGACATACTGGTGGAATTTCAAGTTTACGCTGGGGCGGAACCGGTTTGATTTATTCTGGCTCTCAGGACAAAACAGTGAAAGTTTGGAGAGCGTCGGATGTGAGTTTTTCTTCGGACTTTTATTTTATAGAAATTCCATGTGTATGGGTTTTTGTTTTCGTGTCCGTAATTCTTTGCAGGGGGTGATGTGTCGGACATTAGAAGGACACGCACATTGGGTGAACACGTTGGCACTGAACACCGATTATGTATTACGCACTGGCCCGTTCGATCCTGCAAAAGCAGAATTGGTTTATCGAGAACTGAAGGGATCAGGTGAATAAGTTTATCCCTTGTGGATCCTGTTTTCTGACAATTCTATTTTTTGTATTGTTGAAAGCCGCTCTTTGCTTGAATTTGTACATTATTTTCATTCTTTCTTCGTCGATTTTCTGAATGAGCCTTATCAATTTGATGTTTTTCATACGGAGCTTTAGGTTTATGATTTTAGCGTCTTGCGATACAGTAATTTGCTTGTATTTAATTTTACTTGAGGGAGGCTTTCATGATACCTGACGTCTGGTTCAAAAGCTCAGTCAGTACTTCACCTTGTCATGAAGTTCTCAATTAGAACACCTCAAGCCGCCTTCTGATCGATAACCAGACTCAAAAATAAGTACTTTATTCGTGCATTTGCGTAGGATATTTTCGTGCGACAGGACTGACGTTGGGTAACTTCATGCTCACCGTTTGTAATTCTACGTGAACCCTCTGATTCAGTATCTCAAGCACAAGAATTGAACGATAATTGTTTTTCCGGTTGAACTCGGGAATTAGACGAACTATTTTTTGAAAGACAATACATATATTGAATTTTGTTGTAGTTGTTCGGCTCTATTCAAAATCAGAAAAATTCGATTGAGGCTGGTGATTTTAATGCGTGAAAATTTTAATTTGAATACCTGACGAATTTTCGCGAAATCTTGACCATCGATCTTCATTTGTAGCTTCAGAAATTGCGGAAAGGGCGAAGAAGAGATACGACGATATGATCACCGCACTTGGAGGTGGCGGAGAACGATTGGTATCAGGTTCAGATGATTTTACACTTATTCTCTGGGAACCTGAAAACTCTAAGAAAATGATCGGTAAGTCGCGAGAAGCTCGTTTATCTTCAGATCTATCCCTTGTAAATTTCAAATGCTGGTGACAGGAAGGCTAACTGGACACGTTCAATTAGTCAACGACATCAAATTTTCCCCGGATGGCCGACTAATGGCCTCTGCATCATTTGATAAATCGATCAAGATTTGGGATGGAAGGACTGGCAAGTGAGTGACAACGTGGATTTCTGAAATTTTTAAACCATGAAAGGTTCAGCGTTCATCGCGATTTAGTCAAGATTACACATACTTTCAAAATAAGGTTTTGTTTGGGCGAAACACTCGTGCATTATGCAACAGCTTTTAGACTTGGTCTCTAAAATCTGTAGATGCATAATAAGAGTAATATGAATTTTCCATTTCCTTTAACTGACAGGGAAAGATTACGAATTGTTGAAATCTTGAAAATAATGGAACACATTAGCACTGAACGCATTTTACACCGTGCACTGTATATTACCCGTTTGTTCAAAGCGTTATATGAAATTTGTATTTCTGAAAACCAGAATGCTGGCAAAACCAAGATGCGAAGGTGAGAAAGCCTGAAAAACCTTTTCTCCATGTGGACTTTTGAAATCATTTTTTGACTGTCCATACTGGTCATACTATTGCCACCAAAGCTGGGAAATCATAAATGATTCGGGAGATGATTGGAGGAACTTGGTGGTTTTTTTTTTTTGGTAGAGGGAAGATATCCAACGTATTGATTTTTCTTTTGTCCTCCGTTTATGCTACTAATTGACGATGAGTGAGTTTTGTGAATATTGATGGAGCGTTCTGAGGAACGTGGTGCGAAGATTTTTTTTGTTAATTTTAATGCAACTCAACACGGAGATTTCCGAATTTCTTTTAGATTCTTGTCAACATTGAGAGGACATGTTCAAGCTGTACATCAAATTGCGTGGTCTGCGGATTCCCGGCTCCTGGTTAGTGGCAGTGCAGATTCAACGTTGAAGGTGTGGGCCGCATACCAAATCGCGAAAACGAATTTTAATAAAGAAGGGGGTCGTGGATTGTTGTACGACCTTCCTGGGCACGCTGACTCGGTTTATGCTGTGGACTGGGCGCCCGACGGTCAACGGGTCGTGTCCGGGGGCAAGGATAAAGTGTTGAAAATGTAAGTATTGATCATAATTTCTCGGCAACATTTTAGATCTAGAGCCGAGAGTAATTTTACATAACTGCGCCGAGTCCGTTTCTCTGTAAAATTTTGAAGAGTTTCCGCTTGCCAAATCGAGTCACTTTTTCCCCATTGTTGTGAACCAAATGCTGTATTCGTTGCTGAAAGCTTTCTGAGATTTCATTGCAGAAATCAAGACATTGTAGAGAAGGAAATCAGAAATTTTGGCTAATTCGTGTTACAGTATATCGGACAGTGGCCCCTTTTACTCCCCTTCAAACGTTCTGCTTATGAACTGTCCGCTTAGCATCTTTAAATACATCGAGTGCGTTTTTTTCCTTTAAATGTTATGTCACGAATTCTCTTCTCCTTTAAAATAAATTTGTCGTACTGCCTTCCTTTTTCATGAATTTCGCCATGGCGTGTTCACATCTCAGAAATATTCACGTCTAGTAGCGCTTGCTAGTAGTACAATACATCGATCCTTTTTTTCTTTCAAAATTACAGAAAAAATTATAAATTGTAATTCAACGGTTTGTTTAGGATCATCTGTTTGTGAAAGTATTTTTTACTGACCAATTAGTTTCCTAACTATTCGTGATTCTCTTCTTTTTTTTCAGTTGGCGAAGATGAGCTGAATGTTCCTTCGCGTTGCGACTTTGAAGTTTGAAAACACGACTTCATTGGTGAAATGTTTTCGCTGTTCATTCAATCTGACACTTTTTCCGAACTCAAACCGTACTTTGTTCATCGAAGCAACTTAAAACACACTTAATCAACGACTTTCTATGAATTATTAGGCCAAGAGCAACGGTTGTCGGTCATTAACCGAGCAACTTGGTTACTGAGTTGATCCAATCCACGTAGGCGGAGACACGAATCGCTCCCGCGGCCGAAGTGCAATCTGCACGTCCGAAAGACACCGTTGCTATTAAATAGTTATTGTATGTTATCGGACCTCCGCTGTCACCCTAGAAATATCGATAATATTCAAACATGATTCCAGAAATGTCGAGTCTGTTCATGAAACTTACGCTGCAAGAGTTTTGGTTTGTAGTCCCCCTGTTGAAACACATTTGTTTTGAGTCTTTTTTGGCCCCACATGCAGTGGAATCGGCGAGCTTGACGTATCCGAACAAAAGCGTATCCGAAGGAGCTGTTGGAACATTGGAGATTAAAGATTTTGGTAGCTTTCCCGGCTTTTTCGTTACGACGTTTATGAAAATGGGTTTATAAATTTTGTTCTACAAAATTTTGTTCATACGAAAACCATTTTCGGAACTACTGCCAAACATTATGCTTTCCAAAAGAAAAATGGAAATAATCGTCTCCTTTTTCTTCTCAAAAAGAAACTAGGGCCAAATTTGTCTGATTATCTCCGTTGTATTTGATGATGTAAATTTTTGAATCATCAATGATTTAAATTTGTGTATACGGGTGGATGCTCTATAACGAAATTCATAAGATCAGAAAAAGAAGTGTTGTAGATAAAATTTTATGCACAGGTTTTGATATTTTCCAAATAAAAATATCAAAACCTGGAAAATATCAAAACCTGGAAAATATCAAAACCTGGAAAATATCAAAACCTGGAAAATATCAAAACCTGTGCATAAAATGATTAATCATGCTCACTTGATCCGCCTTCCTCGGAAACTCCCCAGCCGGCGACTGTGCAAGTGCTGTCGATTGGTACTGTGTAGTCACTCGGGGGTAAATTTATGGGTTGAATGTCAGCATTCAGTGTCACTTCAGAATTCAGAAATATCAATCCGATGTCGGTCGGATCGTTGGCCCCGATTCCTGCCGGGTAAAGGGGATACGGGATCCCCTTCCCCGAAATGGTCACTTCATTCGTTTCACCCGTTTTCGAATCCACCAAATCCCCGAGGGTGACTGTGTGCTTTGTGTACTTGTATCGGAAGAGTACCAAGCTGGACAATTGCCGGAGTCAATTCGCATTAGACTGCAGGATTTCGATTATCCGAGGTGAGGTTAACCTTGAACTATTCAAGTGTCCCTTTTAATTCTGATTTTATATGTTGAACAAAAGATGCTTGTAAAAGTGTTGATGAAGCCTCTGAATTCACTGCTAATTGAATAATTATCAAATATGATGTGTTTTGTGGTAAAATTTTCATTAATACTCGAAATGAAAGGCAGGATCAGTGATATCCGTACTGAACCTTTCAAGCATGTTGAATTATCTAATGCAGTATGACTGTCCAATTAGATTCGAAATCGGGATATTTTCAGCAATGACTATTCTACAGATCATTTCTGAATTTTTTGGAATTCCTGAAAAGATGTTCGGATTCCTTTGTGATTATATCCTTGTGCAATTAGGTCGGGGATTCGAACACTTCCGCGTGATGTGTATTAAGATGAGAGTTTCGAAAACGTTCACTGCATTTCCGAGACTCTTTCCTCGGAACATTGTTTTTCATCCTTAAAAATACAGGAGGAAATCAACTGAATTTTTTCTTCTCACATCTTCATGATTCTCACCGTTCTCACTGATTCTTCGGAGTTAATTTTTACTGAAGAAAGAAGTTAATCAAGTTTCCATTTGTGGTCTATCAAATGACTGCACAGATAATTGTTAAATTCTCTTGTTACTGAATGACTAGAAAAATAAATTTTAAATCTATTTTTCTTGAATTCGTAGATTTTGCAAGTAAAGAGTAAGTGCCGATGTGCTGTGCTGTGAATCGGAAGTTCGTAGTATTTCCGCAATGCCTTCTAAAATTTCGTATCCCCTTTTGATAAGGTGGGAAAGACAATGTTCAGGGACTGACTTGATCGTCTTTCTGAACACTCCTCCCTGCTTGATAAAACTGATGGATGTGATTTTTTTCGCTGTTTGGGAATTGAGAAGTTGACTTACAATCCAGCTGAGAGACAATGACCAGCAGTGACGACGAATCGGGTTGAGATGAGAGATCCAGTGCATTGACTGTATGAGCCCGGAAAAGTTTGGTAAACGATGCGAGCCAAATGAGCGAATCCTTGTTGGCTGCGGCTTACTACTGGAGAACCGTTGATCACCACGGGTTCAACGTCACCATTTTTTGCAGTCAAAGCGCTTGTTGACCCTTCGGTTTGAGCTTCTGTATACAGTATTAAAAAAGGAAGAAGCGTCAGTTACTGAATAAATGCTCTTGACTTACACCGGGAGAAATTTCATGCAGAATAAGGCTCTTAATCGATCATTTTTCTTCTTTGGTTAATTAGAAGATAGATTCTGTACGTACAATATTTCAACATCATTGCATCAGCGACGGAGAGAATACCGCAGACCGAAGACATTTTATGTGAACAAACCACACTGCTGATCTTTATTCGTTCGTTGGTAGAATAAAAAATTGGATTGTGAAACTTCATTCCTAATTCCCTGCTAGTCCGTTGTAGAAAAATAAAATAACAGCATTTTGACAGTACAGTACTGTATTAGTGACAAATGACACCTCGTGTAGCAACTTGAGAAATTTTCATGCGCTTTTAGAAAGAGCATGGAACCGGTTGAAACTTCGGCTGATTATGTGTGAAATCAAAACTTAATGGGTGGCTGCCAGTGAAATTGTCCCACACAGAATCAATGTAATTGGATAAAAAGTACCGGTATTACAGTGTGAACTGAATTTTTTCGCGATGTAGGGAAATTTCGGTTATTCCACTGGTATAATCAATTGTGTTTACGAACCAGTTCCAGTCTGACAGGCGAGAAGATAGGTCACCAGAGCCAAGGATATTATGGCGCGACCCAATCTTCTACCGGAGATAATGAATCCCATCCTGCGACAATCTGTTGAAATTGAAATCGGGTGCCTGAAGTATCTGTGGAAGTAACAGGTAAGCATTCAATAACTTCTTAAAACTTGGCACTTGCGTGCTTCTAAATTTCTGAAGTTTCTAGATCAAACATCTTGAAACACCAGGACTTCTGCGCGTTGACACTGGTATTGCGCTTCGAATCTAACGTTCAACTAGTCGAATGGCTTCAGCACGTTCACAGTTTTCAACAACCTGCGTGTGTTTCGTTCTTTCCCCGCGTCGCTTTTCTTCTGCTTGAATTATTAATTTCTTTTTTTCGTTCAGTGGTGTGCGTTGCCCCGAGTTGACGAGTTGACGTAAAATCATGTCGATCGCTATGTATGACGTCACATATATATACGGACGTCATATTTTTTTTTGACATACGGATTTTTTACGAACATTTTGTCAGAAAAGACACGGACGATTACGCACGGAAAATCAGAGAATTCGAGGGTTGTTCTTACAGTATGCTTTCATTACTGATCGCATTTCAAGAAGAAAGGAATAGGGAGACCATCGCCAACGTTGTCATTTTCTCCTGATCATGATTTTACTTTCATTTTTACTAAGGTAATGTTTGGGAGAAATTTGATATTTTCTTTTAAAGTCCTGGCGAATTATTTGCATTTTTATTGGAACGCTCGCGGAATCGCCTGATTAAAAATTATCCATCGTAAATATTGTCGGTTTTCTCGCGGATATATTTGGTTGTATCGTTCGTTATTGTAAGTGTATGTTAAAAGACATTTCGTGTTTTTTTCCTTTACATTCACAGATGTGACAAGCTTTGGACTGACGCGTCGACTCACATCCAAGACCCTGTACGACGATGCTTTTATGAAGTCCACTGTCTATTTTCGCCTGCATCTTGTCAAAGAGTACATACATGCTGGCCGAGAAAAGGTGAGGGTGGTTCTTGCGAAATTGTTTTTTAACACTTGATACGAGTACATGCGTTGACTAGATTGCGCAGAAGAACGGGTTGTAAAATCGTTTCTTTCCCGCACGAAGCCCAATCAGATAAATAATTTTGCAATCCCTTTCTAATTGATTTGTTGTTCTGATTAGGGACACTATGTTGCTTTTTCTTGTTTTTTAGAGTCCCAATGTTTAATGAAGTTCAACGATGCGTTGATTTTCAACCTTCGCTCATGTGCAGTGTTAAAATTTATGTTATGCCACTTACGCTCGGATCTTGCTCCACAGCAATCACGATTACGCCGATATTTATATGTTTTCAGTTACCCTGTCTGTTGATGCGGAAAGATTTGTTTGGATCCGAAGATTTAGCACGTTAGAACATTTTGAGGCTTGTTGATTTTAGCTTATTATTGATCCGTTGATTTCTCAGTGGAATCTTTTCTTTTTCAATCGGACTAAATCCTCTGAATCCAAGGGAAATGAGTTTTACAAGGTGAAGTGTTTGGTAGTACCTTTAAAAACTACACTGTACTGAAAACTGTTCAAGAACTGTAGACGTCTTTTGTACTAGTTTATAAAAATAATGTTTTGTGAAGCATACAAGACTCTCTTTTATCAATTCCTGTTGTTTTTTTTTCCGAATGTAGTACTGGAGTCACGTTTATTGAGCCCAAAAACATGAACGAATCACTTTTTGAATGATATCCCATTTACACATAGCAATAGCTTATGAATACTCGTGTTAGCCCGGAACGAATTTAATTAGGTCTTCATGAGTCTTAATTTCTTCCTCCTGTGATGGGTTTGTAGGTTTGTGCGCCAAGGAAATTTATTCTGAAAACAGAGTAAAGCGTCAGATGGAAAGCATCTGCTGTCATTGATGTCGAAGAAAGCACACCTTAAATTCACGTAATGTATCTCACCGAATTTCTTTCGACTGAAATTTTTGAACGCTTTCTTTTTTGCTTTTTTTATGAAGTTTAGATCTGGACATTTTTTTCGGGGATTTTCCTGTGTTGGAATTTTTGGCCCAAGATGTGAAGCAACCATCATGTTTCAAAATCTTCTCCAGTATTTACGAATATTTTTTTTGGCATTCCGTTTTTTGTCCATGAGCTTGAGACGATACCAGTTGCGAAGCTCTTGGTTCACCGAAGCAGTCTATTTTGTCTTTTCGAACTCAGCAGTGCAGAATATTTTAATTTCATCCCTGTAAAGGAAATTTAGACGCAGTAAGATTATTTCTCATCTTGCAGAATCCAGCTGAAAGAACACTGATCGGCAGTTACCATTCAGCACGTGAAACACCATTTTTCTTCATCACGTGAAGTGTTCGTATTTGAGGACTACGCCGGTACCGAGGAACAATGTCAAAACTGCAAAAACAAAAAGTGATAACAGTACTTGAATTCGGATAATTTCAATACGCTTTGTGCTCCTTACCTCCGATGGTTGCGTGCACGAACCCCAGTCCTTTTCTTTCGATAACTGAAATGGTGAGTTCGTGGTAAACTAATCCGGATGCGACAATGTAGATGAACTTGAAAAGCAACAATAACAGGAAATGATCGGTTATTAAACCGAGTCAGGGGTTGTAATTCAGAAATTTCAAATTATTTTGAGTTTTTCTTTTTGAGAAATTTTGTATTGGATAAACAATTTTGTGATTGACGATGAATCGTGCTGATAATCGTCCTCCTGACTTTTTAACTGAATCAACAAAGATTATGTGAATCAACGAAGGTTAATTTGTTCCCGGATCAGGTCAGAAAAGAGTTTAGTTTCTTTGTCAGCTTTCCCCTATGCTTTCAATGCGATTTCCTCTTTTCACTATTCAGAGGTATCACTGTTGAAGGCGTCGGTTAATATTCAAGGGCACTTTATACCAGCTAGACCTTACAGAAAATACAAAAATCACGAGTTAATCGCATTTAACTGAGCATTACATTTATGTATTTCAGCTGATTTTAATTTTCGGCTGAGGGAGAAAATTGGCTACAAATTCAAGATTTGGTCCATTCTTTCGTCGGTCTACAGAATGTTCGAAACGATCGAGGAATCTTAGTGACAAAAGTAAATTTTGACCATGGTGATTCGTTCTCAGTGACACTGAAGGTTGCACTGAAACACTAAGCCAATCTGTAAACAGAAGTTGCCAAAATCGGGGCTTCAATAAACAAAACAAAGAACTAAGAACTTTATCAATTAATTGATTCAACTTAAGCATGCTTCTCTAGTACTGTATTTTAATTGATCACCCATTAATTCGTAGGATTTTACTAAAATTTGAATGCCTGAAAGACATACAGTATGTTTAGATGCATCCTACGCGTACGAAAAAGGCAACCCCGTGCTACGTTACATTAAATTGAAAATTCATTGGAAAATCTCCTGTCAAATCAATGAAGCCTTCGTTCAAACCATGAGTTCCCAGTCGGCGTATTCGTAGTCGTCTACGATGTCGTGTGCTTCATTCACTGGTACGTCTCTTGTCATATCTATGAAGAGCCTCGTTGTCAAATACAACAGCAGCACGGTTGCGTAGAATCGAAGGAGAACCCTTTCCGTATCCCATGGGTCTCTTGGATTGTAATACAACAGGATTGAACGTAGAAGGTTCGAGAGCCAGGGTCGACTTGTTTTACTATGCATCGCTTGCAACGGCATTTTCTTAATCTGCTAAAGAAGGAAAGCCTATTCAAAGTGTATAGAGTGTAGTTGAAATGAGATCTGGCTAATTTCAGAAGAGCTAATGAGATGAGGTGTGCTGCAGTCTTCATCGTCGGTTTCCTTTTATTTTCACTTCCGCCAGAAACCTAACATGTTCCTCAACATTGATGATCCATATTTTATTTGAAACCTCGGTGTTTTTCCGAAATGTAATTCTTGAACGAATGGAACTTCGTGTTCTAGTATCTTTCAGTATTGAGGGTTGCAGTTCCTCTGGAAATATTTTGTGAATTTTTCAAAAAAATTCCTGTACCGAATTGAGCGTAATTCTTGAATTTTTTTTCGTAAAATATGATGAAGTACAGTAGCTCCAAAAACACTCAAAAATGGGAAAAGAACGAAACGTATTGAACACCATTTAAGAGCTTTTCAATCGAAAAAAATATGCTGACAATTGGGTTTTACGCAGTTTAATATCCGTAACGGTAATATACTGTATTGTACTTCTCTATCGCAAGAAAAATTGGCGACAACCCTTTATTTCAAATACTTCGCGAGGGGTTCCCGTTATCAGCGGCATACCGTACAGGTTTTGAATTTATTTTATTTTTTTGCTGCAAATACATTTTCAGGATTTTTTATGAACTCCTAGATGTGCGGATTATTTCCGTGATTGCGGATCGCGCTTATCCGGAGTCTTGAGTTGAAGATGACTAATCTTGGAAACGGCGAGTGAATATTGCAAAAAGCATAAGTTTACCAAGAAACGTGTCATCCAATGACTTTCTCACGCCGCGAAGAGGAAAACAGTTGAGGTAAAGTATTTTTAAACCTCTTCTTACTTGATTCTGAATAAGATCAGATCAATTTCGCTCATGCGATGCGACGAAATGAATCTCGCTCTCTTCGCGCTTACTTTCCTGACATTGTTGATAGTTGTAATTTTAGGTTTTTGGGGTCCGGTACTTGTCGGCAATATCTCTCCTGCGTTGCGGTCAGATTTTGTTGTCGAGAATGCGACTTATGGGAAAGATACCTTGCATTACGTAGTTGAGCGACTGGACGCTGAAGATTTTAGAGCCACTGATGAAAAGGAGCCGAGGAAAATGGTGGATCCGTTTCCGCGGATCACGAACGATACCTCTGTGGCGTGCAGACATTTTGATTTGCCCGCCCTTGATCCGATTGCGATGAAGTTTTACTCTGATCTGCCTCCGCTGAAGTGCGATCAGAGTAAGCATTGGATTACTGTTAAAGGTGAGTGTTAGCGGATTTTGACGGTCAAGTGTGCTGAGCACTTGGGAGTGTCTTTGTTGTTCCGAAAACGGAAGTTATTCTCGCTCTCTGAGGCAGTTGAGCTTTTCAAAATCCATACGGGATTATTCAGCTGTCGGAACAAAATAGTAGAGAAAAATGCTACAGTTCTACCGGTTTACGTTGATGGCTTTATGCTGTAGTCGTGTAGCATATGACGGGGGTTTATTTTTAAAATTACTTGGGGATGAAAAGTGATCCTTTGGATAACTGTAGAATTTACTACACTTCATTTTATTATCAAGATTTCTTTTTGAGTTCAAGACATATTCCGATCGAAATGTTGCTACTTAATCTCCTTTTAGAGCCCTTCATGAAAGAATAAGAGAATTGATAATTTTTAATCGCTTAAGTTGAGTATTTGAACTGAAAATGAGGAAAGACTTTGAGAATTGAGATTTATTTCCAAATGCTGAAAATATTTTTCAGGTGAACTTCTTGTTATAACCGCTCGCACGGGAAGAGTAGGAGTCATCTGTAATTTCACCGGTGGGTAAGCTTCTTGTAAATGGTTTCATTCTAACGGATTCTAATATTTCCCCTAATTTTTTTAGAGTACTATCGTATGGATGACCATACATTCATACCACTGAAGAAGCACGTTGGCATCACCTTAGTTTACAGTGCTCATTTTTCGGATACTGTGCATGTGGAATGCGTTGATTCTAATCAAACAAAGTTAAGAACTTCCCTTTTTTGGTTCTTTTCTGTTCCACCCCGCTTCTAGGAAGTTTCAAACATTTGAAAGGTGTCACCTCTGGTTGAAAATATTATCAATGACACTTGATCAAAGCGCAGACGTAACTTTCCCTAAACCGAACCTTATGAACTCTTAGAAAATTGACATTTATTTACGGGGTATATAACAGAAGAGAACCTGTCGCAATTCCTTGCGACATTATTTTTCTGTGGATATCAACGCAAACGCTTCTTTTCTAGGTGGAGTGACTATTTCCTGATGTGCTCCAAAAACGAACACCTCTCTCAGGGCAATGGGTGGAATAAATTGAACCAGAAGGCAGTACCTCTTAATGTGCTCATCTGGGCATTTGACTCGACTACGAGAAATATGTTCATCAGAAAAATGAAACGATCTTGGGAGTTTATGGAGAAAGAAATGAATGGCATCACCATGGAGGGATACAACATTGTCGGCCTAAACACGATTCATGCCCTAACAGCGATTTTCACTGGTATTTTACTGCTCAAGCATCACATTTTTGGTTGAAAAATAGGCATTTCCAATTACCCGAACACCTTTTAAAATTTTCAATAAGGTACGCGGTTGCAAAATATTATTGCTGATGGCACTTGGGTGGATAAAAAATTCACTGAAGAATATTTGAGTGGATTCCTGTTGAGGCAGTTCCAGAAAAATGGTTACGCCACTGCATACCTTGAAGATGAGCAGAATTGGGGAACGTATCATTCATTCTTATCCCCTGGGTATCGTAATTCTCCTGCTGACCACTATACTCGAATGTATATGTGGTTGAGAGGGCGTTTGAATGGGTACAAGGAATCCTGTTGCGGACCGAGAAGCTGCAATTGGGTAAGTCAGTTCTGTGCTTATGGAAAACTTACTTTAGAAGCCGATGAGTTTGGGGTTCCATCGAGAAGTTGTATTGCAATTTTCCTAATTCACTGTGCAACGATCAAATTCTTGGAAAGGTGATGAAATCGTCCTAATGTTTCTACATGAATGACGAATTGCTCTATTGTGGACGAAAGGTTCATTTTAGTTTCATGCTCTTTTAAGTCTGATCTGATTCTTGATGCCTCCTGCTTGCGCCTAAATCCCGGTATTGTATATAAATTTACCTGGGTTCCTTATGTTCTGGGTGAAATTTTCGTTAAGTTACGAGTTCCAATATTTTTTGTTTTGTTCCTTTTTTGCATATTTTCTGCTTCAAGAAATACTCTACAGTACTTTTTGAAGATTCTCATCATTATTATTCCACCGATTTCAACGCTCTGCTGCTTACGTATCACCCAACTTACACACTTATGAACACATTATTTCCATTGCATATCAAGTTTTCGGGACACCCATTGTTGCCAAATTTACATTTTGGTTATTTCATGCTTCAAAGAAATATATTTCAAGGCATGTGATATTGACAGGTCTCGAGTGTGAAAGTCTGACTTTTTTTCGCAGTATCTATCCTGTGTATCCGTTTTAGTCGGTTTAAAAAAATTGAATCTTTATCGACTGATCAAGGAAATAATATTCTTGAAATAACTGCGAGATACTAATAAGTGTTCGGCTTAAAATATGTGTGCTGAATTCCAAGATTTTAATGGAAGTAACAGTCTCATATTGAAGTTGAGCAATCATTTTATCCACAGGTTGCTCAGACCTATTTTCAGTACCTGTGGGACTTGCACAAAGACGTGCCCAAGTTTTTCTTTGGCCTTCAGGGCAGTTACTCTCACTCGGTGTCTCCTGACACGCTCGGTTTCATTGATGGGGAATTCGAAAGCTTTTTACACTGGATCAAGACCAATTTGAGTAACGACACCTTGGTAATAATTATGGGTGATCATGGTCATCGATTTCACGAATTCGGAGGAACTCGTCAAGGGATGCTTGAGATGCGAATGCCTTTGATGCATATTAGTTTTCCCGAATGGTTTGAGCGACAGTTTCCTGACGCCGTGAACAATTTGAGGACGAATTCGAAGCGATTGGCAACTCCGATGGATTTGCACGTTACTCTCAAAAGTCTGTTGAACTTCAGAGCTCTCGATTTTAAAACCGGACCCTCCGTGAATGATAGTCTGCCAGTTGCCCTAAATTGGTTCCTTCCGGTTCCGAAAGAAAGGACTTGTGAGATGGCAGAGGTTGCTGTGCATTGGTGTGCTTGTCCTGTCTCGAAGCCTCTGGAAACCTCTAGTCCGATTGCCTTGCAAATGTCGTCTGCCTTGGTCGTGTTTATTAACAAGCAGGTAAACAAGATCCTGGAATCATTCAAGCGGAGGACAGAGGGTTTGCGAGTCCCAGAATGTCAGAAGTGGACCTTGAAGTCTGTTCAACATGCGACCGAACTACAGGGTGGAGCAGGTGAATATGTATTTACTGCGGAACCGATTAGTTTCCGGTTGCTGTTTCCATCGTTTTCAATGTCGCATATTTTCTGTAGAGAAAATATCTCCGGTGCTTTGTTGTAGACGCTGCACCCATTATTTCTTCTAAATTTCTCTGTCAACCCAAAACGAATCGGGATTTCACATTGATTTTGAAAATGTCTTCGGATGCTGGTTTACTCGTGTGCAACGTCCACCTCCCGTTGAAGTAAAAATAGTTTAGTATTATTAATTACTAGAGCCCTTAATATTCCCCATGACAAAAATAAAATATCCCCGATTTTGGAATTCAGAGACGTATTTTTTGCTGAAATACTGTACAGTATTGCAATTTTTTTATAAAGTTTAATCTTTGCTTGATTTTCTTTCTACATCCATCGAAGTGAGCGCAATGCGGAGGCAGTTTGATTTCCACGCTGGATTAAATAACTTCGTCATAAGATACTTTGAAGTGGGAATAGAAGTTGAACCAGGACCAAGTCACTTTCAGGCCACCTGGGAATACAATTCGACATCAAGTACTTTCAAAGTTCGGGTAATTAAGATTCTTAAATTTGTTTTTATGGGATTTGAACCTATACTCATTATTTTAGGGATCTGACGTTACAAGGATGGATTGGTACAGCAATAATTCAAAATGCGTGGAGAAAGTCTTGCCCAAGTTGATGATGTGGTGTTTTTGCTAAAGCTAAATTCCTTCCTGTCTCATATCACAGTTTCCGAGTCTGTTGTAAAATGCTGTTCAAAAATTGTGGAGTATATATAGTTGCCTGTTGCTCGAAATCATTCTCTCATCCTCATTTTGGAGTGTTTTGGAATTCATTACTGTAAACTGTATAATGAGTTACCTTTCATGGAGAGGATTTGCATGAAATCACGTCTTCGGGATTGCATAATGCCTTTGGGACCCTCGGAGAAGAATCATTCAATTGTGACCATTTCATGATGGAAGCTGAATTCATGGTGTTCCTCGCAATATTGAGTATTGTGAAATCAGGTGAGATTAAAAAGAAATACACGAGCAAGGAAATTTCTTTCTGAAAAGTACAGTATGCGTGTGAGTTTTGCAGATACTGCTGATAACATTGAAGATTGGAATGAGGAAGTGATTTCTGGTCGTTACGGAAATCAGTCAGCTCATCAAGATGCGCATCTTCGAACATCGATGATTTATTTGCACAGCAGGTTCAGTGACCGTGTGAGGACCTCTTTGGAAGAGTCCTTGGATGACTTTTTCATCACCACTTTGGGCATTGTCATCGTCTGTGAGTTATCTAATTTTATTATGAATTGAATCTATTCAACTTGAGTGTGCTCGTTTGTATTTATAACAGAACTGTAACTTGTTTTTTACTATTTCTAATGATCTAATTTATCAGAATTTCCGAGCACGAGGTTGATGTTGGGCTTCGTTTATCTGCATCAGTAATTCCTTGAAAACTTTGAATTTTTCTTACTCATTTTTAGTGTCACAGAAGGAGAAGCTTTCAAAATTTAGTCCAAAGGTTTGATTCAGCTGTATTAATTGAAAATAAAAATGTGCTCGTCTGTGTTTTTGCACCTGTACCTGGATTTTGTTGTTCTACGCGCGGAGATCAATTGTTTTCTACGGTATTTCAATCCAGTTTTTTTTATTAAAGAGGTTTAACTTAGAAAAAGGGGAATAAATAATATTGAATGAGTCTTTTATTCCAGTGATGCAAGCGGGCTTTGCCTTTTTAGAAGCTGGCTCCGTGCGGTCGAAAAATACCGTGAACATTTTGATGAAAAATTTACTCAACTTCCGTGAGTGAACTCAAATTTCTGATTTCCTGTTCTGATTTCGCGAGTAAGTGAAACTTCTGTTTTTTTCAGTTATCGGAGGCCTGTCTTATTGGTTTGTTGGCTACGTCTTTGCTTTCGGAGATGGGAATGCGTTTTTCGGCTGGTCCAACTGGCCAGTACTCAACACGGATTATCATGACGTTCAGTTGTGTTGGATTGACTTTTTGCATGCTGCAACTGCTTCTTCAATCGCATCTGGGGCTGTTGCTGGACGTTGCCGAGCTTCAGCTTATTTTGTATTCGCTACTTGCCTACCAGGTTAAATTACATTTAAATTACTGTATAACTTTTTTTATCAAGCGGCTGTTCGTGTGCACAGTTGCATTATTCTCTGGATCTCCTGTTCTTGATGATTTTTCACAAAACGCAATGCTTTGACAGTGAATCAATCTCGTAACAAAAAAAATTTCAACTGAACGAATTTTTTCATTCGGGGTTTCTTAGCTATCCATTTGTTTTCGAACTTGGCTCCCAGCAATTTTAGTTTTCTGTTGCATGAAGCCGAGAATTTTTATGGAAATGAAGAACTGAGAATTATTCAGGACACTGAGTTTAAAACTCGCTAGTGTGACTTAAATTAAAAGTTCGGTGATATGCGCAAATAAGGACTTCGTGCGGTATGGGGTTAAAACATTCTGTAATGATGGAGATCTCTTCCTTATGACTTCACAATATTGACTCACTCTGGGTAAACTTAGTCTTGTTTTTTCGATCTTGAAGCTATGAAAGTATGCATAAAGAAAATAAAACAAGTTTGAATATTCTCCATTTTAAGGCATAATTTATCCTGTTGCCAAGCATTGGACTTGGCATCCAGAGGGTTGGTTGAGAAAGTCGCCGTACAAGTCGTACGCTGGAGCGGGAACAGTTCATTTGCTCGGAGGTGTAGTTGCTCTTGTTGGAACCACATTTTTGGGTCCAAGAATCGGAATGTTCGATGAAAATACTGGGAAGCCGACGAATGAAATACGAGGGCATTCCGTTCCTGTGAGTGTTTTTTTCTTCTTCACATTTGGTGCTAGTGAATGAGTAATCCAATCTTGTTTTTCTTCAATTTTTTTGTACGGAACAATAATCCAAAAATTTGAGATCATCAGCTTGCATTCAGTGTAGTAATTGTAATAAAAATCCATGATGATGTTTGTTTGAACTACGAAATGTACCAAAATAAGTACTGTAGGCCGATTTTGAAGCTATGGGAGTCAGCGAGGCAAACTCTTTTTCCCTGTTTGAAGGAATGTTTCAAAGTTTTCTGAGATTCAGCCAAAAAATAAAATTTTATTGATATCATCATATTATCGTATTTTTATTGAAAAATCTACATACTGAACTTCATTTTTATTGATAGAATGTTTAAATTTTAATTTACATATTAAGTAAAATGTCATCAATTGAATTAATAAATATGCTGTATAGTGTATATTGACAGAATCAGTAAAGCGTCATCAAAAGATTTAATTAATTTATATTTGAATCAGTAAAATGTCATCAATAGAATTAATAAATATGCATTGATACAATAGTTGAATCGCATAGAAAATTTATTCTGCCTCCAATCTTTTTTACGAAAGTCAGCTTCTCACTTTTTATTCAGTTTAAAGCCGCTTATTGCACAATTTTCTGCTGACGAACTGAAAAGAACTCTGTAATGAACAATCTTTTACATTGAAAAAAAAACTCATTTTAAATGCGATAGTATTTCTTTCAATGTCAAATATAATTTGCAGTTTTCGTGGGTTTTCAGAAAGAAATAGTGCAGTTTATTTGCAGTACTGTACATAATTTTCAAACTTAGCTATTTTAGAAGTACTGTACTGTGTATTTTTCGAATGACCATGTATAACAACCATAAAATGACCGAGAAAATGTAAAAGTAACACTATTAGAAATAATTTTAATTAACTTCGAACTGTCAAAATTGTATAGATTGATTTTTAGTTTAGTTCATTTTACCTGTAATCGGGTATTCAATTTGTTCTAAAATAGATACGCCCGCTGGTTCGGTACTCTCTTTTGAACTGAAATACTGTACTCCTCTAACTTTTATTTGTTTGCTGCAGTGGGTTGCATTTGGAGGATTTATTGTATTATTTGGTACTATGGCTTTTGCTGCTGGGTTTCAAGGCCATATCACGCAACCCGGGGATGGAGATGTGATAGCGCTTTCAATTGTCAACACTTTGTTAGGTATTTACGGTATTGTAAAACTTCAATCTTGAATATACATTTTTTCATGTGTTTTTCCTTATATTAAGGTGGCTGTTTTGGAGGACTGGGCTGTCTCTTTTTCAAAAGATACATTGAAAAGTCAAGCAGCTGGTCTTTCCTTATGACTCAGAATGGATGTCTGGCTGGAATGGTGAGCTGTGAACATACATTGGGGTCAAACAGACACAATTAGTTTCAGCATAATGTTTGTTCATTTCAATTCTTTATTAAGCAAAATCTCAAGATTTTCCGACCCTTGACCATAATCATGTTTATTTGCCACATCAGTGTTTTTAAGCTGGCGCAGTGATTGTACAAGTGCGAAGTTGGTTAGCTGGAATGATTGTCGGCAAATGTTTTGTCACGCACTTGCATAGAATATTTTGATTTTGAAGCATTCACCGTTGATGCCGCTTTTTTTTTCTTCCAACTCTCATGGTAGATGAGAAATAACCCTGGCAATCCTTTGGAATAATCTGATCATCTCAGCTGCCGTCTCCTCTCACTTGAAATATGTTGTAAAAATTGAATAAGGTGCTGCACGCAGGAGCCAGGAACTGTATCATGCTGCTTTTCTCCCGAAACGTTTTTCGATCACATTTTATAAATAAGTGGTTCCGGTATGTGTTATGCAACATCAGGTTGCTGTGACAGCTGGCTGCAATGTTTATGCGCCCTGGTTTGCTGGCATCTGTGGATTTCTTGGAGGTTGCATTTATCTCTCTTCACATTTCATGTTTTTGCGATTTGGAGGTGAGCAGAGTCTATGTTTTTTTAAGCATTTGTGAATTTAATGAAGATATACAATATATTCTATTGGAAGTGGTATATTCTATTGTATGTAGTTGACGATCCAGTCGAGTCTATTCCAACGCATTTGGGTCCAAGCATCCTTGGACTCCTTGTGGTGGGCCTATTCATGGATAGAGGATTTGGAAGAGTAAGACAGCTCTGCTTTCTCATGTTATTTACCTCAAGGAAGAGTTGAAGTGTAACAGAAAATTGTATCTACCTGAAAAATTTTTATCACGTGTAGGGTTATAAGAAAACCCTGCATTACCGTACACATTGGTCTGAAGTCTAAACTAACGGGATGATTGAGATTGCTGCACGTTTTTTGTGAAGTCCAAATTAGTTTTCGAAAATGCACAATTCATTTATTTTTACTGTTACTGTGTATTGTAGCATATCAACTAGTTCGCTTTATGAGTTTATTCAAAATTTGAAGATATGAAAAGCTATTGGGACCTTGACTGAAATATAGAACTGTGGCTTTCTGCTGCGACCTCGGAATTATTTTGTTGTAACAATAATGAAATGTTTTGACAAGAATCATTGCAATTATTTTTTATTTAACGATATTTTTGGAAACAAGGTTCTACCTGCATTAAAAAATTATGCGAAGTGTGGTTAACTCGAAATGCCCAACTCCCACGTGTATTATTTGAATAGATGAGATGAAAAAACTTTCAACCTCTTTTATTTGTTATGAAAGAACATCTCCAGTTTTCCATGGCCATCCACTTATTCGACTGGTTTACATTTTGAAGGTTTTGCAATGGAATTGTATTGCTGTTCTGGCTATTGGTGGTTGGGCATTTGTAACTGCTGGGCTCATGTTCGGGATTTTGAAATGGCTGAAAATTCTGAGGATTGCTGAATACAAAGAAAAAGGAGGTACGTCAAATTTCATGGTATTTTTTATCATTAAGTTGTGAATTATATTTTTGCCAAGATCGTTGTTTGAAAGAGACAAGACTAAGAAAATTATATTTCCCACGCATTCATGCAGTCGATAGGACAACTATGTAAGAATGGAAAATAGTCACATGAATACAATCGATCTCCACATAACAGAAGTAATCCTGTCCTACACGATTTTTTATTTGCGACATTTTTTTCGTCCAACATATGATTGTGCTCAAGCTACGAAAGGGAAAGATTTTTCTCATTTTCCACCCAGCTACACAACGTAGTTGACAAATGTTGAGTGTTCAGTATTAGCAAAATATTGGTAGAAAACTGTGAGATTAAATTGTATTTCCATATAATGCAATAAATTATGTATATTTTACGCTTTCCACTTGCTTAAATTCAAAAATGTTAGGGGGAAGAGAAGGTGACCATTTATCATTTCTTCGTCCTTCAATAATTTTCTGTAATTGAATCGGAATGCTTACGAAGTCGGAACTTGCTAAAATTCCTTGATTTCTCTGCTGAAAAACATGTTCATGAAGAGAAAATTCAAGTAAATTTTCCCGTTCTGAAAATTTTTCTGCAGAATTTTCGACATCAGAGTCATTATTTGCGCGGAAACTGCTACATAACACTGATTGTACTGCACTAGCAAAACTGAAATGATAATCTTGAAATCTGGCTGGGCAAATGTATTTGCGAACGTATTATTCTTTCAATTCTTATTGTTTTATTGATGATGGGACAGGTCTGGATCATTGGAATCATAAGGAACCGGCGTACCCGATAGTCTCGTGGCTGGAAGGAGAAATGCCGGAAACTCACGCTTCCGCATTCATCAAAAACTGTACCGTGATGATGGATAGCTACGCGCAGGTCACACCTCGCATTTCAGCTGAGAATTTGCCTGCAATGGTCATTCTGGACGCTGTTTCCCGACTCGCTGATATTCCCCCTGAGGAAACATTGCAGATTCGGCCGCGTGCGAGCTCTGTTCCAGCTGTTCCGGTGTCGCGGTTTCTTGCGGATCGACGAGCAGCTAGGGCCAAATCCCGGGAAGAAGGCGATGCGCAACGTTCTCAACTGCAGACTATCATCAGCAGGAATAACACGGCTGCCGATTTGGATGATTATTGAAATCTATGAAGGTGCTCTCTTTTCTTGTCGAGAAGGATGGTGTTCTGCATGCATGATGGATCTTACGTTGGATGTTTCAACTTCACTTGGCCCCGGAGTATAATTTCACTCAGATTTTTTTTTTCACACTTGCCCTCTCCAGGTGATCTTCCTTATTCGTCATCATTAGAACGGAGCTCCAATAAATAGGAGTGAGTTATTTGGAACCCTGACTTGCGCGCGATGTATAATTTGGTCCAGCATCAACTTGGATTAGCCTTGGTTGAAGCAGGAACATATGTAGTTTTTCAAGTGGAAGTTTTTCGGGAATATTTTGGAAGCTGAAAAAAAAATCTCAAATTATTTCACTATTTTTACATCAGAGGCCACCCCAAATTAATGCGTCGGGCATGCTGTGAGCAACTTATTCTACGGAGGGTGTCAGATAATACAGTAGTCACAATTAATAAGTGTCATTTTGAGGATCATCCTGATCAAAGAGAGGGAAGGGAAATAATGTAAGGGATACCATTCAAGATCATGCAACAATTAAAAAACTGCAGTCCGAAAAAAAATGTGTATTTATAGGTCGCGCGATCTTGATGGATATAAAGAGGACTATGCAGTGATACCCTGGGAAAACGAGACCCGCGAAAACAGGGAATTACGATTCCATCACACGTTCCACTCGTCCATATCGGTCCATGCCTTGGTAAACTGATGCTGCGTGACTCACTATGTTTCGATTTTACGTGAAGTACCAAGTACAGTATAAAAATTGTGAGTACTGTAGTTAGTATGACGGAATAATAAATATTTTCAACTATGCCGAGTACACCATTATTTTCAACGGTATTTCAATTTCTTCATTTTGTTCAGCGCACTGCCATATCTCCTGCATGCGGCTTCTATAGAATATCCAAATGGCAGTCTAAAAAATTAATACAAAACATCAATTTTGTCATGTTATTTTTGAACAAATTTCTTTCCATACCTAGTTCATTTTAATTTGGAAGTACACTATCATTGCATTTTTTTACTTTTATTTTGTCCACAACAGGAATGGCTCATCATCAGTACAATATCTTGTCAACGCACCGTATACGGTCGCAATATCTCGGGTACAGAACAACATACGATTTTCATCTCAAACTGAATTGTCAAATTCGTATGAAAAGGAATCCGAAGAAGTTCAAGAATCGAGATCACCGCAAATAAAATAGAAACCGTAACCTAAAGCGGCTAAGGATTGACCAGACGACGTTCACATATCTAGAGGCATGGTGAGGTTCACCCAATTGAGACTGCCGCTCGATTCAGGTTGAATTTAACACCTATCATACATAAAAGCCGCGTATGTGGGTGAATGACCCAGTGCTGGTAAATCACGCGTTATCAACCACGTGAACCTGTCCGGTACAGTACTTGTCGAACAATGTGGCATACCTGCAAGGAAAGCGTGCAGTGTTTACGTTAACATTGCCGAAAGTCGTGATCTGTGGGATTAAGTTGAAACGAATCGTCATGTTTTGCTGCAATCCGCTGAATTCGATCGCATGTAAAGCAAATGGGATCAAAATTCAGGCTCAGGATTTTTGTTTCACTTCGCCTCCCCTTATTTCAGGGTTCTCATTTGTTCAGCGATTCCCAGTTTTGTATCGTTTGGTGCTGTGTCTTCCATTCCGAAACTTTTTCAATGTTCATCAGGCCGCGTTTAATTTCATCCCTAAGTTTTCCGTCCATTAATCATGCGTTACGCTCCAAGAATGTCGGCCGAATCAGTAGCGCTGAGGTATGTTCAAATGAGTTGAATTTGCAATCTCTGTGTTGAATTTCCCTTTTTCGTAGCATTGCCGGTCGATGTTTCATAAACCCACGTTTGATTTGAGTCGCTCATTTTCGATTGGTCTATCAGCAAAAAGCAAAGGATGGGAAAGGAAGGATCTTGAGAAACGTTCAGCGGATGAGTCTGACTCCGACTCAGATTCCGATGATGAGAAACTGGTAGCATTTTTAAAATTCTGTGGTGTTTTCAATGTGGAAATAACCTACCCTCTGTTTAGAAAGGAGAAAGTGCTTTTTGGAGACAGAAAATGCGCACTCACCATCACGCCATCGACATTAACAAAGACGGAACAGTTTCATGGGATGACTTTGAAGAGCTAGTGAAACGCTTTGAAACCTTGGGAAATATGAATAAAGATCAAGCGGAGTCGTTCCGCAAAGTTTTGCAGGTCAGGCTCCTATCATGTGATCGGAGGAAGACTATATGTACAGTATGATGGAAATTTTATTTACAGAACTATTGGGAAGAGTTTTGGACGTCGGATCCGAATGCGTTTGTCATGGCTGACGAATTCTTGAGGAGCATGCATCACGTTGTCAACACTTCAGATTTGAGGAAGAAAGTTGGCGCACCATTACCATATTTTTTCAAGGTTTGTGCGAAGGAAATTAACTATGTCGAGACCTTGCTTTGATGTTAGGATAGAACCACTGCGCAAAACTAGAAAAATTGCGCGATCACCGTATCTTATCCCATGTTTACGTATCTTGAAAATGCCCGTCGTATTCCGATGTGTTCGTTGTTTCATTTTTGAGATGGAAACAAGCCGTTGAAATCGGGAATGAGAAGGATTTTACTGGGTTTCATTTTGTGATGCAGACGTCTGGTTTGAAGTCTTTGAACTGCTCTTTTTTTTTTAGCGTTTTTTTTTGTTCTGCGCTTTGGATCAGTTAGTAGGATTCTATTTATGCCAAGTATTGGGTTAAAATGCACTTCCGGAGGGATTTGATTTTCTTAAGGAATTGGTCATTAGCTAAATTTTCGTTCTCTTTTTTTGAGTGCTTTCTGCTGACATTGGGGTGACTTGAATTCACAATATTAATTTTTAATTCCAGGCCGTGGATCATGATGGTTCCGGAGAGATTTCTGTGGAAGAATACAAATTGTTTTTCAAGTGCCTGGGACTTCCTGAAGAATCAGCTGTCAAATCGTTTAGAGCTATTGACAAGAATAAGGACGGTCTTCTTTCGGAGAAAGAATTTGTCAAGATCGGAAGAGACTTTTTCTTGTCTGAAGACGAATCTCGAGCAAGTAAATTATTTTGGGGACCGCTCGTCAACTGAAACTGTGCTGTGTAAGGAGTGCTCATTTCACGACAATACTGGAGCTTAATTGCATTCCTCGAAAGTTGCGAGCTGCTATATTTGTACTGCTAACTACTCAGTGACTTCTGTTGTGATATAAGCGAACTTCCTGTGAATAATGGGTAACGGGTCTTGTTCACTGAAACGTAGTTTATTGGATTGCTTTTTCAATCAATATGCCTTTTTCCGAGTGAATTGAGATGCGAAACATTTTTTGTGGACTCTGATGAAACGTTTACCGATGTCGTGGTTACTGAGGTATTGGAAATGCTTGGCGGAATGCGCGATATCCTCTATTCGTACGCGGGTACGCCAGTATGTCCAGAATGGATTGTACTCTCGGACTCTAGGTGACCGTGAAGTAGTGTACAAGTTTCTGTGAATTGAAATGCCAAAACTTGTGACGAAAGAAATGAGATTTGTGTAGAAGAATGTCCTATTATTTTCTACTGCTTTCTTCATCACTCCGTGTTGATGACATTCATAGAGATGAGTTGGAACGAAGGTAATATATATTTTGTTTTATCAGGGATGAATAATTTGGTTCGTTTGACTTTTTTCGCAGATCTGGAACAATTCCGGATGTGTACACTTCTTGGGTTTCTCTGCTTCTCAGTTAAAAACGAAAAAGGTGAACGTGATTTCGCAAGAGTGTATTCGGGGAATAATTGAGGACTTCACATGATTGTACTTGAGTAAAAGCCTTCCTTGAAAACAGTCATGAGGCAAAATTAAGCTGATCAAAAATGCCGCGAGCCTCGACGGATCTGTTATCGACCCTGACTGGAAATAAGCTCTGCCACCTAATAAAAAATTAGAATTTTCAATTCACAAATGCTTGGAACCCTATGTTTAAGGCTAAGGTGATGGAGGAAACTTCAGACGATGTGAAGTTGCATAGAATTGTAGAGGATGAAAATGTGTCATCTTCATCACGACAGCTCCCATGGAATGTAACCTACTACTGTAGAATGAAATACGTAAGGCGTTCCATCTGCTTTTATGTGATTTTTCATAAAAATCTAAGCGTAGCGTGTTTCGTGCATGATTTGTGAGACCCGTTCAGGGTGAACGGGTCTCACAAGGCAAATATAACAGTACCGACTGAAGGCTTAATGAACATTTCTAGCTTGAGTTATGCATCTATGTATTTTGTTGAACAGAAGAAAAGGCAGAAGTATGTAGAAAATCGGAAGGCAGGTATTTCGTACTTCTGATGGGTAGATTGTTGGTGCAATGACCTGTAATCTACACCACTGAGCCGTCAGGAAGGAGAAATTCTCATAGACAGCATGCTTAGGTGCACGATATATCATGGACCACTCTTGGTGTTGAAAAGAAAAAAATATATTTTGTCTTCAGGTACCGATGATGTGTAAGCTGTCTTACTCACGTACAATACCCCACCTGGCAACCCTGGAAACACGCGTTGGGCTGCCGAGAAAGCTGACCATTGGACGAAATAACGGGCGTAGTGTAATTTCACTTGCGGACTTCAGTTACTCACGGGCACCTCGTTCGTATGGGTCGCGAAATTTATGTCTGGGAATCGACTGTTTTTTTATTGCGCGAGATACAGGTTTCCGTGAAAGGAATACTTCAAAGAGTGATGTACCGCCGAAGAATATACAGTATTGTACAACTCAGTGACGGAATTTTTGTGCTTATGCCCAAGCTATTCTAATAAACGATTCTGAGTTTCATGGATGCGTACTACTAAACATTCTCGGAAATTCTGTCCATACGTTCATGTGCGATATGAGTCGAAGTGTATTCCTTCATGCTTTCTGCAGGATGCTAGAAAGTGGTGCTGTGTAAATCAGAAGAAGTCGCTTCTGAGTAGTTGTGGTGTCGTGCATCGTAGTGCAATGGCTGAAAGACGGAAATCAAGCGTGCCTAGCTTGAGTGTACAACGTGTGGACGAGGATGAGGAAAGCAACGATGTTTCTCCCCGGGCGCGATTCTCGATTGGGGAGGCGGCTGAGGACAAGCTAAATCCCGAGAAAATTTCTCGAGGTACTAGTCCTAACCTTACGGAAGATACGAATTCAGCCGCTGCCCGCCGAAGGCGTATGAGGTGAGCGCATAACACTTTATTCTAAGAAACCCGGGTTTCGTGATAAAAGAAATCGAATGTTTCGTCGGAACAAAGGAACGATTCTTGGGCACCGTCTCAGCTTATGAAACCTGATTTCCTGAGACTGGCAGCAAGAAGGATCATTGTTTCCACAGAGATAACACCCCCGCGAGGAGAATTCTAAAATTCATCTCGAGTTGCTCTTTCAGATGATTTGTGCGGAAGTACATTAACTGTACTGTACTTAACATCAAATTTTAGGATCGGTCGGTTCTGGCTGAAATCCGATTTTTGTGTGCTTAACTTGCTCCCGAATGTTGCATTATTTCTTCGGGGAAGTATTTTTAATTATTATATTTTTATTTATTAGTTGAATTGATATTAATGCGCACTTGATTTATTCCAACGATAATATCTTGAAAGGTGGTAATTTTTAATTCCTGAAGCAATGAATGCTGTATTTACCTGACTGTCGGAACCCGTTTCGTGACTAACATTGAAAATTATAACTCATCGGATATATAACTCATCATAGAACGAACAAACTAGATTATCCTGAAATAATATGTACAGTGAAAATCCACGACTTTTTCACTGGTAAGCTTGAAAACGCGCTATGTTTTCTGTGTCGCTCCAAAAGTTTTCTAGGTGACTTCCAGTTGTCTTTCCATCACTGACACCACATATTTCCGTTGTGAAAATTTACTGGAATAAAGAGAATCGCGAAGTCGACGTAGCCAATTTAATGCACAATTTAATCAAAATTACGCAACTTCAATGGCATAATGTTTGCTTCGTAAAGCCAAGAGTCTCCGTCTCCCATAGTTCCTTTCGCTTGAATGGTGGCGGCTCATCGTGGTTCAAGTGTACTTGTTTGTTGCTTTGCAAGACAGACAGAATAACAACGTCATTCGGGGGAAGTATATGATGTGCCTTGACGCTGTCGTGCGTCGTCAACCCGCATCAGCATAAATTCTTTTTTTATTTTTTCATGACTCGAGCATGTCTGTTGGCGAAGTCAGTTGTCCTGGTTGTGTAGGAGCAAGGCATGCTTCATTTTCTTGCCGTATGACCGTTGCGCGAGTTAGGGTTGTATGTTTGGGGATCGCGCATCGTACGAGAGCAAGGCGGCCAATCCTGGCTGTCCGTTTCCCTCGCGCAATCGTCTGACTTCCCCCCGGGGCCGCTATTATGGTTTCCCTGGGACAGAGGATTTTTTCCTTCTCAGTATCTGGATGAAACAAGTTCCTTTGAATAAGAAACGTTACTGTATTGTTATGGCCGCTAATGTTGGTTTCCGTGGGACAGACTTCCTTATTTTCTGTTCAAATTTACGTACAGTACTGGACTGTAATTTAGAAGTCAAATCTGAAAATACTGATGTACTGTACAGGCACTCTCGAGGTTTTTGAATTTCATTTTCTTTCTTCAGATTGAAGAGAGATAGAGGTAAAATATTGCTGTACACTTTTGGGCCACTATTTTGATTTCCGCGGGACTGACTTCCTTTGATCGGGGTTGAATACAGGTTTAATGAAAATTTGAAAATACTTTACAGTACTGTGCAGTACAGTATTTTTAGCCCTGTACTGTACATTCTTTTGGGCTGCTATTGTGTTTAATTCCTAATAGCGTAAATTCTGTACTACTGTATGTACGTATATATTTTTTGCAAGATTTTTGTTTTTGTGGCCATATTATGGAATGCTATTATGGTATTATGTCCACGAGACTTCTTGAGTATATATATGGTCTCTGAATAATACTGCCATTTCACTCGTATAGGCCGCGCAAAATATTGAATATTTCGGAAAACACGGCCTTGTTTTCTGAGGAACCAAATGAAACTATTCCCAGTCGAACATTGTATGAGTAGGGATATTGATAAGAATAAATTTATAAGGAAGAACAAAACAAATTATCTGGTAACCCCGCTGGAGTTTCATGTTCAGTTAGAGAAAAGAGATTTGTGAGCAGTAGAACATTACGGCGCATCTTTCTTTTTTTTCCCCAAAAATAAGACGCACCTTCATTCGTTCCGCCTGAAAGACTGAATTGATTTCCTGACTTTATTTTATTCGAACGTTTGTGCTCGTAAGAAGTAGTTCCTGTACCTGCGAATCTAATGCATTCAGACATTTTTTTGTGACAGGAAACTGCCGTCTTTTAGAAAACTTGATCACAATGAGGTGTACGCCGTTTAGAAATTTGTGTGGCATTTTTCTGACAAGTTTTGGTTCGATCAACAGGGCTTCAGTTCAAGGGTCTTGAAGTAAGTTAGTCGCGTCCTAGATTATATCACGGCTTTATATCTTATTCTTTCGTAAATGCAGTAAACATCTTTCTCATTATGTACGTACAGTTGCATGCAAAATTTGACCACCGAACTTCCGTCAAACGCTTCTCATATATCCCCGTCTTCGCGCATCCGTTTTAGCGCCTCCACAAGCGTTCCTGCGGTTTTTTTTTTTCAGGTTAATCACTTTCGTCCGGGAAAATTCAGCTGATGATCTATTGCCCAATGCGTTGCCTCGGGCCTGTTGCAATGAAGGACAAGTAGACAATTATGTGTTTATTTTTATTCTTGTTTCCTTCGCAGCAGTGAGATGTGAGACTTATTCTGTAGGTAAGAGGTACGTACTGTGAGAAGCCAACATGTGCTTCTACGCCACTCCTCCTGTTATATGCCGCTTTTTTTATATTTCTGTTTGATCGTCGCAACATCCGGGATTTGGCGTTGAATGCGTTTGTTTCTGCCGCATTCAGATTGCGCATTCGAGCGCCAAGAGGCCTTGGGTTCTGATATAAGAAGCCCCCTTTTTTTCCGGGAAAATATTGGCTGAAAAATTAGGCTCTGCCCTGTATTCGATCTCTTCTTAGATTCCCCGGGAAAGTGCGTATTGGCGTATAGAAAAACACGGATCAATCGAAAAATGTGCTGAACAAAATTGTACTGCTCTTTTCAGTTCAAGGGCATGCGAGTTGGAACTTCGATTACTGTTGGCGGTGTTGGTAAATAAAAGTGAAGCATGAGTAGAATCAATGTACTCTGAGCTAATTGATTAATTGGATGTAGTTCTACCTTCGAAGATACTGTATCAAGATGAAATACTTATACTTTTCTATGCATGACAAATTATGCGTGTCTTTTAACCGATGGCGTCTTATACAGTAAGCAAATAAATACGAGGAATCTTCTGACCAACTTTTCTTGTGAATAAAGGGACAGTTGAGCGCGTCTAAAAAAATCGTTTGGCAAAATAACTTGTGTTTTTGCAATAAAAAGTGCGTGAAAAAAATATGGGAGTAAGTGCCGAATTTCCGCGTGTTTTCTTCGCGTGTATCACCGTTTCATTTGAAAATGTGTTCTTCTTAATATTATCATCTTTTGATGAAATCTTCGTGGATTTTAACAAGTTTCTAAGCCGTCTCGGATCAATGAATTGAATCATTCGAAAAATGCCCATTGTGACCACTTTTATTGTAAAAACTTAATTTCTGCTGCTTCAACGAACCATGGATGATTTATGCGCATCGTTGGTAATGTTTTGTCATTTTTGAAAGCCTTAGTTCGAAGACGACTCTAAAATCACGCATGGATATATTGCTTTCAAATTATCTGATAATGTGGACCCCTCTGATTCTGCCTGTTAATTGCGTGATCATTACGGTATCTAGTGAATCTGAATACAGTACACGCAAGAATCAGGCTGAAGTTCTGTATGAACTTTTCTCGAAGGAGAATTCTGAATACTGCGGATCAGTAATTTGGGCCATTTTTCATGAGGATAAGAAAGGAGTCGATTACACCGAACCGCATCATTGACGAAGAGTCATGTCAAGCGCTCTTTTGTGTTTCTAATAACAGTACAGTATTTTGAAAAGTGATCGAAACTTTGAATGGACTTCTGTTTCTTTGAGCAGGTGCTGTTCTACGATTTTCTGAAGTTCGGATCACGCAAAAATAAAATCGGGTTCATCCCGTAGGAATCGTTTCACTTTTGATTTTTGAATTCATTTTATTCCAAGGCTGTATGATGATTTCTTGAGTGGAATCCCAATTTTAGATGAGTTTTTGTCCTTTTGCAAAAAGAAAAATTGCCTTTAATCCCTGTCCGTCGTCGACACATTTTGTGCCATTTCTTCAGATGATTTTAACCTCGAGGAATTTTTGAATAACCCTCTCTGCTTATCCGTGACTGATCCCCGTTTCGTACGTTCTCCCTTCGTGGAGAAGGCCCAACTGAAGGTAGGAATTATATTATTGTTTCGCCATCGTGCTGATGAAGCTGCCAGTAGTTCTGCTAGTCATTGTATCATGCCTCTGAATTGAGATCAAACAGATGTCAACGATGCATGCGAGGGCTTATTGTGCTCGTGTACTTTTTGTGACAATAGCGGCTGGGAACGTTGTAATCCGTCGTTTGCTTTGCCATTTCCTGGATTTCTGTAAATTTAAGCTGCGTTATTCTGAGTGGAAGCAGAATGATTGTAGATTGTTAGTGCTCTAGGGATCATTCATTCATTCGTTTGCTAACCCCCAACTGTGGAACTAAAGTAGTTGGATTCGTTGCGAGCCTGAAATCATTATTTTTCATTTTGTTCGGTGTGAGTTTAGTACAGTACCTTGGAATTTTGGTTATAATAGACCTCTATTCAGTTGAATCACTTTTACAGTGTATTATGGCAGTTTAGTTGGGTATTCAGTTTGTCAGGTTGAGAATTGAGTTGGTTTATTCAAGTATCATTTTGGTGAACTATTTTTTCTTTTACTTTACTTCGATAGTGACAGACGCCAGTGTCAGACGTGCAATTTTTTTGCGCAGACATCTGGGAAAAGCGTTTCGTGAGTCCCTTCATGATTTGAACTTGAGTAGTATGCCCACTCAACTCTTATTCTTTTGTACCAAATTTTGGGGAAAATGTTTAAGTGGTTTTATCAGGAATGTCTGTATTAATGTTGCAAGTTTGTTAGGCATTACCGTAGTTGGTTATTTAAGCTATTAGAGCAGTTTAGTGTTAATTTGTGGTTAAAAAGTCTACTTCGATAGGTATTAGGTTAGATCAAGTATTTTTTGATTTTGTTTTTCATAACTTAATACTGCCAGTATTATGTTCACTTAAACTTGATCGGTCAGTTGTATTACTTAGGGACATTTGAATTAAGAACTTCCACGTAGAAACACCTTTTCAAGTCGAAGTTTCCATCCATCCCTGGCAATTTTCCTAAAAGTGAAGTGTTATACAGTATTGAAGTTTAGAGTCAAACCTCTCTCAGTCGAATTTTTACGGTCCTCATGAAATTAATTTCTACCTAAATGATGGGAAACCAATTGCATAAAATACAATAAATTAATTTAAATTATGTTAATGCTGCTTACGAAGGATGAGACAACTTCCTGTACGCCGGACAACTAATAATAATCAACAATTCTAATAATTTGTCCAGAAACATTTACATTGAATAATCAGCAGAAATTGGCTGAATTCTGGTAAGACGAATTTTTTCGGAGTCCCTTCGAATTCGAGAGGTTCAACTGTATTTAGGACTTGAGTGTTGAGTAAGCTTAGTTTCATGCCAGTTTATGGGTTAGACACGTTACGGTTTAGGTTAGTATGTAGAACGATTACATTGCCATTGTTTCAGCAGTGGTGCTTTTATTCCGCTAAATTTTAGCTGTAATTAATCTAGCGCATTTATCTTGAGTTTCGAAATGTATCTGCTCGTGTTTTGAGTAAAAAATACCTGCTAAAGGCCCATATTTTCTATCAGCTGGCTCTCTTTTCTTGTACTCCCTGTGGCTTTGTTGGTCGGAAATTTGATCGTTTGTGCACCCGTGTATCTCGTAATTTCCGCACCGTAATTGTTTTTTTGATTTTGTAAGGCGTGGGATGATGACTCTGCGTGGGGGACGTCTTGTTAATACGCCTGTCGCTAAGCCTAACGTTTCGTAGCTTATCGCCAGTTTTTTGAACGAAGTGAAGCTTTTGAGTAGTGTATCCACCGGAATAGTGCGATTACTGACAAGGACTGATTTCAAGCCATGTCAAACCCTCGCTCTCATATGAAAGCGTAAGCCGAAAAGATGTCTTAGTGAAGCTAGAGTAGAGTGTTGTCAAATTTCTAAAGTCGGTTTTTTTTGTTAGGTCTTGAAAATGTGTTGAAAATTATTTTTCTTCTTTCCTGAAGGCCGAGCATGTCTCAGGGCGTGATGGGAACACGTGCTGCCCAGCGTGTGGGGAGTTCTAAGGAGTTTCTGGTAGCCACGCCAGAGGAATTTGTGCAAAGGTTCGGTGGCAGGAAAGTTATCAACAGGGTGAGCTAATATTTTTGCTTACTGTTTTCTTTCACACAAAAAAATGCAAGCGGACCAGAAACATTTGACCGATACCCGATCGACATGAATTATAATTCAAACGTTGAGAAACAAGGTAACCCGAAATGGAATGTACACTCAATCTTTTTTCCGAATATTTTCCAATCGTACCGATGTTTTTGTGGGGTGAATTTAGGAAAATTGGTCTTGAACACCGCTATTCAGGTAGACTCTCTCTACAACGAAATTCAGGGGACCAGAAAAAAAAATTGTGGTAGAAAGAATTTTGTTGTAGAAGGAGTCCACCTTTATAGGTTTGTTCAAGCGAAATGTTTCTAAATTTATCTAGCAAAAACCCCGTTGCAGAGAACTCTATAAAATGGAAAGAAAATTTTATGGGACCGAAAAAAGAAAAATCGTTATTCAGACAGAATTTTTGTAGACGAAATCAATGTGGAGAGACTATAGCTGGAATTCGTACTTCGCGTGTGAATGTGAAGAACTCACGTTGGGCCACACGAGCCATATTTTTGGACAAGAGCTTGGTACTCGAAGAGCTACTCCTGAGTTACTTGTGCAGTTTTGTGAGGAAGTCAAGTTCTTGGGGTTTAAGCAATTGTAGTTTGGAAAAATGGCGTAGAAAAGGTATGCGAGAGGCGCCGTATTTTTGGTGTAATCAACCTAGACATGCGGGAAAGGAACTACCACTCGGAAGCAAAATGTTGAATAAATTACGTTTTTCAAAGTTTTCATGCTGTGCTTAGTTTTCAAAATATTGGTGGCAGAAGAAAGGGTCAACATTTTTCTAACCGAACCACGAAACCCGGCAGTTTGTGAAAACTATGTCACGAACTGCCCTGATGAAGAGCTGGTTCGAATGGAGAACTTTCACCTTGAACTTTTATCTTTTAAAAACATTTGTGCATCTTCCGGAATTAAAACGAAATTCAATTTCAATTGAAAAGGTGCTCATCGCCAACAATGGCATCGCGGCTGTGAAGTTCATGCGGTCTGTGCGTCGATGGGCCTACGAGATGTTCAAAAATGACAGAGCTGTTAAATTTGTGGTCATGGTTACTCCAGAGGATCTCAAAGGTGAGTATACCCCAATACCCCGATGAAAAGTATTTTTAAAACGAATGTGGCTGTTTCTAGCGAATGCTGAGTACATCAAAATGGCTGACCAGTATGTTCCTGTTCCCGGTGGCACAAATAACAACAACTATGCGAATGTTGAGTTGATTGTTGATCTGGCCAAACGCACGCACGCTCAGGTTTGAAGGATTTGATTCGTGACATGAATTTCACAAAATTCTTTCGTAGCGTTTTTCTTATTTTTTCTTTCGTTCTTTTTCTCACATTTCAGTAGGGGGATTTCATATTATTTAGTTGCCTGGAAATGTTCGGAGATTTTGAAAGGGTAACTTGAAGGTTCAAGTAATTACCCCAATTGATTCACTATCCGTATGTACTGTATTTCAGTCGAATACTGTACGTCATACTGATTTGCTGAGGCGACTCCGCAACACTGAATTACTCTTTTGTTTGCTTTTCGTTCACTCTCGCATTTTTTTTTTTTACTTGTTTTTCTTTTTTAGTTGTATTATTTAAATGTTTTAGAAACGTTATGTTTCATTTTGAAATTAACAGGGTGTCTGGGCTGGTTGGGGCCATGCTTCAGAAAACCCCAAATTGCCGGATTTGCTTGCCAAGAATGATATCGCCTTTCTCGGTCCCCCGGGAAAGGCAATGTGGGCTCTCGGAGATAAAATCGCATCTTCGATTGTTGCTCAAACTGCTGACATTCCTACTCTGTCTTGGTCTGGGGATGGTAAGTTTTAAAATTTTCCTTGAGTTAATTGAGTTCCACGCTGTCTACGAAATGGTTTTCTTTGAGATGATTTTGACCTGGTTTTTTTGTTTGCGGGATGAACGAGAAAAGCCGGCAGATTAAGAAAATACTGTGTGTGCAGTACCTTGAATGGTTGGAGATGCGACTTGAAAAAGTAGTTCCTGGATGATCATACAGCATTTTCTGTAATGTCTATAGTCCTTTTAATTTTTATCTATTTAAGGTGTATTTTTGCTTAATCCGAAAAGTTAAATTATTGAAAAGACGATCGAAAAATTTTCAATGCAACGATTTTTCCTATTTGTACCGTAGTTTAAAAGCTTGAAGCTACTCGTTTCTCTAGCCCACCTTGCCGAAATGTCTATGCCTGAAATTTGTTGTTCTTTTCGCGTGTAAACTTTTTTTTTCCCTGTCGTGTGAAGGGTTGAGAGTCGACTGGGTCGACAATGAAAAAGATGGATCTGGTCGAAAGAAGCTTCAAAAAATCCCGGATGAAATGTACCATAAAGCCTGCGTCCGAACAGTGGAAGAAGGGTTAATTGCAGCTAATCGCGTCGGATTCCCGGTCATGATCAAGGCGAGCGAAGGCGGCGGAGGCAAAGGCATCCGGAAATCGCACAATCCCGACGATTTCCCCAACATGTTCCGTCAAGTTGCGGCGGAAGTGCCGGGTTCTCCGATTTTTATTATGCAACTCGCTGTGGGAGCGAGACATCTTGAAGTTCAGATTCTGGCTGATAGCTACGGAAACGCGATATCATTGTTTGGAAGGGATTGCTCAATTCAGAGACGGCATCAAAAGATCATCGAAGAAGCTCCGTGTGTGATTGCGAAACCGGATGTTTTTGAAAAAATGGAGAAGGTACGTTTCAAGTTTCTCTCCGGTTAATAAGCTTATTTGTTACTGTTGTAAAATTCGTTTCGCCCGCTGAACAAAGCCGGACAGTTCCTGTAGATTTTTTCGCTCTGTATGGGATTGCAATGCGAAGGTATTTTAACAATTTGTATTTTGTCCCGAAAATTCACCCATCGAATCCGACACGACATTTTTAAATTTCGATTTCTGTCTTTCTCGATCGTATGGGTCAATGTTGTTTCCAATCCCACACGTCCCAAAAAAGATATTCAATAAACGGCTGGCCAGAACGGTTGATTTCAAAATTTCAGTGCTTACCAACAAATTTCCTAAATTGAAGAAATGATAATTAGGAGACCAAGCCTAGACTCAATCAATTCACATGGGTTGCCATTGATATCAATCCTTGCAAGTTGTGTTACAATACATTCGCATGCAGAAATAAATTTTTTATTAAAATATCTCGCATTGTCGATGATGCTTCTAGTTGAAACTACCGAAGTTCTGCACTCCGTTTACGATGAACTTCTTGCCTTTCGTAATTGTATTCATTCTTTTCTCGGCGTGTAAAAGAGTCTGAAATTAGCGAGAGTAAATCCAAGGATATTTTGCATTTTTGAAGGCTGCAGTTCGTTTGGCGAAGATGGTCGGTTACGTGAGTACGGGAACTGTGGAATACCTGTATCACGAGGACGGACAATTTTATTTCCTGGAATTGAACCCGAGGTTGCAAGTTGAGCATCCGTGCACAGAAATGGTCGCGGATGTAAATCTTCCTGCCTGCCAATTACAGGTAAATTTTCTATGACATGAACTTGTCAAATAATTTGGACAAGTTTTGAAAATGAGTTCTCTTCTGAAGGTGGCCATGGGAATCCCGTTGCATCGCATGAAAGACATTCGTGTTTTGTACGGGGAAGGAGCGTGGTCGGATACTCATATTCAGTTTGAAAATCCTCCCAGAAAACCAGTTCCTTGGGGTCATGTGATCGCGGCTCGAATCACGTCCGAGAACCCAGAAGAAGGTCTGAAATTCACTTGTTGATTAATCGCACCCTTTTCTGGTACAAAATTTTTATTTTGTGCGAGTATGGAAATCTGTTTATTGCAATTTCATTTGTAACTAGCCACCGAAGGGTATAAGGAAAAGATAATTCAAGCGATTGGCGAGGCATAAAGCCGTCATCCTCACTCCTTGTAATGGCTGAACTTTACTCCGGAAATTATCCTTTGGTAGAAAGCATTACGCGATGTGAGTTCCCATTGAAAAATACTAGTACTGTATCTTTGTTTGAGTTATACGCAATGTGAATGTTGCTTTCAATTGTCCATTGGAGAAGAAAAGTAAGTGAAGATAATTCGTCGTAAAAGGAGGATGTATGCAAGTCTTTTCATTGATCCCTGATTGGATTACAGGATTCTGACTCGACTGCTTGAAAAAATGAACAGTAATTCACTTGAAAAATCTGTGGAACCATCTCTCAGATGTACTGACATTCATCGTATATCGATCCAGTTTTCGGTTGAAGTCGGATGACTTATGCAGAAAGATTATTTTCATTTGTTCAAGGATTCAAGCCCAGTTCGGGAACAGTTCAAGAGCTCAACTTCCGATCGAACAAGAATGTTTGGGGTTACTTCAGTGTAGCCGCGAGCGGTGGGTTGCACGAGTTTGCCGATTCTCAGTTCGGCCATTGTTTCTCTTGGGGTGAAACCCGGGATGAAGCCCGCGAGAATCTCGTAGTTGCTCTCAAGGAACTTTCCATTCGTGGCGACTTTCGCACAACTGTCGAATATCTTGTCACTTTGTTGGAAACGGAAGATTTTCAACGGAATCGATTCGACACCAACTGGTTGGATGCGCAAATTGCGAGCAGGATTAATGCCGGAAGGCGTCCAGACAAATTCCTGGCTGTCGTCTGCGCATCGTTGCATGTCATCGATCAAAGGATCATGCACGCCTTTTCTGCATTTCAGGTAACTATTCAAACGCGTAATGTTGCTTTTTATTGAAGTAGATTTACCTCATTATGCCGCATTTACTCGAAAATGAGTCGCCATGAGCTCACGAAAAAATGCTCGAAATAATCAGGGTGCGTACAAAAAAATGTTCATGCGAAGAGTATGCTATGATTGCTTTTGTTTTTTCACCAACTCCTGAATACAAATTTATTTTGGAATTTTCGCAGATGATAGTGATGATTTTCAGTTCAGGGGCACAAGGATTATTATTTTTCAAGTTGCAAGTGAAACATAAATAGAAGTTCTGGACAGGAAAAATGAATATTTGATAATTAGTAAATGTGAATTTCTATCAGCGGCGAGTTATTTTTTTAAATCGCTGTAAGTCGATCAAAATTAGTACTCTCTTGGTTTACCCTGTACTATTGCTCTTTGCATCTTTTTTAATGAGTGACAGCGCGTCTTGTCGAATTCGGCAACAACACTCAGTTTGAGTAATTTTAAAGTACCTGTGGTGATTTGGATTCCTTTCGTAATTCCAGGCATCTCTGGAGCGCGGACAAGTGTTGCCACCGACTCAAGCGCTGAGTAATTGCGCAGTTGCGGAATTGGTTTTGGACGGAGTGAAGTATACGGTTCAAGGGGCGAAAACAGGACCCAATTGTTATTTTCTTGCGCTGAATGACTCGCACAAGGAAATCGACGCGCATCGGTTGAATGACGGCGGGATTTTGCTTTCGGTCGACGGAGCCTCGCATACTACTTACATGCGCGAGGATGTGGAGCACTACAGGGTTGTCATCGGGAATCAAACCTGTGTTTTCGACAAGGAGAAAGACCCCACGATTTTGCGGTCACCTTCGAATGGAAAGCTGATCGGGTAAGAATTTTAAAGTTTAATACTCGGACTTCTCACGAATGATTCCAGGACAGCACCAGAGCAAACGTCAAAAACTATCTGTAATTGTCCCAACTAAGAGCTGGGATAAAATTGTGGGGTTTCCAAGATTGCTTTATCCAACCAACTTAGCTTTCACGCAACATTAATGAAGTCCATCATGAAAGAACTTGTATTGAAGTTGACACAGTTCGGGTTAATGACTTGCAATCTTAATCGCGTTCCCGTATTTTCTCCGAAAGACGATTCAAGTGTGGAATTTTTCGTTGTTAAACTGCTGCTTATTTTTTGAAGTCAAAGGTCGTGCAGGGTGATTAGTTTAATAAACTAGAACCTGTAATCAATTCTTCTGTGGTCTGTATGTTGGTATTTGATTTTGAGAATGAATAATCTGGGGTACTGTAATCAAATTGGATTCTCGCATGGGTAGCTCGAAATTTTTTTAGAGTAAATATTTCGAAAAAGAACTTCTTGAATGGGAGGATTAGGCTTTGACTATCTGAATGGTAGGGAGGCTGAAGAACGTGCTCGTATTGTTTATAGGTTTTCTTCGTGCTTCCGCTTGTGTCTCTCCCATTATTTGCAAAGTTCATAATTTTTACTCATCTCACGGGATACACGCTGTATTATGAAGAAAAATGACATATAGAGCTTATTTTAAAATGTTGAAGGTATTTGGTGGATGACGGGAATCATGTGTTCGCCGGTCAAGCATATGCCGAAGTCGAAGTTATGAAAATGGTCATGACCTTGACCGTGAGCGAATCTGGTTGCTTGTGGTACACTAAACGTCCCGGGGCAGTGATTGAAGTTGGAACTATACTCGCCCGTCTTGACGTTGACGATCCGACACGAGTCACTAAGGCACAACCCTTCACGGGGAAATTCCCGCCGAGTCTTGGTCCTGGACCAGGACCGGCTGCGACGGAAAAGGTCAGTATTTCCGATGTTGACCTGGATCTATCTGCTAATTAATTTATTTATTTTTAAAAGCGAGTAATAATCGTTGGTTATTATCACCTGTGCATCAATGATCCTGACTCGGAAACCTTGTTGTCCAAATAAAGTAGTTTCACTTCGCATTCCTCTACTATATTGACAAACCTTTTAAATCAGCCCTCATTTCCGTGTCTAGCTCGGTAGTTTCTTAGTGATTTCAGGCAGCCAGAGGTACCTTTCTTGGTATTTTTCATGGTGCTGTAATTTTTTTGGAAAAATTCATGTGGGAAAGTTCAGTCGTTTCAGGCAGTCAAAAGGACCCTATGCAGTATTGAGGCTTCAATTTTTAGTGCCAATATTGTTCGGGCGAGGAAAGGTGGACTATATCTACAATAATCTTTTCTACATCAATTTTCTCTGTATAACGATTTTGTTGTTTTCCTGTTGGTTTTTCTCAGCATGTTAAAGGACGTCTCCACAGTGGGATTCATTTTTCTACGAATTTTCTGGTCGCTTGAATTTTGTAGCGGAGAGAATCCATTTTTACTGTACTTCTCCAATACTACATATAACTCTATTACTGTCTCGTCTCCCTGAGAAAAGATCTTCAATTTGTGCATACAAATGCATCGACAACAATTCTCATGAGTTTTTATGTGGTAATTATTTTCAGCTCAACGAGTCATTCAAAACAGCGAAGCATAGATTGGAAAGCGTTTTATCGGGATACTGTCTCCCGCATCCCTGGTTCACGCCGGTTCTGGAACGGAATTTGGACAAGTTTTTGAAATGTCTTCGGGATCCGAATCTCCCACTTTTGGAGCTGCAAGAAGTCGTTGCTACAGTTTCTGGTCGTATTCCGCCTGCGGTCGAGTCCCGCATAAGAAAGCACATGGTTCAGTACGCTTCGAATATCACTTCCGTGCTTGCCCAGTTTCCGAGTCAGCAGATAGCTGGGGTCATCGATGCGTGAGTTCCGCGATTGTTTTTTGACGTCCAGAGCTCACTCCTTGAATCTTACTTGATGCATTGAATTTCTGAATACGTTCTTGCTGTACAGTTGAATGGTTTCACTGAAGTCTTGTAGTTTATCCTCGCAACTAATGAAGAAGAATGGATGGAAATAGTTTTCAAGCTACGAAGTTAAGCCTCTTTTCGCATTTCTGTGAAATTGTAATCTATGCCAAAAGCACTTTTCAAATGAAAAATCCACTTTCGAAAAACCTCTCAAACCACGCTTCATTTCTGATCGGAAAGAAGTTAAAAGATTTTTTGAGATATCGCTCAGCATTGGTAATTAGCGGGAACACGAACTAATTTATGCGTTGAGTCGCACATCTTTGGAAAAAATGAAGGGCGTTGATCATTTCGTAAAATGATTACGCGTTTCCTAGTTTAAAAAAAGATACATATAAGATATAAGCATGCATCATTTTCTTATGAATGCTTGAAATTTTTCGCCGATTATTTCACCGATGTTCAGACAAAATGATCGAAACTGAGGGACATTAAATTATGTGCAAAATGTTAGTGTATCAGGAGTGTAAACTTGGAGAAATCTGGTTTTTTCAGGCATGCGGCGACTTTACAAAGGCGACCCGACCGAGATGTTTTCTTCATGACAACTCAAGGGATATTACAACTTGTGCAACGATATCGGAGTGGAATCCGTGGTAGACTGAAGGGCGCCATTCAGGATCTTTTGAAGCAGTATCTGAACGTCGAGACTTTGTTTCAGCATGGTATAGTTCACATCGTTAATTTTTTTTGTTTATTCAAAAGTTTAGATTGTATAGACAATAGTGTACAGTATTTGAATACTTCTGAATGAAGTAAAACGAAATCCGATTCATTTAATTCCAAGGTCATTACGATCGATGCGTGGAAGCGGTGAAGAAAAGGCACAAGGAAAACACAGCGGCAGTGGTTGAAGATCTGTTTTCTCACTCGCAAGTGCAAAAGAAGAATGTTCTGATTGTCGGACTCATTGATGCACTTTGTGCATCTGATCCTGGACTGACCGATGAGCTGGTTGCAATTCTCAGTGAGCTCACCAGGTTGAAGCAGTCCGAGAACTCGAAAGTTGCCCTGAGAGCGAGACAAGTACGTACATTTTCACGAGGTTACTCTCAATCGTCAAGCTCTACTGACTTTGAAACTAATGTCTTTTTTCTGTATCGAAGTCTTCTTCTTTATTTAAATATTTTTCCAAAACGTGGACGCCAGCTCAAAAGCTGGGTTTTTAAATGGGTATTAATGGATTACAACGGCAATGAAAATGAAGAGAATGAAAAGGACTTTTCTCTATTCAGTAGATTTCGCGAAGAATTTTGCAAGTCACGCCTCCATAAATTTGAATCAGATGTTTTTTTCTTCCACTTGGCAACAGACGGTTTACTTGTGACTTTGTGAGGATTCCATCTGGTTCGCTTGTGTTTGATTCCCATTCTGTTTTCAAAGAAGTTCAAAGCCGATGTATCCGACTCCTTGATAAAATTGATTCGGGCTCATAAAAATAAAATTTCTTGAGTATGTATTCTTTTCCACCAGTAAAACGGACCAACATTTCTTTTAATCCTGTAGAACATTCCCTTAAAATGCGTCGTTGTGTATTTCTAGAGAAATATTGATTTAAGACCTGTCTTCGGGGAAAGAGGGTAGTATCGAATTTTATTAAATCAAGTTATAATATATTTTGGCAGGTTTTGATAGCTGCCCATCAGCCGCCGTACGAATTGCGCCACAACCAAATGGAGTCGATTTTCCTCTCAGCGATCGACATGTACGGAAACGAATTTCAACCCGATAATTTGCAGAAGTTGATAATGTCGGAAACTTCGATTTACGACGTTCTGCACGATTTTTTCTATCATCGCAACGCGTTGGTTCGTGCTGCTGCTCTTGAAGTTTACGTGCGACGAGCATATACGTCGTACGACTTGATGTTTCTTCACCACCTGGAGCTGCAGGATTCTGAGCCTCTATGCGTGGTGCGGTTCAGCTTTTTGCTGCCTTCTTCACATCCCAACAGGTTAGTTAATGATGATTATACCTGACATTGCGTAGCTTCTTTTAATGGTAAACCGTCGATTTAGCTATCTTTGAAACTTCAACTTACCTGTTTATTTTTTTCGTGATTCTATCTTCCTTGTTTTACGCCCGGTCTCTTCGTCTGCTTTGTTTTGTACTTACGAGGGATGGCTCATGTCGTTTGAAAAAGCTTTAGAAAAATTCTTCTGCTTTTCGTGTCAGTTGAGAAAATCATATTTTCATGTGTCAAAAAGTTCGTTTCTGTTGTAGTAGTGATCGGAAATTTCTTGCTCGCCAATTGGAATTTTAAGGCAATTTTCTGATTCAGTATGAATAACGCAAAAAAAAGCCGAAACGGGTGGTTGTTCCCTAGAATAAGTTCGTCAGATAAAATCTGAGGCATCATCGTTGAAAAGATCTGTGTAATTATTTTTTAAAAATTTAATGACGCTTGGACTGCCCTCAAATCTAAAAAATGAACTTCATGAACCAATCCTCGTATTTTGTTTCGTCGAGTAGTTCAAGAGTTCTTAAGGGTTTTTTTTTAAACCCGATCTCCTGCTATTCTGGCTTTTCATGGGAGAACGCAATGACCAGGTTTTGCTTTGTGGTTTGTCGCTAGAGCTAAATATTTTTGCAGGATGATGTATCTCAACAATAGGGCTTCCACTCGCTTTTCAAATACTGGTGCGGGCAGTCCAGCAAGTCCTAAGATGACCTTGAGTGGTGAGCATGTCTTCTGATATTTTTCCAAATTTCTTGCGATTTGTCCGTGTAGTGAATGCCTTCTTAGCGACGTGCATCAGCTGTTGGAAATTTTGTGTCGATGTCAAATGTCGTGAATTGTTTTGTGAACGTGTTGAATCGTGATGGACGCCTAATTTTAAAGCTAGAATTTGATTGTCGAGCTTGAAGGATTGCGCTGCTATCCTACAAAATAAACTGCGTTTTGATTTTTTCTTCAGATTTCGACGCATCAGCCGTGCGTCGTATGGGTCTCATGGTGGCGTTTTCCAGCTTCGAGCAGCTGAAAGACAAGTTTGAAGAACTGATGGAACACTTCCCTGACCCTGAGTCTCCCATCGAGATGTCACCTCCGCTCGGTTCGAGTTACGAAACTGGGGCCAGTAGGGCCTTCAGTATCAGTTCTCCGGTTGATCGCTGTCAGTCGGAGGTTTTCAACGTTAGCATCGCTGGAGCATCCGGAGAAGTAAGTCTGGAAGACTTATCAGATTTGTAATTATATTGCGTAGGTAATGCGTCGAGTCATAATTGAATTTGTGCTTTTTCTACAAATGTTCTTCATCAGTGATTGATTATCCAAGTTTAAACAACCAATAATTATGTTAGGTATTCGACGTTCTCTTCGCAGTACAGTACTGGTTTAGTTTTTGTTCCAGTAGCTTGAAAATCCGATTCCTTCAATTTCCGTCAGATGTTGCCTGCATAATTGACCCGACTGGTCTTGATTAGTCCCACGGTCTCACCAACGCTGAACAAACCCAAACCTGCCTAATGCGACACAACCAGCGTACCGAACGTAAACCTAATGAAACTCTGAAAATACAACTGACATCTGTACAATGGTAGAGAAAATAACGCAGTCGCAAAAAATGAAGTTGAATTGAAAAGGTGAGAGGCTTTCAAATGAATGTTTTTTTTTCAAGGCCCCGGAACCAGTGCACGTTCTGAGCGTTGCCATCCGAGTTGAAGACAGAGTTGGCCGAAAAGGAGTGAAAGAAGACAGGTTCGACTTGTCAACCCCAGCTGATGACGACGATGACGAAGCCCTTAGCGCAGCATGTCTCGCATTCTGCCGTGAACGCGAATCTGACCTGACGAAAAAACTCGTTCGTCGTCTGACCTTCGTGATTCTTCGCAAACAGGCTTTCCCGAAATATTTCACATTCCGAGCGCGAGACAAATTTGGCTCTGAAGATCGCATCTACCGACACTTGGAACCCGCATTGGCATTCCAGTTGGAAATGGGAAGAATGCGAACCTATGAACTAGAGGCACGTCCAACGAGCGATCAGAAGATGCATCTTTACCTAGGGAAAGCCAAGGTTGCCGCCGGGCAATCGGTAACAGACTACCGGTTCTTCATCCGCGCCATAATTCGTCATTCCGACCTCGTCACGAAAGAAGCCTCATTCGAATACATGAAGAACGAAGGCGAGAGATTGTTGCTGGAATCCATGGACGAGTTGGAAGTCGCGTTCTCTCATCCGTTAGCATCTAGGACCGACTGCAATCACATCTTCCTCAACTTTGTTCCCACTGTCATCATGGATCCCACTAAGATCGAAGAAAGCGTTCGCTCAATGGTCATGCGGTACGGGATGCGATTATGGAAGCTGAGAGTGCTTCAAGCCGAGTTGAAAATCAATATCCGAGCATCTCCGAATTCCGAGAGGGTGCCGATCAGGTTGTGCTTGGGGAACGAGTCTGGTTACTATCTAGACGTTAGGTTGTACAAGGAAGTCCTGGAGCCGAGCACTGGAGTGATCAAGTTTGTCAGCTTTGGGCCAACGCATGGCCCGATGCACGGGTTGCCGGTTTCCACGCCGTATGTGACGAAGGATTATCTGCAATCTAAGCGTTTCCAGGCTCAGAGTAATGAAACGACTTATGTTTACGATTTTCCGGAAATGTTCCGAGCTGCTCTGGATAAACGTTGGCGGGATTTTGCGATTACTCGATCTCAAGGTAAGCAACTTTTTTTTTTACAAGTTACTTTAATGCAAGTTAAAATATCGTAGTCAACTCGAAATTCGCAAAATGTTTGCGTCGTTTTGCTGTAGAAAGGCGTTTCACCTCTGAAAACAGTATTGTAAAGTGCTTGACGAATATATACTTTAATTGGTTTGCCTCAGATCCTGCTGTTCAACCCTTGAATGTGCCATCTTCGTCTGACATGGTTGAATATGTAGAGCTGGTCTACGACGCGGAAGAAGGGAAGCTTGTTGAACAAAAAAGGCTTCCTGGGGAGAACGACGTGAGTTATAGAAGAAATTGATGTTTTGATTGAACCTTGCTGATTACCGAAACCGATATTATTTTCATTGCTATGCATTCGGCTGTAATTCTTCAGATCGGAATGGTTGCATGGAGGATGACGTTGAGGACGCCGGAATATCCCGATGGACGAAGTATTGTCGTGATTGCAAATGATCTGACCCATCAGATTGGATCTTTCGGGCCTGAGGAAGATAGGCTTTTCTTGGCAGCATCACAACATGCCAGGAAACTTGGGGTTCCTCGAATCTACTTGGCAGCCAATAGTGGTGCTAGGATCGGTTTGGCTGAAGAAATTAAAGGATTGTTCAAAATCGCGTGGGAAGATCCTCAGGAACCGGACAAGGTGCAGTATTTTTCGTTTTCGATATGAAATGCTTTCGAAAAATTCAGTGCTGAATTATTGTCATTCGCAGGGCTTCAAGTACCTGTACTTGACTCCAGAGGACTTCAAAAACGTTTCCGCTATGAATTCTGTGAAGGCTGAGTTAATAGAAGAGGAAGGAGAATCTCGTTATAAGATCCTAGATATCATCGGTGAGTCGCTTTTGCTCATCTCAAATAAATGGTGTCGATTTTGATGACAGGGGCGCATCCTTATCCATGTTTACGCTGTATAAATATTTTTGTGCGTATGAAGCTCGAGATCTACTATTAATTGTGACGCTAGGTATCGGTTTTCCTTTTTTTTTTAATTTGATTTTTCGAAGGATATAGTTTACATAAATTCGATTATTGAAGTGTCTTAAACCTTTTATTCAATAAATATCTGGGAATTGATATCATTATACAGTACCGTGAAAAATTAAAAATAAATTTGAATCGCATTCATTGCGTTTGTTGCCTATTTTTTAAGGATCTCTAATGCATTATTGAATGGAACAATCTGGGATTTGCACTGAAGTAACCAACAATTTTTTTTTTCCGAGGAGCATAAAACTTCTTCATATGGCAGCTTTTTTCCTTCTTTTATCTTACCTCAAAACTGAGTCATTGTTATGTAGATGTTCATAACTTACCGGTATTGTATTTAAAATATTTTTCTAGTGCAGTAGCGCGAAAATCACTTTATATTTTGCCATAGGTAAAAAAGTTGTTGGGTCGAAGTTTTGTTTTTTCTTGGCGCAACAACGTGACGTGTTCTGGCAGGCTTTTACAATTACTGTACTGTAAATTTTTCCCTTACTCCAGATCGTGTTGATAAACGTAATTAAATTCCATTGAGCCCTCCGTGGTGAGTTCCTGTGTACCCTACTATTGCATTCATGACTTTCTGTTGATTTTGATTTTTAGGGAAGGATGAAGGACTAGGTGTTGAAAACCTCATGTGGAGCGGCACCATTGCGGGAGAAAGCTCTCAGGCGTACAACGATATCGTAACAATTTCGATGGTAACCTGCCGTGCCATCGGAATCGGTGCATATCTAGTTCGTCTGGGTCAGCGAGTGATACAAGTGGATTCTTCCCACATCATCCTCACGGGCCATGCCGCACTCAACAAGCTCCTCGGCCGGGAAGTCTACACGTCCAACAACCAACTCGGTGGTGTACAAATCATGTATCACAATGGCGTGTCTCACGCGACTGCTCGCGACGATCTGGACGGAGTTAGCAAAATCTTACTTTGGCTGTCTTACATGCCCAAAAAGCGCGGAGCAGGGTTGCCGATAATGCCTACGCTTTTGGATGACCCTGCGAGTAGGCCAGTGACCTTTATGCCGACACGGGCTCCGTATGATCCGAGACAGATGCTTACTGGAAGACAGTGTCCAGGGAATGACAGTGTTTGGGAGTACGGGTTGCTGGATATTGGGTCCTGGGACGAGATCATGGCGGGTTGGGCAGGTACTGTAGTGACTGGGAGGGGAAGATTGGGTGGCATCCCTGTTGGTGTAGTGGCAGTGGAGACGAGAGCCGTGGAGGTGCAATTGCCTGCGGATCCAGCGAATGCGGATTCCGAGGCCAAGACGATCTCGCAAGCAGGACAAGTTTGGTTTCCTGACAGTGCGTACAAAACTGCGCAAGCCATCAAGGATTTTGCCAGGGAAGAGCTGCCGTTGTTTATATTGGCGAACTGGCGAGGTTTCTCGGGTGGGATGAAAGGTGAGACATTTTTCATCTGCATTTATTCTAAAACAAAATTATTGCTGAGTGAGGGATTTGCGATGTACCGTATTTACTGGAGTACCAAATGCCCTCGAACAAGACGCGCACCCAGTTTTCTGGTCCTAAAATTTTGCATATCCCCGAATATGATGCGCACCCATGTTTATAGTGACTAAAAAATGGCAAATCTTTGAAAATAATACGCATAATATCCGAAATTTTGACTTGAATTGAACCCAACTTGAATTAAGGTTCCATTGATTCTATCAAAAAACAAATTATTTATTGTATTGAAATTTTTTTAAATTTTTCTTTAAGAATCATTCATGACGCGAACCTGCTTTTTTAAATTTGTGAACTTTTAAAAACCCATTCACGCTCTTTTTTTCTACTTGAATTTGTTTTTTAAATGCGCGTTGGACTTCTGTTAAATACGGCTGTTGGAAATTTTCCCGCTTCGTCTGTTCTAATTCCGAGTTTTTCTGGTGTGGGTAAATTTCTTTGAAAATCTTGGTTGAATTCCAATTCTGCACTGAATAGATATCCGCGCCACATGATAACTTTTCTGCTATGGCCATTATTCAGGCAGATGGTTAAATGTTCTGCATATCGTACTGCCAGTCGCAGTAAATTTTAATTTTACGCTGAGTTATTGGACGTTTTATTAGATTCTGTGTCTGCGTGACAATTGCTACATTATCCCTGAAGCGTCACTTGAGATTCAGCTGAAGCCTGATACTGTATGATAATCAGGACTGCATTTTTTTATCCTTCCTCAAACAATCTTTGAGACGTTATCGACGTACTCTCTGCACACTTTGACGAACTTAAGCCCAACGAGACTTCCCCGTAGATATTTCTCACTTTTATGCGGTCCAGTATTTTTGGACGCCGTGCGTAAGTGTAATTTTTAGTGAATTAATGCGTGAATGCGCATCAAAAAAGTGAGATCCTCTGTATTTTTCACCGGGATACTGCGTTGTTCATTGAAGAAAACCATGTCGTTTGAAAGATGACTAGTTGGATACGGTGGAAGTGATATCTGGATATTCTTTACAGATATGTATGACCAGGTCGTCAAATTCGGTGCTTATATCGTGGATGGATTGCGTGAATATAGGATGCCGATTTTGGTCTACATACCACCTTATGCCGAGCTTCGAGGAGGAGCCTGGGTCTGTATCGATCCCACGATCAACCCGTGCTATATGGAAATGTATGCGGATCGTCTTTCGAGGTACAATATTTGCGAGCGTTCGATGTCACGATTATTTTTTCACCTTCTAGAGCTAGATTCGCTGTTGGTTTCAATTTCGGTTCTTCTCACTTGAATGACCCACGAATATTTTTTTGGTGCGTGTAATATAAATAGAGGATCTTGTTTCTTGATCAAACTGAGAAAGCCATTTAATAGGGTTTTCTATAGAGAAGTGAAAAATGTTTTCGCATGGGGCCAATGGTTGGTGCACTGTGCAAGGGAAAACAAATACAGCACTATACTGTATAAGGCAAGAAACACAAAAAGCTGAAAAGCTTCAACTTTTCAGTGCAATCAAGTTCCATGAAAAGCAAATACTGAAATACACACGAAGAGGTCGTGAAGTATTCGCTCTTCATTTAATTTAATTGCGCTGAAAATTTACTCAACGGCCTTTAAGTAACTGTCCTTTTCATCATTTCCTGGACGTTGAACAGCAAACTTCGTTTCTGCGAAATATTCAATTGAATCTTTCTGGTTGCGTAGGGACTTTTTGGACGCCTTGCAGTTCATGCCATGTCTTGATAATTTCCTTGTTTTCATGTTTTCAACTTAAATTGATTGATTTTTTTCAGAGGCGGAGTCCTGGAGGCTGAAGGAATAGTGGAAATAAAGTTTAAATGGAAGGATCAAGTGAAAGCGATGCATCGTATAGACCCAGAAATGAAGGAAATTGTGAAAAGCTTGCGTGATCCAGGACTGACACCTGCTCAAAAGGGCGTGTTAGAAGCCAAGAAGGCTGATCGAGAACGAAGTCTGGCATCAGTCTTCCATCAAGTTGCTGTTCATTTTGCGGACTTGCACGACACGGCTGAACGCATGCAAGAGAAGGGTGTGATCCAGGTTGGAATTTAAAAAAATTAAATTGGCGAAAAAAAATGTGATTTCTCAGTTAATAAACCTTAATGCCTCAGTTGAAAAACTTGATTGTCTCAGTGAATGAACTTCTATGTCCGTGATCAATTTATTATCCAGGAAGTAATTGAGGCAAAAAAGTATAGCTTTCAAATTAGTTTGAAAAAATATAATTTGTTCCTAGTTCCTTTCAAAATTTTCCTTCACTTGAGATTTTTAAGTAAATGTACTTTCATCCCGAAATTTCATGATGTAACTGCGAAATGTGCAAAAACGACGGAAACCATGATCAACTTAATCGAAAAAATGGATGGCAGCTCATGTATTGGGAGAAAAATCAGCAAACAAGGCGTCCATCGTTTTCTTATTTTTTTTGGAATTTTAATGCCAGATGATTTCTGGCGAAATCAGTTCATTGCTTCAAATGTCACGTTAATGCGGTATTTTAATTTATCGGGATTTCTTCGTTTCCTATAGGACATAGTGCCATGGGTTCAATCAAGGAAGATTTTGCACGGTCGCTTGCACCGGCTACTGTTGGAGCATAAGGCTTGCACACTGTTGCATTCTGCTAGGCCAAAATCCTCCTTTGCTGAACGGAAGGCGATCTTGCGACGTTGGTTTATGGAGGACAAGGGTTCGCTTCAGGTACGTTCAACTGTTGACGAAACAGTTCAACTGTTTGTCATTGACGAGGAAATCTGTGAAGACATTTTTAATTTAATTTTTAATAATGTTCTGTTGTGCGGTTTTCAGGGTTATTTGTGGGACGACAATGAACTCGTCTCCATGTGGCTAGAAACTCAATTGTATTTCGCACCAGGCAAAGAATCGCTGCTGGCGGAAAATATTCGATGCTTAGAACGTGATCTTGCTCTGTCCCAAGTGCGCCAACTGCTACAAGTGAGTCTTTTTTTTTTATGAAAAATTGTTTAGCGTATAGCGTTTCTAACTGTTCAACAAATTCTTCTTGTAAGATGATGGTATGAATTTGCGTAGATGCGGCTTAATTGTCGGTGATTAAATCGTTAAATTGAAAATGTACGCCTTTTATGTATCAACTCATCTTGAATTTGCTGTGAGAACATCTCGAAATAGACAACATAATTCGTAAGTAAGCTTGCCTCTCTGAAAATTTTTTAGTCGCTTGTATCGTAAATTTCCTCCAAGTTCGCGCCGAACTTGGTTCAAACGAATTCGAAAGACTCAGGAATTCATTCCGCTAAATTCGTCGTTCCAGTCGTACCCCGACTTGGCAGTGGACAGCATGGTCCATGCCTTCCAACACATGAACTCAAGCCAGAAGGCCGATCTCTTGCGCGCACTCAACAATCTCGGAAGGGAGGCTGCTGTGAAAAAGGATGAAGAAGCTTCCCCGTCTTCTGCGGATTCCTCTCCGGTCTCAGCGTCTGCGACAGTTCCTGTTGCCGATCCCAGTGTTGAAGCTCAATCAGCCCCGGAAAATAGCCAAGTTTCCAAATGAGGGCCTTCGTTGGACCGGAACTGTAGAAGAGGAAAGAAAATGCTATTGCGAAGTGCACGGGTATTTTAGAAAACGGTTCTTGCCCAGTTCCTCATCGAATCTATGTTGAAGAATCTTTTGATTTCAGGTTACTTTTTTCAAGGATCGGTAAAATTTTAACCTGTGGGGGTGGCACGAATCCACAAGTTTGACTGATGATAGGGAGACGTCAGAATTTTCTTTCCATATCCAAGTTTTATCCCTCTTTTTTAATGAAGTTCTCTTTTGAACTTTTGGAAAAGGAATTTATGTGGTTTTTTGATTTTAGCTCTGAACATTGCTGGGGGCTTCTGGATGAAAAAGGTCGCATGCACCAAAATTTTTCGCGAGTGCATTCATTTTCGCGCTTTTTAGGGATTCCAGCTCGATGCTGTGGGTGTTCGCTTTTAATATGTGTGAATAGCTTTCCGCGGTCTTCCGGGAGAAACGATATTTTCCGCTAATAGTGCACAACAGATTCCCTCCAAGAGTATGGTACTGGGGCGCAAAGCGGCATCTGATTTCTAGTGTTACCTCACTGAATTCTCAAAATGCGATGAATTACAACTTCGAGAATCTGTGATCGACTCCTGTTAATAAATGGATATATTTTTTGATTCAATATTTGTTTGACGAAGCAGCGAGGGACGGGTGGTGGATCTTGGATCATCGTTATAGCCATCTTTTCAGATTAAAAGAATAGGATTACAAGTTGGGTTTATTTTGTTCGTGATTCTGTTGAATTTCGGGAAGAGCTTGAGTGTTGAGATTCGGAATGGATCGTCATTATCAAGCGTTCTGTGGAAATATACTCCAAAATGCTTTATCGGATGTTGAGATTTTTACGTTGAGGTACTGAACTGCAATTTGTTCATCTGCTGCATTTGAAAGTACTTTGGGGGAACATCTTTTAGATTGCACTTTTATTCCTTGTCCCTAAAAAGGCAGTGTGATGCCTGCAGTTGTAATCATTCAGCATCGCTGAACCTGTCCAGCAAAATGTTGCCATTTTAGATCCTTTGATCAAATTTCCCCTTTCATTGGAGTTGCCTCTGCTACTGGAGTCAAATTGCAGATGAAATTCTTCAAGTAGTCCTTATACCATTATTTTTTGTAGGAACACTGTTTATCTATTGCATGTAAAAGCAGCAGAAACAATTATTTTAGCACATGTGAACTCTCTATCTTATGTACAATAAATCTTTTTTCTGGTCCCTTGAGTTTCATTGAACAGGGTCCACCTGGATTTGAAAGACTCAAGATAAAAAAAAGCTCTCGTATCAGCAGGGCTTATCCCAACTTGAAACTTCTCCTCAGAATTTTGATGGCCAGCATTTGACCTCCAGTCCATTTTGTAACTGCCCTATGAAGTGCCTTTCTATGGGATACAAAGCATGGCCTTTCTTCGAAGGTGGTTTTGCTGGTTCTTCACACAAATTCCTGTTATCATAAATACTGTAGTACTTATCTTACCAATGGCAACTCTTCAAATGCAATTGAACCTTTTTCAGGAATACAAGTTTGTTAACATGAACTGAAAGTACTGCGCTGGACTGCAATATGCATTGCTGAAAACGTAGAAGATACATTACTGTATTGTGTGCGGATGATTCATTTATGCACTCTGCAACCCGCTAATTGAATGAAATGCATAGAACATGGAGTCACAAGTTGCGTATGTTTGCATGATCATTTTTGCGGGATATTAAAGACGATTGTGCATATCATATAATTTTAAAAATTACCTGTAGTTACATAGTACAGTACAGAGCTACAGTACTGATTTCTCATGAGGGTATAGTAAATTGGGAAAATGCATTCTAAGTTTTTGTTCTATTATCCCACCTACATGGTCCTTGCACTCGCTCCACCCTAGCATAATCTTGACGCCCTGTTACCGCTGGTGAGCTTGCGCGCGGCAAGTCTGTCATAAACGTTCACGCAGTTACGTTTTGCCCCATAAATCAAACTCGTGCAAGTACTAGAAGGTTGATTAAATTTGTGTGAATGTGCTTCGGAACTTGACCTACCTTCTTCCTCGAGACGTCCTTACTAACGATAAGACCGTGTTGAACAGGATGAAGTGACTCGCGATTTTCAAATTTTGAAAATAGCGTAATTTTCTTTTGAACTGCGGCGCTCCAAGTAGGATATCTCTGATATCTCCTAATGCGAAGACGACCGTGGGTTTGTCGCGATGTCGTTTTCGTAGTCGAATGTTTCCAATATGGATCGGCTAAAAAGCGAAGGAGCTATTCTGAAATCCTCGGATAACCGAGTGCACAAGGATCCTGTAGTGTGTCCGTTCTTATGGAAGTGCGCGACTAGTGCCTCAAATCTGTATAATTCACACGGTTTTCTGTTCGCCACCTCCGTTTGATTCATGGCAGGAGCCGTGCGACATGGTAACGGAAAGGGAGTAATCTAAGCAGAATGAGAGAAAAATAGATGGAGGAAAATGTGTAGGAAATCATTCTTCTGCTTTTTCGTTGTCTTCTTCTGACACTGGCGGACTCTCAGCTTCAACTGACCGTGGTTCTTCTTTATATTTCTTCCCTGTCCTCGGGTCTATACCAAGCATCTTTATGTATTTGATAGTGGCGAAAATGGCATCGAGGAGATAAAGGATTGCGTTCACTATTTGTAGTACTGCCCAAATTGTACCAGTTTGCTTGCGATGTTTCTGTCAATGAGAATGAGTTAGCTGAATAATATGAACACAACTGCTTCATTCTTACTTGCCAATCTGACATCGATGTATATTCTACCAACGCAATGATGCCAACGGCAATGTATAGTATGCATCCCGCGGCATTCTGCAGCATCTCAACGCCAGATGCGTTGAGTAACCATGGCTGATTGTTGAAGATGTGTGAAATAAAAATAGTTACTGACGACATCATCATTCCCCCTACGGCAGTTCCGCCGAGAAATGCGCGATCGTTGTAAGCGAGGCCCTTATCTTTTCCCCAAGTCAATTCAGAATGGTTCATCATGGTTAGAATGACCGCTGTGAGAATGATCTGGAAAAATTTGAGTATGACATTAGGGGACTTGCATGCGTCTTTGTTGAAGATTATGCGATCTCTCCAGGCCATGCCTATCAGCTAGGCGATGTGCAGTGTGCTTAATAAAAGAAATTTCGACGTGATTCCGGTGCTACAGCTTTAACCTGGACTTTATAGAGTATTTATCATTGCAGGAAAACCTTTTGAAACTGATTTTGCATTATGATGCTTCCAATGATTCGTTCCGCTTCTGTGCTTTACCGAAGCACATCGACGAAGCTGAATCCTATTGCGATTGCGGCGTTGAATCGTACTCGCTCTGAACCAGTTGATCGAAGTGCCTCGCAGTTGGTTCCTGTGAGAACGGCTTCAAGTGCCGTTGCCGTGAACAGAGGAAAACATTGGGCATTCGAGAGAGTCATAACTTTGGGGCTTGTTGGGCTGATCCCCGCATCTTTCGTTGTGTACCATCCATCCATGGACTACATCCTTGCGATGGGTCTGTGCCTGCATTCTCACTGGGGACTGCATGGAGTTTGTGCGGATTATATTCGCCCGAAATTGTTCGGCGCTGCGCTTGCGAAGCTGGCAGAAGTCATCGTATACATCCTCTCTTTTTTGGCATTCGGATCTGTCATGTATTTCAATTACACCGACGTCGGATTGATTCCTGCCTTCAGGATGCTGTGGAAGTTATAGTACACTAATGTCAAGAGTTTGACATTTTCAGTTTATATGTTTTATCGCGTTGTGTTTTTCCTTTGAAGTGATTTCAGTGCTCGTTACGTTTGAGAAACGTCATAGTAATGTTGAATCTAATGGAAGATGGAATGTTTCTGCTTCAGTCAAATAATCTTCGTATGCTGTTCTAGATTCTGCCAGTGTCAAATGCAATGGATTTTTTGAAACAGAAAATTTTCTTGTTCTCTGTGCAATGCATTTTTCTGCTGCAGCCTGGTTTGCAGTGGTTTCACAAAGTTCATGAAAGTTTGCCATTCTTTGTTTGAGCAACGTTTCACTCGATTGGTATTTCAGATTTCTGAACTAAGAAACCATTGCAGCAACTGTAATTGAGAAAACGTGTATTTTCCCTCGTGTTCCACATGCAGAATATAACTGCCCCAGGATATTTTCCAGGTGATTGTGAATTTCTGAAGAATGAGTCTTTCTTACAATGCTGTTGATGTATATGTGCTTGGTGAGTAATTCTTAAGAATTGATAAATTGTGTGATTACTATAATTCATTGAATTCTGTATAGATTATTTACGCCGCTGTGGTTACTGGCGTGCTGTAGATGCCCTCATATTGGATTCGCCTCATGTGACCCGTACATCAATTGTACGGGAAGATTTGCGGAAATTCTCTCTCCACAACATTGTTGTGGATTATTTGATAATCCATGAGAAACGTAGGCATATATATATTTTTTTTCTTGAAAGGCTTGTGGAATATTGCTTGTTCGTGTTGCAGTTACATCAAGGGAAACAGAATGGATGAACCAGATAGAGGTCACTGCAACAGATCCGCTGTCCAGGATTGTCACAGGGATCTTGGACAATTTGAAAGCTAAGTCTGGTACAACGTCAAGAAGTAGGAAAAGCCGGACAACATTGACACCGGAGGTGAGTTTGATTTTAATAAATTTGTTTTTGATATTTGACCTTCCATTGAAATCGCACTGTTTATCTTCGGATCTGCGTTGATTAAATCCATGTACAGTACAACAAAGAATTTACCTTGTATCTTCACTGTGTTTTCAAGATTCGTCTGTCAATCTAAGTTGCGTTCTATTTGATGATTCTGTGAGATTAAAATATAAGATGTTTGTATGCACAATAATGAAAAGCCTATACGTCAAAGTACTGTAATGCATTGAATTTATTTCCAGTGCTGTTGTTCATGCTTTTTCGAAATTTATTACACCTCAAGATCATAACAAATTTCGATCCTTTTGCAGTTAATTTCCTGGAGAGGTTTCTTTACCCCATTTTTAGAGAATTTTTGTTTTTGAAAATACTGTTCTCCAAAGTTTTCTTCATCCTGTTTTAGGTTAAACCTGTCGACGAGCCAGCTAAGCTCCCGGGGCTGTTCGCACCATTAGTTTTTAACTTGGTTCGAAATGTCTCTGGAGAGCTGGTCCCACAATTATCAAATACTCAAGCTCAACCACTTATTTCGCAAGTTCCGCGTGATGGTGCGTGTGCATCCCAAGCCGTCAAAGAAACCCCGCGTGTTCATCAAGTCCAGAATGAGGTTCCTGGGTCGTTCAATGCTTTGGAAAACTTTTCTCCCTTGGAACCTTCAAGTGGTGGCTCAGGTGGTGGTAATCGACGGAAACCAGAACGTGTGACGAAACGGTGTGTATTTTATAACATGACGATGCTCCAAGTTTAATTATGTGCGATTTTGTTACTTCCGCAGAAAACCTGAGGTCAATTCTGAAAGTGCATCAGACCTTGAAGGGGCAAATGTAAGTTTTTGTTGAAATGCAAGGAATAAGCTACAGTATAATATGATGGCATATTTCTTCTACAGGTTGTTGCCAAAGCATTCAGGTACATGCTGGAGAATCCATTGGAGCAGCAGAGACTTGCAGAATCTATTAATACTGTGATTCAATCAAATACTGTGGCTGCCTCATCTGCGAAGGAAACAAATTATGCGTCGAAACCAACCCACCCGTTACCTGACATAAACTCTTTTTTCTCGGAGTCTCCAAGGAAAAATGAAATGATCGAAGAAATCGTGGACAGAGCGCTGGATCCATTAGAATCCATCATTGATGAAGTGTTCGGTGAGTGTTAAGAGAAAGTAGGCGACACCATGTACAGTAATTTATTGTACTTGCATCTTTGTACTGGAATATGCAGGGTCAGTTTGATAGATGGTGTCGCTTCCTGCAATTTTTTTTCGATGAAGAAAATCATTTAAGAGAAAGCATCTGCACGAATAAAATTAAACTGGCGGTTGTAACTTGTCTGCGTTATGATATCGATTGAAAAAGCTGCTTTAGAATATTTTATTCTGAACTTATTCCATGTTTTGAAATTATTCAATCAATTGAAATTCCTCTTACTTATCTCGAGTAAAGCCATCCATAGTTTCTCAGGAAGATTGCTTTTGCCCGTTCTCTTTCCGCGGGAACTTGAGTACGTATAGGTGAACTCTCCACAACGATCTTTTCGACAAAGATTATCTCTGTTTCTTGTTTCCATAGGGTTCTCTCCCTATGTGCTAAAGGTTTTTTGCAACATATTTTTTCTGATCCCTTGAAGAGTTCACGTGTACTACCGCTTTTTCTCCGTTGATTTTCTATATTATTCGCATTTTCTGTGCAATAGCCATATTCTATTCTTCTCGCCGATTTCTGTTTTTATACATTCTATGAATGTATGGAAGTATAGGCATATTTTTTCTTGTAGATGCATCAGATTTCAGTTCTTCCTATTCCAAGTCCGACAAGTGCGCATTTAATTCGACAACTTCCGAAACGCCCCAGAAGACCACTCGAAGTGGTGCCGGACTTACTCCAATTTTGCCGAAGGACAATTTTCTCATGCCGCCGCCATTTTCTCCCTTGACTCCGTTGGATGCCCATTATGTTCAATATAGTCCGTCGTTGGCGAAAAAAATCGTATCGGTGCCTGTAATGCAGACATCATTGCCATCTCATGCAACAGGTTAGCAGAAAAGAGCTAGTCCGTTTCATCTTGTGCTCGAAGTGCTGATTTCCTTTTGCTTTTTTATAGCTTCTACAAGCGTCGTGCATTCTATGCAAGCGCCAACTTCAGAGAACATCCCAGCTCAAATTCCCACGAAAGCAGATGTACCGATTGTTTCATCCTGGGTTCCTGCTCCTGTTGCCATGAATGCCAGCGCACCGGGTAAGTCTTCGGAAAGCATATCATTATTCTGCTGGAATAATTCTGGATGGTTCTTCAATGGAAAATATTCTTTTATGATCTCGTCCTGAAAGTGATGCTGAAAACTGATTCACCCCTAAAAAATTATACCTGATGCCAGTTTTTATATCTTTCTTGTACGCACAGCTTACTTATCCAAGTGTTGGCAACATGCCACATCAGCTTGTTTTCAGAATAAAAAAAAAAAGCTGGGTTCGGGGGTCCAGTAATGCAGTATTCGCATCCAAACAAAATAACGGGAAAAGTTTTCTTGATCGAATTTCTGATGGAGCCTGAAAAGAAATGGCTGTTTTTTCATTTACTCTTTCATGGTGCTTGCTTCTTTCTTTCTCTGTGGGGGCTTTTTAAATCATCTCTAATTTGATCCGAGGCCTGATCCTCAAACTTGTTACGTGTTCCAGGTCAGAATAAATTGCAGAAGCTTGTTACTACGAATCTAGGCGCGCGGTCTGGCAAAAAATCTTTACTGGGGCGCATGAAAGACCGACTTGCAATGTTGAAGAATGAAGAATCTTTAGCAAAATGTGGAGATGAAGAGTCGAAGAATCCAGAGGCGTCCGATTCCAGTTACTCGGAAGCTCCCGTTTACCAAGAAATGAGACCTTTGAGAGTCATGCGGACAACTGATGCAGAAACTGCAGATTCAGGTGCCGAAGGCACTGGCTCGTCAGTTTATGTGACTGATGCTGCTGCTGTTGCTGTTCATCATGCTCCTGTGCCTCCATTGTCAGCCATTCCCGCGACTTTGGCTTCCCCAAAATCTGTGGTTCTGCAGCCTGTGACAAGGACTCGTCGTAGTTTATCTACCCCACGTCGCGACTCTTCCCACATTCGCATGCTGGATTTCACCTCTCCAAGGTCAATGAAAGCTTTGACCTGCTACAGTTCAAATGACAGCAAGACACCGCGTCTGAATGTGTCCACCAAGCAAAAAGAGCCCCAGCGCAGGAAGCTTTCTCTGGATGCCGCTAGAACTGGACTCAAGTTCCCCAGTCCAGAGGTCAATAAGTCCGTGGATATTGTGGCGTAAGTTGTTCTGATATTCGTATCTTTTTTGCCTGTTTTTGAAATTCTGTAAGAAGCTCAGCTCGTCTGCTGTGGCGATGGTTTGATAACTTCTGGAATAAAAAATTCAAATTTACCCGGTTGAAGATAATACGTGAAGTAGGAGATTACTGTATTTGATTTTCATTATTGGTTGTAATCTTTTCTTCTGCTAGCGTATCTGTGGCGGATGATGATCGTGAGCCATTCCCGACGCAAGACTTCGGGATCCAAGCAACAGACCCAGATGGACGCAAGATCACAACGAACTATTGCTCTTGGAGCTGCTTCCAACATTCTCGCATTCTTGGCCCAGTGATTTCTTCAAAGAACTCCAATGGCGATGAAATCACCAGTCGGTTTTGTCAAACACAGCTTCATCGGTGCCACAATCCTGGAGAGGAAACTACTGACTGGCTCGCTGTGCAACAAACTCCGCAAAAACCCGATGAAGTTGAGATTTTTTCACCCGTCTCAACCCCAGCTTTGAAGCGTGCGAAGCAATTAACAGAATCCACGGATGACGTGTTCAGTGCCTTGGCAAATTGCCCTAGTGGATTTTTGCATGAAGCTGGTCTTGTGCCTAAACCTCCAACGGGAATATCAAAACCATCAGTTGTTGCACTGGATTCTGACGATCAACACAAAGTCATGGTGATGCATCTCTTCCCATGTCAATTTTGTTCAATTAGCTAAGATTTTCTACATTATCTCAAACTGTCTTTAAATAAACCTAGCCAAACTCGAACAAATTCAGGATTTTCTGAACTCATTCAATGTCCAGTCGGTCTGGGCGAAATGCAACATGATTTTGGAAAACGTTTATGTAGCAGCTAATAGAGTAGAGTCTGAGACTTCAGGCGCTTAGCTGAAATATTAGAGAATTTTATGCTTCTGGCTTCGTTACGATGCAGACTTTGTAATATGAAGCTCAGTTTAAAAAATAATGACTTACACGCGGATTTTATTGTTTACAATACTGTATTTATTAATGTGTGTTATTCAAGTGTACTTCTATTTATTTACTGTATTCATGTTATATATACCTTTGCTTCTCAGGTACCAAAAAAGGAAGTCAAACGTCGCACGAGAAACGCTGCAAAATCAGGTCGTAAATCTCCACCTACCACTGCAAGCGACCTTCCAGTGAAAGGTTTCTATTCTTTGCTGTTTTGAAATTTTATTATTATTCCTCAATTAATAATTATCATTCTAGATGTAGCTGTGCGATTAAATCCATTGTCGCCAGAACTTCTGAAGTCTTACGTGGTTAAATCCGGAAAAGAACCAGTCGAAAAAGAAGTAATGGAAAAAAGCACGGGAAGAAAGCGCCGACGCGACAGTGTCGAATCGTCATCTGGCAAGGGCCCAATTAAACGGAAACTGGCTCGTTATGAAGTTCCGCGAAAGAAGCTGAACAAAATTGGGGCGACGCGAGTGTTCCTCGAAGAAAATTGTGAACAACCTCATGCGAAATCGGAATGCCTCCTAGACAGTGATTCGTCGATTGAAGAATTTCCGAGAAAAAACACAAAAGTCGTCCTCGTATCTTCTGATGATGATGATGACGACAAAATAGGTCGAACCGAAGCCGCAAAAGAGGAGTCAGAGAAAACACTTCAACATGTTTCGGAACCGAAAGGCCCGCCTTCTAAACCGAAGGAAAAAACTCGGAACTCTGCGATAAGGGAATCTTCCAAAGCGCGACGAGTACCGCGAGAAAATGCATCCGAAACCTGCGCCTCAGTTCCGGACAAACCCGAGAAACCCTCAAAAAAATTGAAGAAAATTGATGAAAAAGAGCAGAACAAGACGAAAAAAACGACGGACATCGTTGAAAACCATGTGGGCAAACCACGAGACTTGTTTCCAGCTAAAAATAAAGTGCCTTCTCGTCTCGAGGAATTGGAGAAGTCTTTGAAAGATAAGATCATGTATAATGCTGCGGAATCGAAAAAGGCAAAAAATGCAGCTGGCGGTGTCACTAATGCAAAATCTCCGGTGCCACAGAAGCCTTCATTTTCCGAAAAAAAATCTGCGTTGAATGCAAAATCATTATCCGCTGACGACGTTTCTGCAGTTCCATCCAAAGTGAGCCAGAAAAATGAACTGGAGAATATTTCTCCGGTTCTTGAAAACTCGAAACAGTCTTCTGCGACAAAATCGAAGAAGGAATTTGTTCAAAAAACGTGTACCCCAGAAGCAACACCGAAAAAACCTGGTGTCGAGCCAGTACAAAGTGAGAAAAAAGGCTCGAAAGAAACAATGGCTCCTCTTCCGGATAAAACTACTAAATCTTCTCAAGTTATTCTCAAGCCCGACGAAGTCCCTGACACCGCTCTTGCGTGCCTCACCTTCAAAACTCCCAAGAAGTCTCATATGACGGAACTAGGACAAGCTTTGGCGACAACGCTGGAAGATTCAGTTACTGCTTCGTTTTCAGGTGCCAAATCCAAGTCCCCGCGGGCATTTTCTGTTCAGAGTGGCTTTGAAAGTTTGAATCTGAGTGAGGAGTCTAGTGGAGATAATTCCTTGTCTCATCCTGGCTGCCGCGATAGAAATAGCGTGCCTCCGAAGAAAAGACATCAGTGAGTATATATGTTTTTTTTTTTCAAGTTGAAATCTTGTCTGTACAGTACATATATGTATTGTATTTGCCAAGTAGCAGTTGTGTGAATTGCTCTTACAAAATGAAGTGTTCATTTTTCCATAATCGAAAAGTGTAACACATTGTGCTTTTTCCAGAATTGCCGACTGGGATTCGTCGCCGAAACCCGCCCGTTCTGAGGAACATTTAGAAAGCTCCATTGTACCAGCATCGGGAACAAAAATCGTACCTCAATTATCTCAGAAACACAAGGCAGTTAAAGAAGATTTGACAGAGCGTAGAAATTCTCATAAGAGACCTTCAGCGAAACGCGCTCCAAATCCGGCTTTCCACGCCATCTTCGGAAGTGACTGCGATACAATGGATGAAGCCAGTCCGCTCAAACCTGAAATCAAAGCAAATCCAACCGAAGTCAAGACATCGATTCATGTTGAGGCATCGATTCGCACGCCAAAACGAATCGTTCCCACCTACTTGGGACCCTCCACCTGGAACAGGACCCCGGTCAAGCCACCACCTTTGCCGAATTACGTAAACCAGGAACCCGCGGCGATTTCTCCAGATTCCTCAGACTCGGACTCAACCTCCTCTGATTCAACGTCGTCTACGTCTTCATCCACGACTCTGAATTCGGAATCAAGTAGTCGTTCGGAAAGTGTCATTGAACCAGGATTGAGTTTTGAGGGATGTTTGAACGAATCCCTTGTATTGAAGGATACTCCGAAGCTGGAAAATCCATTGCCAGCAGCGAAACCAGAAAATATTTCGTCAGACAAAGAAGATGGTGAAGTTTCGGAAAGTGATTCTGCAGATGAAGAAGAGGAAGAGCGAGTGCGACTGATACTGGCAAAGCTTCAGCCGCAGTCATTCGACATATTGTCCCTAAACCTGGACAGTGTACCAGTGAAGAAAAATTTCTCTGTCAAAAAAACTACTCCAGTCAGGGAAGCAGGTGGCGCCCGTGTGAAGCAAGGAGTTGAAGAGTTCAAAAGAGTCAGTTTGTTTCGAGAAAGTGACTCAGCTACTGGGGCTTTATCGATGCGACTCTACGCTGCTGAGGCTCGTCGAACCCACGGGTTGCCAAAAATGATCACAGATGCGGTCATGAAAGGAACAGGTTCAAGGGTCAGTCAGATGAGGAGCCCTGAAGAACGGCCTCGTTCCCCTAGCTTTAAGGAATTGTCTCGACAACAGCGAGAGAAGAGAAAGCAGGTCAGTTGCTGGGCAACATTTACAATTTTGTTTATTCTTTTATTCTACATGTGTAAGCAGTAAAATTTCAGAGAAATTTGAATGTATTCTGCGTAGCGTCCCTTGAAAGTTATTTCAAATAACTGATGACTGCAATAACGTAACTAAGGTGACTAGGTTAATGGACTTGAGAAATTCTATTTCCAATATTAGTGTGAAGAATGGCAAATAGGTTACAAACTCCCAATAGGTACTGAATCTCAACTAGGAAATGTGAAATTATTGTGTGTGAAAAAGCCAACAAGTTTTGTAACTCTTCAAAATTGCACCCATACATTTTTGAAGAAATAACTCAGTTGCTTAAATGCTTTACATAGAATATTTTAAAATGACTTTTTTTTTGGAAAACAATTCTCAACTTCATCAGGATTAAAAAAAGTTTTTCTCCACTGAGAAATTCACCAGGTATACTCGTTCCCCAATCCACTTTGTTTTTATAGAGGAATATTGCAGGAATTATACAGCGCTGTACTGTACTGTATCACCTAAAACAGGGTCAACTTTTTGAATCAAAAACTGGTGACATTCGAAGTTTGGGTAATATTTTCAGTGAATTCGGATCTAAGAGTATTTAGAAGCTAAACGTTGCTCTCTCCTTGTTTGCTCTTCCCCAGGATCATCGAAGTCCAATGAACAGATTCCGAAGGCATTAGTGCTGTGACGACACATCTTCCGCTCGGGTATTCGCGAAATCTTCATGGCAGCGCTTCATTTTGAAAATAAATTGTGAATTTTTTTACGATTTAGTGCGGTTCGGATCTCTCGATGTCTGAGGTCGAATTTCTTCGATTACAAAAAATGTTGCGGTGATCTGAAGGAGAACATTAGAAACCCGCGTGTGTTTTATACCTGAAGTTTTAAAAATCGGTTCACTTGTTGAATGAACTTCGCTTTTTTACTTCATTTTCGTTAGTTATTCTGTGGTCTTGTACAAGGCGTATCTCCGAAATTTTGTAGACCCTCAATGAATTAAAATTATTGCTTCATGGAATCTAATTCGTCCGATTGTTTCGGTATATGAAGTATTTCTTATTATGCCCGGTAAAAAACAGAATGGATTTTCGAATCATTTTTTGCGCACAGGGAAGATTCATTTCAGGATTGAGTGTTTGCTCCCTCTCAATTTTTTTAGACTGAGATTATAATGTAATGATTTCCGAAGGAATACGAAAAAAGAGGAAATTTGATTAAAATATGTTCACGTTGAAGATGGCTGAAATCGTTGAATCAATTTTATTCGTGTCTTCAAAATATGACCAACTTAAATTGGAGGTACATTATATCAAAGTAAACAGAATCATCTATATTTTAGAGTTACTCTTAATGTCTTGTGCGGTTTAGCATGAATGGTTCATCTTAGAATTTAGACTGCATCTCAATTTCATTGGCTTATGATGGAAAAACTTGATTTTCACAAATTTAAGAAACAAGTTTAATGGGTTTTATTGTTCTACTGCCGACCAAAATAATATACTNTACTTTCGAAATTTGTGGGAGACCGTTGGTATTCGGTCACAATTTTGTTGACCGCTGTGTATTCGTATGTTGCTAGTTGCAGGTAAACTAGTGTCAAGAACATTTCATGCGTCGGGAGTGGAATCAAAGAATGCCGCTATCTTCTGCTGAACAACAGGTTAGTTCGTTTTTCAACAGTAATTTTCGCAGTTGTTCCAATCATTGTAAATTTTATTTCTTGCTTCTTTTGTTGGAATTCTGTTTCGTTTGTATGCGGGAATGAAGTAGAAGGACGACGCGCGCAATAAATATTCTAACGAGCGTCCAACACTACGACGAAATTCGTGAGGAAATCCCGAGTTTTCCTCGATCGAGGCAACGAATTCATTCAATGATTAACAACAATACAACAAACAAAATCAACAATCAACTTTGGTAACAAATGATTCCAGAATGAATGAGGATCGCGGGTCCTTGGATTTCCTTGACTCGGTAGGCACTTGGATGGAGAAAAACTTCTTTTGATGCGGAAGTACGGTACTATTTGTATTCGTAATTGTCCTCGTACTCTGGTTCGTCTTCGTACTCAGATGTTGCTTGGGTAGATTTCTGGTCGTCCACGTGTTGTTCCTCTGTTTGTGATTGAATAACGGATAAAATATAAATTTTTGTTGTGGATGCATACTGAGGGAAAGCGATGCTATCTAACAGAACGCCTCGAATTTTTCGTTCAACGGATCCAACTGAAGCGACATGAACATGAGAATGTTGGACGGAAATTTCTTCGCGCACGAAAATTAGCTTCCAATGATTACATGATGAATTATTAATCATGGGCATGAATTTCTCCCATTCAAGTTATTAGTGTCTGATGAACTCGTTTTTCTACCACTTCAGTTGATGATCTTAAACATGATGGTGCGAATTGCGAAGTTGGTTAAGCGCCTGCCCAATTTTTCTCGTCGCTTTTTGGGGTGCTATGACTCACTTCTTGTGATCGTTAACTTTACTCATAGTGAGAAATCGCACTTCGTCAGTGTACAGTATTTAATTTTTGAAAGATACAGTAATTTTTTTGTGAAAATGTATTGTTTTTTGGTTTACCCCTATGATTAAATGAGCTAGTTCAATGCTCGGAATACTCATACAAGTTTCCTGTTAGATTGGGTGAACGAATGACTCGAATTCTTAATTCCGTCGTACATTCGCGTCGAGATGGTAAATTCCACGTCCCGCTGATAGCAAGTCATGCAAAAAACTCGGAAGAGGAAGCAGATCCAACAACTGAAAGTTCTCGCAATCATGCAACATGCTCACGGAAATAATCGTTCGAGATGATGGGTTTACCTAATGACCCGCGAAAAAGCTCACGAGTAGACGAGTTCGTATGCGGACAAGAAGAGAAAGGATTTGATCGGGATCTCAAACTTTTTTTTTTACATCAAAGCTTTTGGTTCTCATTCATTAGACATGCGTGAAAGAACAGGCAGGAAAAATTTCTGGTTCATGTCCGTATGTGATGATCGACGCAGTGGACCGTGACCAACGAATTCTACTTTCGTCGATTACCGAAAGTGCGCAATTTACTGCCCGGTAATTTGTTCCGAACGTGAATGTGATCTCTTTTTTTGCATTTCGTGAAAGCCTATTCCAATTTTTTTGGAATGCAGCAATCGACTGCATGCCAATTTTTTCAAAAAGATCGTTGTGGTGCAATGTGAGGAACAACGGTTTCCCGATTGGAATGTAGAAGAGTGCTGCGGTTTGAAATAATTCCTCACTTCGTGTTTCCGTTGTTATCTCACGAAGGATAATGAGAATATGATAATAATATTATTTATCTTATAGTAGATAAATATCATAAGCAAACTTTGATTACTCTTAGCTTTAAATCTGAAGTCAGGTCCTCAGCATATGTATTCTTTTCGAAAATTTCTCCGTGTCACTTTTCCTTGGCGTTCTGTCGCAAGGTACTTTCCGTAATCCTGCATTTGAAACCGACGCCTGATGATAATGTACAGTAAAATTGCCGATTGTGCGTAAAAAAAATTGTCTGTTCTCTTTGTCAGGTTCGTGATCGAATTTTTCTGAAAACTTTCAAATCTGCAGAGGGTTGAATTTCATGAAAATTTCACCATAATTTAGTACTGTACTGAGGAATACATGGTACAGTAGATTACGCATGAATGTTTTCGAACTACTGCGTCATTCATCCACGTTCAGTATTCAAAAGTTTCCAGAGCAGTCATCTTGAGCAATTGGAAATGAATAATTGGACTTGAGTATTAAATTAGTTCGCCATGCTTATGATACGAATAACTTCAATGAATGTATATACCGTACTACAGTAGTTGAAAAATTGCGCCAAGTAATTTCACGTCATTTCTTCTCCGTTCTTTCAGACTGCAATACTGTACTGTATTTAAAGCATCTTCAAATAGTGGAATAATCGAAAGGCCATTGTGCAGATTTGATTTCTCCACTTTCCTAGAATTTCCCTACTTTTGCGTAATTCCCCGTACACTAATTACAATTTTCCAGAGCAATCTACGGATGATAAGTTTAGCAACGGGAAATCAATGAGTATGGCTTTGTCGATACGCCATATATGCTGCAGAAATTGCAACTGTATCGTCATTGCATCTCCATTACGGTTTCACTTATTTGGACCGTGTAGGAAGAAAGTTGCGTGGGTTCGATGGAAAGCACCCCAGATTCCCAGCACGCGGATGCGATTAGTTCAGTGCCAGAAACTAACGGAACGAAACGCGTTCACGTACCATGCCCAGCGAGTCAAGGGTTCCCGAAAGACCTTATTTTTGGCCTTTTGGGAAGAAAAACGGACGATTGGTTGCGTGCTGTTAGCCGATACCCGCCGTCGACGGCGCCAAATAATAGTCTCCGCCGTAGTCCTTGAGATATTGCTCGACTGAGAATGAACGAAATTGGTGGTTTGTTTCTAATTAGCGAAAGAACGTTCAGTACGCTAATCTACCGGACAGCCTTTTTCGTCGGCATGCGAAGGAGCATTCCTCATCATCATCGCGCGATCTACTGAATTGAGCGAGAAAATATGCGTGTTTACTCACGGTCGAAGGCTTGTGGACCCGCGTTTTGGAGTGCTTCTCCAACTGAAAATCACAGAAAGAAAAAGAAAACTCGCGTTATTATTCCCGACAGTCACAATTATCAGCTTAATCGGCCAATTTATTCTTGGTCCTGAAAATCACTATTTTACAATGAGCGCCATGATGGAATCATATTCAGAACTATCGCATCACTGCTTAAAACTCAATTATGCAACATCGCAGAAAAAAATAATGCACGCGAGAATGTTCAAGAAGAATCAAAAATGTCAAATTCGATTTGGAGAAGTGAATCGAGGGGAAATTGAGTCAAGGCATCCGTAAGCACATTGTACACTACAGTATAGGAAAAATAATTCTAGAGAACTGTGAAATTATAAGTTGTAGCATTTCCTTCACAATATATACTCCGCGGCAAAATTTGTTCCTGCAAACCCTTACAATCATCTCCCGATTATAGCGGACACTTGGTAAAACAAATTTTTCGCGCTATATGCTCTCATTCCATTGATTTGCATCAACATTATACAGCACAGTGATGAGATTTAGTGAATGGTGTCTCTCCATGCTTATTCGAAAAAAAATTGAATTTTCTTCCTTATCTGAAATTTCTTCCTTTCTGAAATTTTTTTGGCGGATGCAAGTACAGTATATACAGTACAATAAAAAGTGTTCCTGATGGGTTGTGACGCAACATGAGTGCATGAATGATTTGAATATACGGTTATGATTTTGAAATACAGTATAGTTGAAACTGATGGAAATATTTGGAAATCATTATAATTGAATTTAATGATCTAAAAATGGTTTGAGTCTGTTGGTTTGAGTTATTGGAAGTACTGTAGTTAGGAATTTGTGTGGCGTAATCAGAAACGTGATGTTATGATTGCATAAACTTCTTTCATTTTGTGAGTCATGAAAGGACAGAAAACCTTTCGAATTATCAAGGGAAACGCATCAATGCCAAATCAAGATTCGTAATTTCCTACTGCTTCAAATAACTGAGGTACTGTATTATCCATTTTTTTGATCCTAAATACTAATTCATATAAATTTAAATTACTTCTCAAAGGAAATCTTGGGTAAGTGCCTTCCCATGTTCATTAACGGAGGATTACTCAATTAAGTAAAGAAGAACATACTGTATTGACGATACTGAGGCAATGGCATTTGTTTCGATCACTGTGATATTATTGTGCTGTTGATCAATGATCAAAACTGCTGTACTTATGCGTTTCCGGTAAACTTTGGATATAACCGGGGTTCCACTGTAGGGAATTAAAGTGCAGTTTTTTTTCTTATTTCACCTGTCGATTTTCTCTAGAGGAGTATATGGCTTAAAAGTCATCCAATAAACCCTTATGCTCCTGATCGATTTTGATAACCCAAGTTATTTGTACTGTAATTACTCCGTGGATTCAATTGCCTTGTGCTTACCGTATTCTCCTGCAGATCCTCCTCCAGATCCATCAGAGCCAGCATGTTCATCCGCACTTCCCCCGGATCCTTCAGACTCATCCGCCGCCTCATTTGTCTTCGTCGGCTCCGAATACGTGTGCGTCTGTTTCGGAGGCGCTGGTTCCTGGTTGTAAGCCCCAGTGTGTTGATTCGTATCTGACGACGTTCCTTCGCCGGCGCCGTAGTAAAACGGATTCCCGATCGGTTTCCAGCCGCTGTTGTCCTGAAACGTCGGCGAACTGCCTTTGTGGCTTTGCGACTTCTCGCGTTTGTTGTTGATGGACGGTGAATTCAAGGCGTTCTTTTGCTGTTGCTTTGGTGTGTAGTCGTCGGTGTCGTCGGCATACGATCCCTCTTCGGACGAGACGGGACGGAAGCGGTTCTTATTGTTATTGTTGGCTGGTCGACGGCGTTGTTGTTGGTTTTGTTGATGCTGTTGTCTTTGTTGACCGCGTTGCCGCTTTTTGTTGTTTTGTTGTGGTTCGTCTTCGACGACTTGGAAAGGCACGTTGGGTCTGTACCGCTGACCTACGTGACATTTTTACAATTCAGTGTTGAATATTAGGAACACACACTGCTGAAGCCCAAATGTTCGAAGGATGTGATGCTGACGATGGAGATTTTCCGAACAAATGTTATACAGTAATGATATTGATTGGAGTACTCACCTTCTTGGGGTCGCCTCCTGGGATCACGTCGTTGTTTGCGATTGGCTTGATTCTTAGTGGGAACTTCGTCATCTTCATCGCTGGAGCCAGAGTTGGTGTCCGAACTGCTGAGTTCTTTGTCGTTGGTCGCTTCGGTTGTTGTGGGATCGTCTTCTTGTTTCTGGTTCTTCGGGGCTCGTTGTCTGCGTTTATCCTGCTTGGGATATTCGTTTTCTTCCAGGGTTTTCCAGTGGGACAAGTCACTCAGTGACTCGCGGATATCTGAGCCGGGTGACAAGGATCCTGCTTGCCTCGACAAGGCTCTGTTGAATCTGTTTTCAAAGTTTTTTTTTTAAATGCTTTGTTCAGTTAATCTTGGACAAAACGTTAGTGGTCGCATTTTTTTCTTTGGCGAGAGTGTTGTAGAAGTTGAGTAGTTGATATTGTTTTCCCGTAGAAAGCCGTGTCGTTTTTAAGGTCAAGAATATACCCCTCATTTCTTACAGTAATATTCATTGGCTCAAGGACGTCACTGATTTACGCATGCTGTTCTATCCAACAAAGACAGTTTCCTCTTTCAAGCCTCGAATGCTTTTGATGGTAAAACGACCCCTTTTTTTTTCTTTGGACAGGATGACTTAAAATTTGAGTTGCTGATACCGTTTTCCTTGATAGACTTTTTTGAAGTCAAGAATATCCCTCGTTTCTCAGAGCAATATTCATTGTCTCAAAGGAGGCCACTGCTGATTTACGCATGACGTTCTATCCAGGAAAGAGAAATTTCCTCTGTCAAGCCTCGAATGCTCTTGATGCTCGAGATAATGCTAGAAATAACCTCCTTTTTCCTTTGCATGATGATTCCTTCGACATCAATTTCTTGATGTTATGTACTCATTAATCTCGGAAATATTCATGTTTCTCTTGTTCCAGCGTTGGTCGTGAAAACGAAACGAGTGCAATTTGACCCACCTGTAGCCAAGTTCCCGGAATGGTCTCGAGATGAAGGAGCTGCTGGATTGTCTGGCGCGCACCGGAATCGCCCTCGCTGCCGGGATCGCCGCGGACGCTGCGGCGGCCACGTCTTCCACGACTGGCGGTCCCACGGGTTTCGCTACAACGACGACGGGTTTCTCCGCCACTGTGCTCTTTGCGTCCGTCGACCGCTTGACGCGCTCTTTGCTGGCGGTTTCCGGCAGCACAGCGATGCTTGGCTTCGGGGCTGATGCGGACGGGTGACTAACCGCTGGTTGTTGCTTGGAAGATCTCCTGCCGTAGTAGCCGCCGGACGAGGAGCTGTGCTTCGGGATTTTCCCGCTGCTGCTGCTGCTTCCGTACTTGCCGCTGTTGACAAATTGTCATGGAAATGGATACAATGCATTTTGTGCCCTATGTATTTAAAACGAAAAAAAAGACTACTGTGATTTAAAGAGGTTGTGATTGTAATGCGTGATACTCGTGCTGTAATCAGGATTTGCGGCACCAGCAGGACCTCTCTTCGGCAATCTGATGTTAAAGGGCTTTTACTTGAATGCTGGTATGCCAGCAGTTGGTCTGACGTTCGGGAAAGGGAATAATTGGAGAATTAAATCCTAAGAACCATCGTTCTCTATTTTTTTCTAGGCGATACTCTGATATTTGAGGTCTGTTATTGAAAACTATCCTCAGCTCTGGTGTAATTTGAAAAAAGATAGCAGTCGGACATTTTGATCCTGAAAATTATAACCTGCTATACTTCCATTTTTTTCTAGGCGATACTCTGATATTTGAGGTCTGTTATTGAAAACTATCCTCAGCTCTGGTGTAATTTGAAAAAAGATAGCAGTCGGACATTTTGATCCTGAAAATTATAACCTGCTATATTTCCTGGATTTTAGAATGATTCTGATATGCAATGGAATGCATTCTTGTAAGATACAATCTATTCAAGAGAAAATTATTTTTTGCAGTAATGTCTCATCATTTTTTGCTGTCATTTTGAGAACATATTGAGGTAATTCTTCTGAAAATTGTAGATGTGCTTTTATCTTTGGGAGAATGTTTTGGTGTGAGTGTGCAAGTTTTCAAATAAGAAGATAAAAATTGTTCATGCTTTTCCCTCTTTGTTTATGCGAACAGCAATTCGCATAAACTTTGGCGCTATGTGAAAATTTCGTCGGGGAGGGATTCCTTCTTCCAAAAGCATTGAATTGAATCAGCATTATACAGTGAGTAATGAAATTTAGTAAAGGATGTCTCTTGATGTTTATTCAAAGAAAATTTAAATTTCTTCCTTTTCTGAATTAAAGACCAATACTGCAAAAACAGGACTATCCTTTGTGATTCAGGCATGGAAGATAGCCCGGTTGACACATCCATGCGTAAAACGGAAAAATGAAAATGTGAAACTTCAGGGATGTCTTTGCACTGCTTGAAATGCTGAGTGGAATGAACGTTCAATATTGAGTGAAAGGATGGAACAAAAGTTCAATCATATTCTTCCATTATTCCCAAATCTATTGTCTCACTGACAAGAGGCATTAAAATTTAGAAGTAGTCTCACGGAGTCTCAGTTGAGGAATCTTTCAAAATAGTGTCGCAAAAATTGAAGAAATGCAACTTTTTGTGGGTATTATCAGGTCATATGGGTGCGTTGTTTTCATTGAATTGGGATTTATTCCACTGTTGCTGAAATTTACGCGTACTACTGTATTTTTAATCCATAGTTCGTGTATAAGTGAGTGTTCAGT